GGGGGGGAGGGAGGGGGGTATCCGTTAATCCGCGCGGCTTAATGCGTGGACCGGGAGAATGCGGGGACCTGGTACACACTGGACAACGTCCAAAGGCTGGTGGGACCCGCTTTCCCGCTGACCATTGGGGGTAATTATCGTGGCCCCGGGGAAAGCTCTCTCACGCTCGGTATCCCTTCCGGCCAGCTAGCCAGCGGTGGTGGCTCGCGCGAGAGCACGTCAATCCTCGAGCCTCCCCTTCAAAGGACCTACGACTGCGTCGATCGCGTCGTGCCGTGCATGTATGCATACGTGCCGTATGCCGCAATGGCAATAACCGGTAATTTTTCTGCAGCGAGATTCTTGCAGCGCTCCAGCCAACCGCTGCTCGCCTGCTCCTCTCCCTCACCTCACCCCTTTCGCCGCTCGCTGGGGGTACCTATACATGTCGTTCTCGGAACGACACGGAACAGGTAGAGCTCTCCTTCCGGAGGTGAGCCACGCAGAATAGAGCTGATTGCAAAAGCGGGGTCACGTCTTGGCGGCCGCGATCGATTTCCGCGCGAGGATCGAGGCATAATCCACGAACGCGATGCGCACCGCCGAAGAATTTTCGGCGAGCCGAAAATTCTCTGATCGGTGATTTTATCCGAATTACGCGCGCGTGAACACAGGGTGGTCTCCCCCCCTCCCACCCCTCAGGGGAAATTTAACAAACCGCTTCTCATTTATGGATTTTTAGCAGCCGATTTTTTTTTTCAATTTATATCGATATTATTTATGTTTATATTATTTTTCTTTATTTATTAATATAATGTTACAATGTTGTAATTAAATTGCGAATGCGACTGATAACGATATAACGATATATCATGCGATTAGTAGTTCATTGTATTTGTAAATCATGGATTTGTAAAAATTTTATATTATATATTATGAATAATATATTTTATATATATTAATATAAAACGTTAAAAATCACACACAGACCAATATATGTACCACAATGTGTGTATCACACACAGACCAATGTATGTACCACAATGTGTGTATCACACACAGACCAATGTATGTACCATAATGTGTGTATCACATACAGACCAATGTATGTACAGATCGTTAAATTTTTATCATATAACATGCAATATTTCATACGTACGCTTCTAAAATGTGGATACTAGTGGTCTCTTGGAGTGTTTTCGCGAACTGTCTTGGACTGTCCTCGTATGATACATATCATCTAAATTTTACAAATCAAAATCAATAAAATTCACAGTAAAAAATAAAATTTAATATAGTTTTTATTCTATTTTTATTAATTTTTCTATCTATTCTGCTTAATTTTTTCATTTCTTTACTTGTTTAGTTTCCACAATTTTTGATTTCACAATAAATTTTATTTTAACAATAAATAATAAATAATTGTAACATTATTAATATTAATGGCACTTCTACAATTTTATTTTAAGAATAAAAAATTTATAAATATTTAAAAAAATAAATTCACGTATTTATTAGAATCTCAAGAAATTACAAAGATCGATCATAAACATTTTTGCGATTACTAAAGATGAAAGAAATATAAAAATCTTTCTTATACGCGCACAAGCTTTTTTCAGTTAATAATTTCTACAATTCATAATAAATAAATCAAAATTTGTGTGTATAAAACTCTTTCAGCGATTTACTTTTCTCACTCGTTCAATTTATTTTATTAATTACAACGCTTGAAAAGCAGTTCCTCTTACATGCAATCAATACGCTATCAGTATTAATCCGATCCGCTTTGCAATCTCGTTTAGATTACCGCGATATCCGAATTCGTAAAAGTCAGTTATACAGAAGCATTAAAGGGTTAATGAGTCATTAGGTATGCTTTGCATTTGAAAATAAAGATCGTGATATCATATTCATATAAATTCATCCCAATGTGTCGGGGGGGTGCGACTAATCCGGCGCGACAGGATCACGCGAAGCATAAAATCCGAGTTACGGTGCGATACGGTGAATCCGTATCCCGAAGTTTCCCGTTCCCGCCCCGCAAATTACATCCACCGGGTTTTGTCACCGGGACTGGCGGGGCTATTTAGGTCTCGCAGCTTGACACGGAAACGTCGGTTTTTAGGGGTCGGCCGTTGTTAGCGATAAATAGACGAGACGTTGATAAGGTGGAAACTAATTAGATCGTGGAAGTTGTCGGCGATGTTTAAAATTCATGTACCTATTGACCTTAGAGAGAAGGAGTTCGGAGAGAGCAGTATCTAACAGTGATTACGGGTGTCGTCAGGCGAAAGCCACCACGGGGACGGAATGTATAATACGAATATATATATACACCGCGGCGAATGTGCGGCCGCACGGCCGGGCATAATAAAGTCCAATCACGTGAATAAGTTGGTGATAACTCTTAACGGGATCCGTCAGAATCTCTTCCGAACAACATCGCCGCGTGAAATATTCCAATTAACGTACACGTCAAATATTTCGGCTTGTATTACATGAATTATTATTTGCATATCCATTTTTTGTTAAGTTTATTTGCCCGATAGTTAAAATGTTTCGATTGTTTGAGATATTGAAAGGAAGCCAATTCTACATCAGTAATTAAATTTGTTTAATTAAACGTTCGCTTTTTTTTATAACATATACAAGAGAAACCGGCTTCTTCATAAAATTGTGAATAAGAATCGTAGAACGTAAAAATTTATATAAACTTGTACTACTGTCACGCGTCAAAAATAATTTTGGATAGGACACTTAAAATTATCATATAGAAGGTGCATTATATATAGCAAGTCTTTTTCACTTTTTATATATATTAATAGCCCGTGCATACAAATGGCTGTGCATAAAATATATTTCATGTCATGTTGCCATAAAAATTACATAAAATGTAAGATACAATATTTTTTTATAATAACGTGCTGTTGATGATACATCTGTTTTATCTTCATTCTTGAAATGCATAATTAACGGTACTAACAATAAATTTTGTAACTTTTTTATAAAAAAATATATATATCTTAGAAGATATTTCCTTTTAACGAGCCAGATAATATTAATATTAATATTAATTATCGCGGCAACCGTTTTTCTTAGGAAATTATTCGAGTACGAGTCGATTCGAATATTTTGTAATCTAGACTAATAACTTAAGAAGACAAGCTATTGAACTATTGCTTGAGATTAATCGTTTCGATCCCTTAATGGCGTCAATGTTTTATGTGGAGAAGAAATAGGGGTTGAATGTACCATTCCTACATTTTCCTTGCCTTTCCACTGAGATCGCTTCTCCTCTGATTTCAACTTTTCTATGGTCTTTTGTTGTTGCTCCACTAATCTGGTCTTGGCTAGTAATTCCTAAAACAACCGTTTACAGTCAGAGACACAAAAAGAAAAAATATAAACAATGTCACTTATATAAATATAAATTATGATACTAATGTATACTTGTAATAATCGTGAGCTTTATTGGAGAAATAAAAACGCAATTTAGATTTGCTTAAAGACAAGAATATTTATTTAAATATAAAATCCATTCTATAAAATATAATTAGAATAATATACAGTCGAATCTCCTTTTTGTGAAGTTGTTGGAATATTGTCTTTAGTGTAAAATTTCTCCCTAGTCGTGTTCTGATTTTAATGACACATGCGCGAAATAAACTTACTTTCGCATTGTCTTCGATTCAATTTCTTACTGATATATAATTACATGAAAATATGATACAATAATAGGAGAGTAAAAAAGGATAAAAGAACATTACGAGACTTATAACCGATTCACGAAACGACGAAGATTACAATAAAGAACTTTACAAAATGGAGAGTCAACATTATTTACATAATAATTTAGAATTATACATGAATCAGAATTCTCTGCCACATTTTTTATAACAATCGCATTATTAAATCAGGCTTACTCGAGACGCCCAAATTATGTACAAATATTTTTTATATGGTTTTAAACAATTTTGTATATCGTGGCGGTAATTTCATTATAAAAACATCTAAAAATATCGTACGGAAAGAAAGCAAAAAGCTAGAGAAGATATCACAAAAATTGCAAAAAGCGGGATGAGGCCACACACCTGTTCCAACTCGTAGTTCTTATCTTTTAGCTGAATAACATGTTTAATTCTTTGCTTAGGATTCTGATGACCGATTACGTCAGCATATTTTTCAACAATTTCTTTGTAATCCTTCGTAATAATCTCATTCAGTGTTACTAATTTCTTGATCTCTCTACACAAAAAATAAAATAATTATTTTTCAAATTTGTAAATAAAAATATGTATCACATTAAACTCACTCGTCAGCTTGTTCTCGACGTGTTCTTTCCTCATTAAGCTGCTGCCTAAGTTCATTTTCCGAAGATTTCCATTTAATTCGTTCTTGCTCCAATAATAAAGTGGTTTCCTGTAACAAAACATTTTTGTTCCTCGACAAAAGTTTATTTACAATTTAATTTCAACATAAATGTTAGTCATTAAAACAACATTACCTTTGCAGTTTTTTCTGTTTCTTCGAATTGCACAGCTTTTTCGGTAAGCTTTTCTATTCGAGAATTTACCTGTAAATGTTACACATTTATATTAATGCACAGTAACCAATGATTCGAAATTCATTTCAATATTATATTCAAACTTACTTCGTCTACAATAATTTTATGTTGTCTCGCTTGATCTTCAAGTAATTGTTTACTTTCTTTTAACGCTTCCTCGCTACTCTCTAACTGATCCAAAAGTTTGTTATTTGTTATCTCCATTCGTGAAATGTCGATCTCTCTTTCGTCATTTTGTTGCTCTAATGTGAGTAATGCACTCTGCGCCTCATGGATACTTTTCGACATTTCCTCAAGTTGTGTTCTCAGCTACATGATAAATCAAATTAAAAAAGATCAATTTTTAGAAAAACCTTAATATTTTTATAAATTATGAAAATAAAAATAACTGTGATAATAAGCGTAATGTTACCTCATTATTTAATATAGTTTTCAGTTTGGCGTCATCCTCAAGTCTTGCAATTTCCTTTGCGGCATTCTGTTTTAGATTCTCGATTTTTGCCTCAAAGATAGATTTTATCGAGTCGAATTGAGATAAATTGCCAGACTGATGCTGATCTACTAGATCTCTGTGAGTATCCAACTCTTTCATGAAAGACTGAACCTGTTCGTGCACCAATTGCGAGTTGGCACGCATCGCACCAAGCAGGTCCTTATGTTCGCGTATACAATCTTCACCACGTTTGACTTCATACTGTAATCTTTCCACTTCAACGCTGCTTTGGGCCAATCGATTGGTAAGCGCAGCAACGGATGCTTGATTTTCAGCCATAATTAGCTCAAATCTAAATCATTAAAAATATTTAACGTAATTAGTTCGCTCTGCAAAGAATAAAATAGAAATAAAAGTTTTAGCAAAAGTAAAATTTGCTTCATATCAACCTTTTCTTCCTAGCAACCATTTCGGCCGCTTCTGTTCTAATGTGATCCTTCAAAGCTCTCAATTCTTGTTTCTTCTCCGCCAAATCGCTTTCTGCTTTATCCAACTCAGTTTGCAAACTTTGACTGAAACTTGCCTAAAAATCACAATTTATAACATATAATAATATTGTATTGTGGGTAATATTATTAACGTTAGGATATTATCGTAGATAGGATAGTAGGTATTATCTACTTCGTAGCATCACGTTAGTCACCTGTGTTTCCACGGATGATTTCAGCTCCTCGAGCGTCACGGAAAGTTTGGTGATTTCAGCATCTCTTTGCGCTAGTTTTTCGTCTAATGCAGCACGCTCTACTTCCATACGAAGCAAGCACGTTTTATATTTCTCGTTAGCAAGCCGCATCTCCTCTTCTACAGTATTTCGCGCCTCCTCCACCATGGCGTTGACCTAAATAGAAAAAGTCCTTTTTTAGTGTCCACGCACACGCTGTTCCATTACAATATACAAATTTTTTCAAACATCACAAGGTGCACACGTAGAAAAAGGGAAAAGACAGCATTCACAAAAGAAAAACATCTACAGAATGAATTACATCACGTAACAATCTGTAAGACGTAAATCTGTACATTCACATGAAAGTTAACAGAAAACGAATAATTAATCAGTGATGTTTGGCACTCTACGCACGTGTAATCTGCTTACTTTCGCGTCGCATTCAGTAATCATTTTTTTCACCTGTTCCTTGCTCTTAGTGCGACATGCTATTAGTGTATCTCGTTTATCAGCCTCCGCTTTTTCAATCATTTTCTGAGCATGCCTCGTTATCCGCTCAGTTTCCTCTTCAATCCTTTTAACGGAAGCTTGCTTTAATTCCTCTATTTCTTTATCTTTTGCCCTCTTAACCTGTACATAATAATATATGTTATCAGAAAAAATTAATTATAGAAATGTCTCGATATAATTAAAAGACAAGAGAGATATCAATCATCGTACACTTTCCAGTTCTTCTAAATATTCATCTGCGGCATCCTCTAATACTTTTTCCAGTTTTGTTGTTGTTTCAGTGTGTGTATTTACCATATCAATAATATCCTTTTTATACTTTTCTATGATAATGGTGTGCTTCTCATTTGAAAGCTCTAGTTCATTTTGAGCTTCTTGCAAACGTTGAGTCACCTAAAGCAAAAAAATTATGTAATTGAAGTTTACACACACATACATACACACTCATAGGTACTAAAGTATTTCTAGAAAATTGTGATAAACTTTAAAGTGATAAGTTGAATAGAATCACTTTTGTTAAATAACCTGTGTCTGACTTTTTTTTTAAAGGCAACAAATTTTCATTTTGTTAAATGCTGCTTAATTTTTATAAAGGTAAAATAAAAATCAAATTTCTTAAATTTTTAATTTATTTCTCTTTTATTACAATAATTAAATATGGCAATCTTCAATTTCTTTACAAACATTACACCTGTGGTGCAGTGACAAGACACAGCGCTTTGAAAAAAAAAAAAGAGAATAGTCACATACATTCATTATTCTGTTAACGAGTTCAATTCGAGTCAATTTATTTGATCAAACACCAAATATTTGACATGTTTTTATAGGAAAAAAAAATAAAATATACTCTCTGTATTACCATGACAAATTCAACAAACGCGTAAAAACAACAAAAATCTAACACCTTAATGAGACAGACGTGGCTTACTTAGCAAAAGTTATTTTATTCAAAATCTTTTGATTGTCGTATTTTCTCTGAATATCCTTTACTTGTACACCTCTGCATAAATGTATTTATATAGAATAGACATCTGTATACAAGTGGATATACATAAGAACAAAATTGTATGTTTAATCAAGTTACGCACGTCTGTATGAATTCTTTCAAGATTCTTCAATTCTTCCGTAAGGGAACAGTTCATTTCTTCCATTTCATTCGCCTTGGTTTCCATCTTTGATGCACGTTCCTTATAAAATTCATTTTGTGTTAAGAGGTCTTCTTTTTCTTTCAAAAAGTCATCTTTCAAATGTTTAATCTCTTCCTCATGTTTATCAGTAATATCGGAAATTTTATGAACGTAACTATCGGCAAGCTCTCCATATTGCTCTTTAAGTTCGCGTGATTTGTACTGCAGAGTAGACAATTCAGCTTCAAGTTTTGAAATTTCGTTCTGCTTCATTTCCAATGTAGATTTAAGATTAGATTGTTCCTCAGTTAAATTCGCGACACAGACATCGAGTTGACATTTTTCTTTCTGTAATAATTCTATTTCGACATCACGATCCCGTTTTACTGTTTCCAATTTATTTAACAACTCTCCGATCTGCGTTTCAAGAGCTTCAATCTATTAAACAAAATGAAACATAAAAAAAATGTGACCTTGTTAATATAGCAATTCATTTCACATTCCTAAAGCGAAGTAATTTTATTTACCTTAGCTCTATTCTCTTCTTTTTTGGCCTGCAATTCAATTTCCAATGTTGTTATGCCTTTCGATAGCTCGGCCGCACGATTTCTGAGATCCATTTCCATTGCCTTTCGCGTTGAAATCTCTCGTTCTTTTTCCTTAGTTATTTCTAATAATTGAGAGCGAAGCGTCTGCATTTCTGCTTGATGCTTGTCATCATGACTGTTTATTACTTCCTGCTGCAATTTAGCCTGGAAATTAAAAATATTTTGAAAATAATGTGTATCGATGACTTTAGACGATGAGAAAAAAATTTCTATTTAAAAATATTATATTAACCATTGTTTCAATATCTTTCATATGTTGCGTTTCTATTTCAATTTGTTTCTTACGCAGCTCCTCCAGTTCGCCTTCTAATTTCCGCATCTCGTCTTTCATTTCCTCGATGTGTTTCTCGTGTTCCTGTATAGTCTTATCCTTGTTCGAACATTCTACTTGAAGATCCGCGAGCTCCTGATTAGATTCGTATTTTATGTTTCGTTTTTTTATTGAAGGTTGCAGAGTTTTTAATTTTGGATAATTCGCTCCCATCGGTTTCGTGATTAACCGCTTCACCGGCGGTTGAGGCTGCGTAAAAATATAACATTTCATGTAATTTAACAATGTATCCAATTTCATTAATGATATTTTTTCAACTGTAACAGTGTTCTTCGAAATTCTATATTTTTATATATGATATATGGTACATTCAAATATACGCTCTGTATTACCACGCTATTTAATCAGAAAATAACGTAGCGCGAATAATCGAAAGGAATGCTGTGCATTTACAAAATAATTTAAAGTATAATTGATAAATCTATACTTCTACAGTTTATCATTCCGCAACAATAATAATTCGGTCTTTTTTTTTCAAATTTTTTTCAGCCTTTTTTCTACTTCTCAAATATTTTAATTGTCTTGCAATCGACGACAAAATTTGCGACAATGCTTACCACTCGGAAAATAGGAGCCGGTCCATTGCTCTTTAATGATGTAACTGATGCATTGCATTCTGCGCTGCTTGAGCTTCTGCTATCTATAAACCTATCAGATTTCTCAATAATGGGTACTTTCACTTTATTTTCGAATTTCGGGTCGTAAGCTCCTGGTGGAGGCGCATCACCTGCGAAATCATGCATACATTAGCGAATTAGAATAACACGCGAAATATTTAGATGATCCTTTTTTTATTTGATCGACAATTATCATCATCATATCGATATAACAATCCGTAAACATGTTATCAAATTTTTTAGTGATTTGGAAGTATATTACATTTGTAATCATAATTTTTTAAATCCGTAATTACTCAAAAAAAAAATTATATATTTACTGAAAAATAATAAGAATACAGGAATTAAAATAGACGAATTCTAAAACAAAGTTTGGATGGACTTGGCAGATCGATATTCGGGACGAATTCATATTTACTTTAATTCTGTTATGCTCAACAGAGGGCACAAAAGATTTATAAATATGACCTGTTCTTAAATATTGCGTAATTTATCGACGGGACCCCGGCGTGGCGCGCTGCAATGACAATGGAAAGAAAAGACGGCGGCGGCTAAGTGAGACTTCCTTTTGGCGCAACCGTAAGGACGGTATCGTAGGGAGTAACATAGGGAGAGGCAGGGCGCAAATGGGAAAGACAGCTGTTCTGAATGCAAGGGACACGTCTCAGTGGGGTCGTAGAATAACCAGGTGTAACCGGCAATGTTCCCCCCATCGCGTCCATACGCGATAAAACTTCTTCTTTTATTGTCTACCGCGCGCTTTCTTTCACGAGGAGGGGCGACGGGGAGGGGAGGGGGAGAATCGATATATGAGAAATTTAAAGGGCAGACGCGCAGCGATATATACAAAAGATAAGATACGGGGAATAACGAATAAAATATTATGATTCCTACTTTTTACTTGAACAGCTACATACACAACAAGATTAAGGGAGCTACAAGGAGCAAATACAAGCGGCAAGGAAAATACCCAACTACAATCAAAATACAGATGTGACTAAAGGATAAAACGGATTAACGATCGCGTGGTTCTGGCAATCATCGTATTATCAGAGGAAACATCGAAGAGCATTTCTTGTCATTGGTCAAAACTGATAAAAGTATATAAAAGGCATATAAATGTACATCTGCTTCTAATATTTATATTGTGCATAAAAGATCTATAGACTTGGATTTTATATTTCCTTTCTACTTCTTTTCTTTTATATCTTACAAGTCTTGTATAACTGCAATACTCTTTATTGACTACAAAAGAACGCCCGATAGTTTTTGCAAATTAAAACGCTAGCTATCCTGTTTTCCCAATTTTAAGTATAAAATACGAAATCCAATCTAAATTAGGTAAAGTAAAATTTAAAAAATGTAAAAATATTTGTAATACAAAAAATAAATATGTATTTATCATAAAGAAATTATATATTTCTCTATTTGCTTTTCGCATTATTAAAACCATAGAATAATTATTTATGATATATGTAAATTATTGTTGTATATACGTTTTTTAATGCAACAATAATTTACATATACAATAAATAATTATTCTATGATTTTAATAATGTGAAAAGCAAATAGAAATAATTTCTTTATGATAAATACATATTTATTTTCTGTATTACAAAAATTTTTAATTTTTAAAAATTTTATTTTACCTAATTTACTTAGATAGTTTTCGTATTTTATACTTAAAATTGAGAAAACAGGATAGCTAGCGTTTTAATTTGCAAAAACTACTAGGCGTTCTTTTGTAATTAATAAAGTACAAGACTTGTAAGATATAAATGAAAAGAAGTAGAAAGGAAATATAAAATCCAAGCCTACAGATCTCTTATGCACAATATAAATATTAAAAGCAGATGTCCATTTATGCCTTTTATATACTTTTATCAATTGCATATATTTTTATCAGTTTTGTAATATAATACGATGAAGAAGAACTTCTCACTTGCGATATTATTCGAAATATATATATTATTTGCAAGAACATATAAAATACGTGGTAAGGATATCCTTAACAAAAATACGTATATATTTTAATAAAAATAAGTCTTTTGCAATGTATATTTGTTTGATTCCTCATTTATTTTTATTTTTTCGGTTTAGAAATGTATAAATAAATATATAAAATAATTATGATGTAAATTATGATAAAATAATATGAATCTTTTGGAATGTCCATTTTATGATGAAAAGATTGATTCACAATGAACAAGCTTATCTCACAATAAAGGTGAAATTATCGAGATTACAGCAAAAAATATATGCGACGCAAGAAGCATTCAAGACGGTTAAAACTTCAAGTTTCACGAGGAACACAACGTTAGGATTTTCCCGCCATAACGCAGCTACGTGCATTTGTGCGGAATAACAATAAAAAAGATAGAACAAATTCCACGGAATTTTCTGTTCATTTCAAATTCGTTTCCAGAAGCTCGTCCTATCAAATCGTTTACATAATTAATGCAGATATATATATACTGATTCAATTTAATTTCACCACGGCAAGAGCTTTTCCAAAATTTCACAAAGCTAAATAACAATAGACACGACAAACAATACATACACAGTTTACAGTTACACCGACAAACGCGAAAAAAAAAAGACCGCGAAAACGTCTCGTGTCGTGCACTAAAAATTGCGAGGTATCCTCCAGGCACCGAGGCACGTAGAGGCGAGCGAGGGACTTCCATCGAGGAAGTGCGAGGAAGCTAATCGGCAATAAGGACGTGCAAGAATCGGTCGACATGCAGCAGGTGTGCGACACGGCAAATAAAACTTACTTGCAAATTCGTTGAACCGCTGTATCCTCGCCTTGGAGAAGGACATCTCGTCGTCACGCGCGCGCGCGCGGGCGCAGATTCGCCTACCGTTGTCAACGAGACTGGTTCTGCTCGCGCGACGAGATCGTCGCTGGGACGGTCGCGTGCGATGAGTATTTGTCTAACGACCGTTGGCACCGTTCCGCCGTTGTCCCGCGTTCCGCTTGCATGCACCACCCACACTCAGCGCGACAACAAAACCGCGTGCGAACCGTACACGACCGCACCGAACACTGCGCGCTTTCCAGCCACGACTCCTCAGCGGACCGGACCCGGACACCCGACGACCGCTGGATCGGTTATTTTAATTTGAAACGGCGGTTACTCCTCGAGTGCGGCGACGATTCGCCGCGGAAGCGGCCAATGAGCGCGCAACCCCAGGAAAAATGCGCACTCGACAGTCGACACACAGATCCTCGAAGCTGTATGTATTGTACACACATACATAGATATCACACGCTACTGGATTAAAGATTCTATCAAATCTCTCTCGACCGAACTTGGTCGTGTGTCTTGCCCTCTTGCAATTTTTTTGCCCTCTCTTTCTCTCTTTTCCCCCTTTCGTTCTCAACTATAAACTAGGAGCTAGGCTATTAAATATAAATTTTTGATAGATTTGTCCCAAATATGTGAGATAGAAGCAAAACAAAGATATTTTACCTCTTTCAATCTTTCTGCTCTTTTTTCTTCATCCGATATTTGAATACGCAAATATTTTTTTACGTAAAAAAAGCGTCAAGAGCAAATTCTAACGAAATTCCAGGCGAAAATAATCAAGGAGGATAAGCGGCCGATTTGATAAATTACATTCGCCAAAGATGTAAATAAGAGATTCGTTCGTGTCGTTTAAAATCCCCCAAAATTATTGGACTTAAAACGAAATAAATATATACGTATCTGGATGAGAGAGAAAGCGAGAGTTCTGAATGTAAAGAGTGAATAAATAAACGCGAACTGATTTAAGAAATATAGTCTACTTGACGTAAGAAAATACTTCGTAGCATAATTGCAGCGTCAAGTGAACCATAACCAAGAGGAAGACGTACACCTAAATACCATAGCCTGTACGCGTGCAAGAGCCAATTGCCAAACGTCAAACCGAAGCCACGTGATCGCGCTGACGCACTGTCTCTTTTTCAGCGCCCACGTGAAACGGCGCCCTGAGGGGCACGAGAGCCGCGTGTTGTAAACGCGGCGGCAGGAAGGACTGGCACTGCTGTGCAGTTCTCCGTGTTCGATTCGTCGACCTGACATCTCGCCCGAGTCGCCGAGAGTTCCAACCTCGTCGTTTTTCGGATCGAGCTCGCCCGCATATTCGCGGAATACGTGCGCGACACGAGTGCCACGTGTATCCGGCGACTCGGCCCAACGCGTTATCGCGCTCCAGTTACTCCACATTACTCCCGTATGATAGCCAGTGGCCGCTGATGCTTCGCCGGTGGAGTTTTCGAGCCTGTTGACTTCGCGCAGCGCATCAGACCTCCGGTTCACGATGAGATACAAGCTCTGCGCCGCGCTGCTCCTGCTCTCCGTGCTGAGCTATGTCACCTGTCAGTACAGGACGAAAAACGTAAGGGCTCCTCTCGAACGTCCTGCCCTTTGCTCCTTCACGTTGACCGGCCAGATCTTTCAATATGCCTCCAGAATGTGGTTCTGAGACCATTGTTATCTTCTTACAGAACCAAGGTGGCATCTCCTTGGCGGAGCGCGTGGAGCATCTGACGGAGATGGCGAGTAAAAAGTCGGTGTTGAAATTCAATGGGTCGAAATTCAAACAGTATATTAAGACTCCTCCGAGGAATTATTCCATTATAGTAATGTTTACCGCCATGGCGCCTCAGAGGCAGTGTCAGATTTGCAGGTGAGCTGATTTGTATTTGCGATTTGAACGAGTCGAACTGCTGAAGAAAGCCTAGGTATAATATGTGTTCGATAATTTCAATTTGTAATTTTTTCTAGGCATGCCAATGACGAATTTACAATAGTAGCTAATTCCTTCCGATTCTCTCCAGTGCATACCAACAAGCTGTTCTTTGCCTCTATCGATTTTGACGAAGGGTCAGACGTCTTTCGGCTGGTAAGTTGAAAATACACGGATGTACGAAGATACATGATTAATATGAATATCTTCTCCTATCGTAGATGAAGTTGAATACTGCACCAGTATACATGCATTTCCCACCCAAAGGTAAACCAAAAGCCGCCGACACTATGGACATCCAGCGAGTAGGATTCGGTGCGGAAGCAATAGCAAAATGGATTGGTGAACGCACAGATATCCAGGTAACGTTGCACAGTCGTTTGCGTCACATCGCATTTGTTGTAGTATTAAGGTCGAACTGATATCCATTGAATATGACTTTTTTATTAGATTACTAGATTTTTGCAATACTGTGATCTTATTGTCGGTTACAGATCAGAGTATTTAGACCACCAAATTACTCTGGCACAGTGGGAGTAGGAATTCTCGTGGTTATCATAATAAGTGGTCTGTACATGAGACGTAACAACCTGGACTTCATTTATAACAAAAATCTCTGGGGATTCTGCGCCACGGTAAATATATATTTTTACTCTATTACTTTTTAATTTTTATCATAACAAATAATGAATCCTGATTTACTTGTGCTTCCAGTTCTTTGCCATAAGTATGACTTCTGGACAAATGTGGAATCATATCAGAGCACCGCCTTTTATTCACAAATCACCAAACGGCCATATAGCTTATATTCATGGATCTTCTCAAGGACAATTTGTAGTGGAAACCTATATTGTTTTGGTCATGAGTATCCTTTTTCTATATTCAGAAATTACTTCATGAAAAGCAGTCTACATAAATGTATAGACAAACTCGTTCGTATACATTTCATGTATTGCGATATAAACCTTAATTATATATTAAAAAGATGGGGCAGTGGCATTAGGAATGATTTTAATGACTGAGGCTGCAGCTCGTAAAGGAGACGTTAAGAAACGCAAAATACTAGCTGTGATAGGTGCGGGATTCGTCGCAATTTTCTTTAGTCTTCTACTATCGATGTTTAGGACCAAGGCTCAAGGTTATCCATATAGGTATGTGTTATAGATTTTTTGTCTTCAATTATAAGCAAATTTAACATTTCGAAGCATGATAATATTATTTGAAGAATTAAAAGAATTCAATAATATTATCATGCTTCATATTTGAATATTTATAAGAATTGTCATTACATTTGTATCCCAGGGAAGAATAATTTGTCTGTTTCAGTTTACTGTTCAAGTAACTAAGCTAAGTATAGGAAAAACAACTTCGTACATTATTTGTTTAAGAAAAATATTCGGCATTTCGATATGAAATACAAAACTAGGAAGATTTTTTTACAAATGGAAGGTAAAGAGTTATATTGTTATAAATGTTGTATCATGTTCATTATATTGTATGTAACACAAAAAAATTCATATTTAATACTTTTATTGTATAATAAAACAAAGGTAGTATACGGAAATATGTATTTAAATTAATATAAGGACGAAAATTTATTGAACCTATTTATTCAATGTATGCATATAAATAAATAAATATCTAAATTGAAGGACTTGCTGTAACAATGGGCTAACCCACGGTGTAGCCAAATATGTGATACTGGTAGAAACAAATGTATTTTCTCATGAATATTTTAATTTTAGAGTTTATTTACTCCGTTTTTTACAAAATGTGATTTAGTTCACTGTTGCAGCGGACTAATGTAAGTCCCTCAATTATTGAATAATACTGTTTTCAATAATTAATATATAAATTTCTTTAAAAATGAGTTTTACCATATATAAGGAATTAAAATCTTTCTCTCTTTTGGATAATTTTTGAATGTTTTACGATACCACCGATGACACAAAACTGCACATTCCACCTGAAAAGAAAGTAATTTGTGTACTTAGCCTTACCTCTTTTTACTTTAAGAAAACATAATATTTCTTAGTGATTTCAATTTCTTACTTGATTCGATATAACCCAAAGAGTAACAAAATGATATGTAGAAGCTTGCCAAAGAATCATAGACAGCATTAAATATATGAGTATCTCGCATAATTGCAATGGACCTGCTATATACTTAAATAGTCCACCAGATGGTATTTTATATTCAAGGGATACAACGTCACCATGCGTATTTTTACGTAGTTTTGCAAGAATAAAATTAGTTTTTAATTGCATGTATGACGACCATAAACATATAAATGCACAAACTAGTTTTACAGTTGTGATTTTGTGCAGGGACACATTCGCATGCGAGCCTATAAAAAGAAAAATATATATATAATACGTAATTTATAAAATATATCGCATATTATGATAGAAAGAACACTTAATATTTGCAAAATTTTGAAAATATACCTTTAACAAATCCTGCGGATTCGCCTAGTATACATAAAATTAATCCCATGTAATGTATATGTCCGACTAAATAAACAAATATATGTATTTTCTGATTACTAAATACGTTAATATAACATGTTTCATAGAATCTTTTCCAACAATGTATATTATATATGACAATAGCCAGAATTGCATCTTCTGCTGATACTAAAAATAATAATTATAAATCTATATATAAAAATGTCTACAGAATAATATTCAGTGCATATTTTCAAAAAAATATTTAAGCACAACATACTTAATGGTTTTCTTGATGTTCCTAATAATGCGTCCAACAATGTAAACACAATTTCAGGTATACTCCCATTATAGAGATTTTTATACAAAACTAAGCAAAGAGTAATAGTCATCAGTGGTGCACACAAAATATAAAAATGTCTAAACCATCTAAAAAAATTTGATTATTACATGAAAAAATATACACTTATACATTTGATACTTTAACACAGCTTTAATAATATATATTTTTAATAAATTATCGTTAAATTAGATTGTCCTATCTTTATGAAAAAATATATATGTTAGTTTTTAATTTACCTTTTGGGCACTTCGAGTTTTGATGCTATTGCGTGAGGAGCCTTTATACTAAATTTGCCGTAGAGTATACCGCGTTTTATCAATGCAGGTAAATAAGGTTCCAGGAAATTGATCGATAATCCAATTAATATGATACCCGCTGAGTTTAAGATGAAAAGATTGCGCATAATATTTGTATCCATTTCTAATTGGTATATAACTTCAACGATAACAGATTGCAAGTGACTGTGCGTATAAGAAGTCTATTCTTGTCAAAAGTCAAGTGAATTCTGTTTAGAAAGACAATCTCTACGGTACAGTTTCTCTCTAGAAAGTTCTTCATACACTTTATAGTTACGCTCAGTGTTCTACTTTGCATTCAGGTCACTGCAACAACGAAAAGCAATTTAATCATACATCTAAACGAATTTTGAGAATTTTAAGATTAAGGATGTCTGGATTGTACAGAATTTTTCTAAAAGTTATTGAAATTTATTTCCTCATCAAATTTGTAAACAAGTACAACAAAAAGCGATTTTACATAAGAATGCAAACGAAAAATCAAATAACTTTAAAACCAATAAGAAAACTGTGCTCACATACAGACTTAGATATAATAATAGAATCTATGAAAAATTTATAATATATAATGTAAATAATAAACATAATATATACGCTTCATAAAAAATTTCTATACGTATTTTGGAGTATATACTTATACACTATATGCAAATATGAAATACATAAAAGAAATAAACGATTATCGACACGATTATTAATAATATTTACATAATGAACGAAAATATTCGGTGATAATTATATTGTTTAACAATATAATATTGTATAACAAAAAAATGCATTAGAATGAAAGTAACTGTTTCCTGTAGTTTTTAAACGTTGACTATCCTAAGACTGCGTTTCGATATTTACTGCCAGTTTACCTAATGTCTATGAATACGTGAAGTGCGCGACCATTAACAAACACTATCGATGCACGACTCATGGACAGGCGAGCATGTAACTGTGTTTTACTCTGTAATTGGACAGTTATCTTTGTATCTCACAAATGAAGGTTGCGTTCGGATATTCATAGAATGCTCTGCACAAACAACACAAAGTCCAAAATCGGAACATAAGATATTTTAAAAATATCTTAAAGATATATTTGCGAAAAACATAAAAAATGGACAAATGTAATATAAGCCTTATGTCCTGATTTTGTGCTGTCTGAGTAGATTAGAATAGTCTAATGATTAGACAAAAGTGCGTATAATGTGCGTGTAAAAAAATTTATATGCTACTATTTAATAAACATATATAACGAATAAGATAAGATTATAATTTATCGAAATTTTATGTTGTTATTATAATGTTAGTTAACGCGCGATCATTTAATCGTAATCTGTACTGGCTACTTTTAAATCTTTCATTTATATTTCAAAAACTACTGATAGGAGCAAAAAATGGCAAATGCTTTTTGAAAAGTTTATGAGTAAAGAATATCAAAATTTAAATTAATTATTCCCGCGCGACATAATTAAAAAATATTCGATAGATTCGTAATGACTTATATAAATTGCAACTTTGATACAATAAACCATATATTAATAATACAAATCTGTTTTAACTATAATCCACGCAACAAATTTTTTTTAAGATTCTAACAATATATTTTGTCTATAATAAAAGATCTTCAAAACAGTCATAGATCACATGTAATTACGTAGGTAACATAAAAATAAATTAGAAAATAAAATAGTGCTGCGTACAACTTAAATCACACTCATAATTGTAACGTGACAAAATAATTTGGCAAATAAAATTATATTTAACGCATAAAAATGAAATTATTATTCTTGAAAAATCATTTTTCGTTGAACAAAGTTATTGACAGATAGAATGTAAAATAACAATATACCAAATCGTAATAAATAAGGAACCCTTTTCGTCTGTATGTGTCTAGTGTGGGAAATCACAAACGACTGCTTTAAAAATACATATACTGAATATCGCTAAGTTATCATATGTGCCAACTTATTGTCTTCATACATAAATATAAACAACGAAAAATTAAATTGTACATAAAAACATTATTTATGAAACATTATTTATCGTTTTTTATATTTATGTATGAAGACAATGAGTTAGCACATATAATAACTTAGCGATATTCAGTATATGTATTTTTTAATTAATATAAATCTCACATTATGATATATTGTAGCTAACAATTTTCTTTTTTTTAGTGTATAACATTTTCACAAATTGTTCAAAATTTATAAAATTAAATTAGGCCAATATCTATTGACCATATAATTTTTCTATTTAATTATTTAAATTAAATCGATGATCTAATAATCGTGAAAGCAATTTATTTGTTCTGTGAATAAAGTTCTGTTTGTCGCAATTTATGATGTATTTATAATAATTTAAATGACATGACAGAAAATGAGTTTATTTATTGCACAAATTACTTCCACAAATAACAATTTTAGGTATAAATAGGTATATAAGAAAGTGTTTTATGATTATGTTCCTTTTCATCAAATTTATAATTAATTAAGTCACAATTCAAGAGAAAAAGTTTCTTTTGTACATTTTATTTAAAGAAATAAGAAAATCATAATTTATTTTAACAGTTAATGTGCGAGAATATATTTCTAATTTGTAAAGTTCTACTTCACATATCTGTAATAAGAGATAAGAAATTTTAAAATAAAGACCCGTTTTTATAATCATCCAAATTTACGTTTATGGAGGTCTTAAATATCTATATACAACTGCTATAAAAATATTAAATGTTAATAAATAAAACATTAAATATTAGAAATACAATTAAATAAAAGAGATTATTCACACTGTCTGTGACTTAGATATTGGGTGAACTTCTATTCTAAAAATTAAAGTATCGTGCTGCAAAAAATCGATTACATCGCGTATAGGTATAAATTCCGTGTAACCGAAGCTACGTTTATTCAATTCGCACGTGGGTTTTCGGAATGCTTCAAGATCTGGATTCGACGATGTCGTTTCGCATATATTCTTTTTTGAATCTTGCGGATGTATTAACGCAAAAAACATTGTGCCATTGAACGGCCAATCCAAGGCATCGTCATTCTCTGATTTCATAATATGCAAAAGAAAAGATAGACAATCGGGGTCCTTGGACGATATATTAATTCTCGCGCAGATCTTATAACCGTTTGGACTTGTGTAAAAACCTGGGCTATAAAACATTTTTAGAGGGTCGTTGGTCATAGCGTCGAGTTTCTCTTGAAAGGATTTCAGTCTCCATATGTAAACTCCATTACAATTTCGTAGACACATAGCCGCGAGCTGATTTTTCTGATTTGACACTGTTATAGAGAGCTCCCGATTTTCCTGTTCCAAAACTACTATCCTTTCATATAAATTTCTAGAAACAAAATTTATAACGTTCACATGTATTTCACATGTATATTTCAGCATATGTAAGCATAGTATTTATAAAATCATATTTAGATTACTTGAGCAACTGTTGCCAATCGGGAGAAGGCTCTTCCTTGTCTGCAACCTGTATCCCATTCTTTAAAGGTGGATCCCATAATTTTGACTCCACAGACAGTGCATTAGTGCTATTTTGTACTGTCAGACAATTATAACAATATATTAAAGGAAAACAGGAGCACAATTTCTATTTTTTACTATATAAAATATACCTCGAGGCTCCGAAAGATCTTGTTTGTAGGTGCATTGAGCGATATGCGTTTCCATATCCACAGGAGACAATTTTACTTGACAACCAAATTGCTGATAAATACAACATGTACGTTTTTGAGATATCTCTCTAGTGGTATAAAGGTCTGGGAAAAGATTTTCAGACTTCAAAGGTTGACTGTCAACTGGACAGCAAGCGCCTTCTTTCCTGATAATTCATAATGACCGGTCAACTTACACACGTAATCACGAAATCTTGATTAAATGAGATACAACTTACTTAAGCCAAGTGTAAATGCACTGTGAGCAAAACTTATGGCCACAGGATGTTAAAATTGGATCGCGCAGCCATGTTAGACAAATGGGACACTCGAATCTAGGCTCTACATAGCCTTTGACACTCTCGTCACACTGCGTGCAACGAAATTGTAAATAGATTTACAAATGAATGACACACATTAGTATAAAAGTTGAAGCAAACACAAATACAGAATTGTGGGTTAGTGATTAGTTCCGTTACGACCGATAACGGACAGTTAATTGATTTCGCGTTTGCCAAATGAATGTATAATCAATTAAAAAACAAATATAAATAAAAAAATCCATTTTACAAAATTGCAGATACGTACACTTTCGCTTTCCTCGGCGACCTTAGCAGGCTTTGTTGATCTGTCCGACGTTTCCATAATCTACAACAAGACCATTTTTTACTAAACTAGATAACAAACGTCTATCAAATAATTAACACATTATATAATATTAACACATTATTAACATTCAAATGCGGACAATCTTTCTGCTTTATCGTATACATAAATTATATAAACCATATATGATTAACAACTTACTGCAAATTGGAGTATTCTTTTGAAAATACTGAAATATTAGATGGGACTATCACTTCATGTACAGAGCTTCATGTAGAGGCATTCTGTGCACTTGCATCTGTATAGAAGTTCCTGTGTGCTTAAGGAATAATAATTCCAAACGAAAGTCGAAATTGTTGCAAACTCCGCCTCTATTCAGTCCTTCAGTCTTACACAAGTTGCAAACTATCTGCGTGATGATCCGATCTTCTTTGACGTTCCATATAAATGGTATTAATTTTGAGTATATTATATAAAGTATCACACAGAGAAATAATTAAGTCACACAAGTACATCTTCATTCATACATCTCCATAGTACAAGTACTTTTTTTTTATTGACAAAACTAACTAATAGGCGATTTCAGCCGTTTTAGGTTATGGTTATACATTATCATTAGTTTAGTGAACTGTGCGCCATCTGTTGCAAGTTGATTATAATACATGAAGAAAATTTCGTGATCTTCATATGGTATACTTCTTTCGTGATCTTCATATGGTACTCTTCTGTATTGATAAGTTCAAAAAACATTACCAGAGAGAAGCATGAGAGAGCTCTCTTAATTAAATAGAAGACAGTATTATTATACAATATTAACGCCATTATTATACAATATTAACGACAATATTTCTGCGCCTATTTAAACGACCACTTTCTGGATATCGCGAACGTTGTAATTAATTAATCATAAAATTGTTAAATATCTCGCGCCTATTTAAACAGTCACCTTTCGAATTGTCGTCAAATTCCGAGCAAATTTTACGCCAAGAGTTTGCACAAAATTTACTTAATTACAACTATAAACTTTTGGGAAATTAATTTTATTATTATTTGTCCCGCTTCATATTCTACAACTTTTATTTGAAACATTTTTTCGTATCTTGTATATTTTTCGAGATATTTGCCTGGGGAAATTAAAATGGCATACCCTATGTATACAAAGTGGCCCACTTAAATTAAGCATCTTAAATATTACTTTTTTCAAAGATTCAAAAATCAAAATAAGCTTTTTAAAAAAAACGACGTTATTGTTTGTACAATTTTATAACCAATATCGAGAAAAGTTCAGCGACTTATAACAACATACTCTTCAACATAGATGTTTATTTAAAAAAGTATTCAAAATGATGTCCTAATATAAAATAAAATAACATATTTAATATAAAAATAATTTTTTACGATTAATACGATACAAGTAGCGTACTTATTGTTAGTACTTTTATAGCTAATAATTTCTATAGATATTTATGAATATAAAACAATTATAAATTAGAAAATATTACGTTGTATCTGTTACAATATAATATTAGCGCAATTAGCTGTATTTATAAAAACAGTATTTTAAAACAAAATAAAAGTTTAATACGTAAATGTTCTAGAACTAAAAAAACCATAAAATTAATAAAGAACTATGAAACAAATATTAAAAAGTAGAATATTTTTAAAATACCTTGCGCAAAGTGTATACATATATATTGTTAATTCTTTCGTATTGATTGTGTAAAAGATTAAGTTAAAATCACATGATAAATCACCAGATATAAGGAATTAAGATTTTTCTCTGTTTTGGATAATTTTTGAAAGTGTTTCGATACCATTGATCAGAAAAAAATGCACGTGCGACCTACAGTAAAAAAAAACCAAAAATTTACTTAATTATCAGTGGAAAAGAGAGAGAATTATTTAATCTTTATTAATTTTTATTAATTAATGATTAATTTAACAAGTAATAAATATTCTATCGTAATATTTTGTAAATATTAATAAAGTTATCATTATCTTTAAATGATACACAGAAAGAAAGAAATTTATTGTGACTTACAAAAATACAATAAATTATATAGTTAGAATGTTTGTCGTAAATAATTTTGTTGGTTAAATTAATCATCAATTAAATTGTGCAAAATCGAAATAATTCACAGAATTATTTCACACCTGATTCAGTATGACGAAAACAGTAATGTAATGAAATGTAGAAGCTTGCCAAAGGATCGTAGACAGCATTAGGTACACCAATATTTCCGTAAGTTCTAATGGATTAGATATGTAATTAAATAATTCACCAAAAGGTATCTTGTGTTCTTTGGTTACAACGTCTCCATGTTGATTCTTACGCAAACCAGCAAGAATATAATTCGTTCTAAGTTGCATATACGTTGAGCATAAAAATATAAATGCACATATCGGTTGTATAGCTGTTAATTTATGTAAAAAAAAATTCGCATGCGAACCTGTGTAAAGATTGTAAAAAGGTAATGTAATTAAATCTGTAATAACACAAGTAAATGAAGAAAGCTATATTTGATCAAGGTGAATCCTAATAATACTTTTTGCGTGAATTTTTTACAATTACTATTTCATGTGTGCTGATTATTTACTAGTCTTAAAAGATAGTCCCAAATTGAAGCTGAAGTCCCAACACGAATTATGTTAATAAAAATTGTGAGAAATTTATATTGTTTTAAAGTGCTCATTAGCATCAATATTGTTAAATTGCTTGTCAATTTAATTCGTGATATCAATACAACTGTTGTTTCAGTTTAGAATTGTACTTTAAGACTGATAAATAATCGAAGCGCAGTTTGTATAAACTTGTAATTATACACAATTCACGCAAAATATTTTATTAAATATCAAAATTTACCTTGACTAAAAATGGTTTTGTGTATTTATTAGTGTTATTTTATATATCGATCAATTTTTGTTTATTAATACCCGTAAATTTTTGAATACTCACCTCTGACAAACCCTTTTGATTCTCCTATTAGAGATGCCACAAATGTTAAGTAATACACAAATGAAAGTATGTATTGAACTATGTTCATTTTTTGATTACTATATACACAGACATAGTATGTTTCGTATGCTCTTTTCCAGCAATGTACAAAAAACAGAATAATTGCTAAAATTGTGCTTTCCGCTGATACTAAAATTGCAGTTACATAAATAATACTTTGATGTAATTATATCACACAGCAATTATATATAAATTTATATATTATATTATATGTCATTAAAAATGTAAATGTACAATTTATTACACATATATTTTAAATTATACATATAAAATTTCTTATAAATTAATAATTATTTTCTAGATAAATACCTGAGGGCTTCCGTGATTCACCTAATAATATATCTAATAATGAAAGCAGATTTTCGGGGATACTTTCATTATACAAATATTTATTTAAAGCTAAATAAAATAAAATAATCAACGTAGGTCCAACGATAAGATATACTTGTCCATAAGATCTAAAAATTCGAATAACTATTTAAGTTGTCGTTGGTGGACAGCAGGGCTGGGAAGTAACATATTATTTTTGCAACGCCATTATTGTTACAGTTACTCTTTTTTAATAAAATAACAACGTTGTATTATTTTATTAATAATGTTAACGCACTTACATTTTTTGGGTAACGGAATATCATTGTTACTTTTATCGTTACTTTATACACGTACAATGCAAATGTGTGTAACATGCATAAGTGAGTTTTAAAAAAAGCAGTGTTATGTTTAACTATGTGTGCGATTAAGCGTAATCACTATAGATTTTATTAGATATCATTCTAAAAAAAATTCGGTGCAAAAATAATGGAAATTGTAACAACTCGATATTTATTAACGTAACGTTTGCGTTAACGAGTTACTTTTTCTTAATAACAAGTTATTTTTTATAATAAACATCGAGTAAAAAAATTGTTAAAAGTAATTTCTCCAATTGATGAATAGTAAATAGAAATTATTTTTATAAATGTTAATCGTAAATTATCTTGTTTATAATTAAGGTATAATTTATTAAATGGGACTTACTTTTTGGGAATTTCGATTTTTGTTATTGTAGGATGGTGGGTCTTTATGTTAATCTTACCATAAAGACTAAAACGAATTAACGCTTTAGGTAAATAAGGTTTCATATAAGCAATTAATAACACCATCGATCCGTACACGACTGTTAAAAAAATTAAAATATAACGTATTATGTTTACATCCATCATTCGATTTGTTGAGATTAGCTGAACAGATAAGTGTGATAGTCCTGTAAAAAATTTTTACTCTCTTTTTTAAGGGAAAGAAATTCTCAAGCGTATCATCATTGTAAGCTTCATTGTCACTGTTTTATTTTCTTTTTCACAAATTCAAGTAACTATATATTAACACAGTTGTATGTGTGTCACATTTTATAAGGAAAATCTAAAAATGTATTTCTTTAAAATGTTTTTTCTTAAATGTATTTCTTCTGAAGATAAAGATCTGTATATGTTTTCTATACGATGTCGAACATATAAAATAATACATTTGTTTATAAAAGTCCATATTCAGAACGTATTTATAAGCAATGTTGAAACATTAACTATAAGTTTGAAATTTCATAGTATATAATGTGAACTATATGCTAAATACGCGCTAATATCATTACAACTCGTCCTAATACGGGCCAAAAATTTATTAACAAAAACTGCTTTAGCAAATTATAATCTTACTGAGTCTGACAATATTATCATGTAATTATTTATATGTCACTTTTACTTACGCTGTATTAGATGTAAGTATATGTAAGTTTATACACCAACGTTTTTAACTTATTCAGAGACTGTGCAAAATGCAACTGACTTAAAATTAAACATTAAACAAATCAATAACTGCAACAGATGATGATTTCATGCACACAAAACACGAGGCATGTACATGTACATGCACTTAGCATCTCAACTACCTTAAGTTGAACTGATACTACTAATAACAGTGTACAAAGTACAACTATATTATCGATTGTGCCCTCCCTCGTGCTCTCTGATTCTCGATTACTCGAGCATTTCTAAATTTTATTTTACGCGCGGTTGATACGCAAATTATACTATATAAATATACATATATTAATATAGTCATCTCATTATTCTAATATTAATATAGTCATCTCATTATTCTCTGTATAAAAATATTAAGATACAATTGTCAAGAAATTATCAATAGTTTACGCGATATTTCGTGTTTTATGTTAAAATATGGCATGATAAAGTATGAAATATCTCGTAATACATATAAAAGTATTAAAGTAAAGTTATCGAGAAATTAATACTTTATTTCATACTTTATCATGCCATATTTTAACATAAAATATGAAATACTGCGGTTTACCTTCATAAAAGATGCTATTTCTCGTTTCGAAAAAATCAATTTTAGTACCGGCAGTAATAAAGGCTTGCACCAAATTTTCCTTACCGGAAATCCAATAGCGGTTTAATAAAAATCATGAACATTAGAATGATAACTACTGATCGTTTACACAAAGCTAGCTTTTGAGGCAGTTTCTAAAAAATCGCTCCTCCGACATGAGAACAAGACAAACAGACTTCAATGGGCTCAAAATTACAAAGGCTGGACATCGAATTTTCCCAACTTATACTCCTGTCCGGAAACTTTTCGACAGCAGTGTATATATTTTTAATTCTTTCGTACTGATTGTGAGAAAGTTAAATTCACATAATAAATTACCAGATGTAAGGAATTAAGAGTTTTCTCTCTTTCGGATAATTCTTGAAAGTGTTTCGATACCAATGGTTAGCCAAAATCGCACATTCGACCTGTAAATAAAAAAACAGAAATTTTCCTAGCTTTCAGTGAAAAAAAAGATTTAGGGTGATCTCGATCAAATTTCTATTGGCGATTAATTTATCAAGTAATAAATATATATTTACTCTAGTATTTCATTAACATTTATTAATTTTTAATGATAGGGAGGAAATATTGACTTATAAAGATATAATAAATTATGTAGTTTGTAAAATATTCTGCCGGTTAAATTAATCGTCGATTAAGTTAAGCAAAATTTTAATTGAAATAGCTCAGAGAATTATTTATATATACCTGATTCATAATAACGAAAATAGTAAAGTAATGAATTGTAGTAGATTGCCAAAGGATCGCGGACAGCATTAGGTACATCAATATTTCCGTAAGTTGTAACGGACTCGATACGTAATTGAATAATTCACCAAACGGTATCTTGTGTTCTTTGGTTACAACATCGCCATGCTTATTCTTGCGCAATCCCGCAAGAATATAATTCGATCTAAGTTGCATATACGTTGACCATAAAAATATAAATGCACATATAAATTGTATAGTTGTAAATTTATGGAAGGAAAAACTCGCTTGCGAACCTGTGTAGAGATTGTATGAATCGTAAAACGAGTACATAATATAAATAATATCTGTAATTTTTTGAATACTCACTTCTGACAAATCCTTCTGATTCTCCTATTAAAGATAACATTAACGTTAAGTAATATAAAAATGTAAATACATATAAATAAATGTTAATACTTGTGTCACTATATACACAGACATAGTATGTTTCATATGCCCTTTTCGCAACGTGTATTGTAACAATCAAAATTGATAAAATTGTGCTTTCCGCTGGAACTAAAATAATAATTACAAAAATTATTATAAAAAATTAAAATATATAATTATATTAAATTATTAAAAAATATATATATATTTATATAAAATTTATATACATACACACACACACACAAACACACACACACAAAATTATATAAAATTATATATTATATACTTACATTTTCTAATTTTTATATATATATATATTCTTATATTTACAATTTTTCTTATTTTAATAATAATTTTGCAGATAAATACCTAAGGGTTTTCTTGATGCTCCTAATGTTGCATCTAATAATGAAAGCAATCTTTCAGGAACACTTTTATTATAAAGATATTTATTTAAAATTAAACAAAACAAAATAAAATAAATTGGTGTATAGAGAGCATAAAACTGTCCAAAATATCTAGAAATTCGGAATAATTAAATTATTTCAGTTGTTGTCATTTCAGTGAATAGTAAATAGAAAATACTTTTATATACGTTTATCGTAAATTATCTAATATTTTCGAAAAAAATATACTTTAATTAGAGATAACTTACCTTTTAGGCATTTCGAATTTTGCTATTATTGGATGGCGGATGGTCTTTAAATTATACTTCCCATAGAGAAAAAGGCGAACTAATACTCTAGATAAATAAGGTTCTATGTAAGCATGTAAGAACGATAGCAAACCCATTAGGACTGTATTAAAAATTAAAAAGTAATGTATTATGTTTACATCCATTATTTGATTTATTGAAGTTAGCTGAACGTAAGTGTGATTCTGTAAAAAATTTTATTTGAAATGAAATATTCACGTATCGTCGTTGTAAGCTTCACTGTCATTGTTTTATATTTTTACACAAATTTAAAGTTCTATTATGTCACCACGTCATTTGTAACCTTTTATAAAAAATATCTAAAAAAATGTATTTCTTGAAAATATATTTCTCTCTTTTTTAATAAAATCATAAATGAAAGATATTACATTAATAAAAAATTATAAAGAAAATGTATTTCTTTTATAAAAATCTGTTTGCTTTTTGTACGATATCAAACATGTAAATATATTTATACATAAAAAATTGTTATTTAATTGCAGAACTTTAGCGAATTATAACTTCACTATTACTGTTAGATTCTTGATAATGTTATCAGTTATTTTTACTGTATCATATTTGTACTGTTATCATATTTATATTATATTTTGCACTTACGTTACGTAAGTTTACACACGTTTTTAACTACTTTAGATGTTCTCTCTCTTTAAGGCACAACTGACTCGAAATCAGAAACATCATCACATATATACTAATTAAACAATCAGCAAACAATAGAATTTAAATTGCTAATTTCTAAGAAAAAAATTGTCATCCATATTAAGACAGAATTACATTATTTATTTAATCGAATAAAAATATGTAAAAAAACGAGCGAAATATAAAATCAATGATAAAATATATAAATAAATGCAACAACGATTCTTTATAATCAATTATGTATCTTTAAAACATGGAAAATTGATGATTTGAATTTTATTTTCTATTTTAAGTAAAAAATGTTTTTATCAAACAATTTGCTGTTACTTTCTCTGTTACAGCGATGCATGCTGCAAAAATGACACATCTTGTAAGAAATTTAATGAAATTAATAATTGTACTTCCATAACATGTTGCGTTGTTAAGCTAATAAAGAGCCGAATGTTTGTGCGATTTCTTGTGTCGCGCGCGAAGCACTGTTGCATGCGAGTATGACGGATATTCACTGAAGAGAGATAGCAACATTTCTCGAAGAGACTTGATCGAGATCGAAGAGACCAACCGAGATCGTTAATTCGGACAGATCGGATGCGGTCGATGCGGGCATCGGATTATTTAGGCTATATTTGAATATCTAAATCAATTTTAACAACTGATTTTTATTTAAATTTGATCAAAACGGTTTCCATTATTGCGCAAATATCTATACATAAAACTCGAATACGCAGAAAGTTAAAGCATGCAGATGATTGATGAATGATCCTATTTTCTCTTCCTATTCTACTATATTTTTACAGGCAGCTTCTTGCTAGCCGTAAGATTTACGAGAAATCGCAGATATTTACGTATATCTTATAATACACATAGAATTACAATTTCAATCATAAATACTTACAAACCTTACAAGCCTTACGATTCTGCTTAGGACTGACTCATAAATCTAAGTGATTTTCGATTTTCTTCAATCAAAAGTAATTTTTCATGTGCATTACAGTATTGCATGAGAATTTTAAATCTTCTAATTTCTCGCGCCACAAAAAGAGTTCTGTTTTAATCAATTGAAGTCAAAGTTCGATGCGCAGAACCAGTCGCAACTACTTTCGCTGTTCGACCCCGCATAAATCTTTGCCGGAGTAGTCGTCGAAGTAGGTGAGGACAAGCGACTCGTGCTACCGCAGACTGCAGGCGTTTCGTTATGTATGTAGTTTAGCGTCTTCCCATTTCTCCTCGGTCCTAATAACGGTGATCGTCGCGGAAAGGAGGATAGTGTGCATATATAATATCGCGTAATAACTTTGCCACGCGGTGCGCATGACGTCGTAGAAGCGGACACCATGGGAAGCCAAGACCGACGCGCGAAGCTACAACGAGACATGAAGATTTCGTCGCTGAGGGAGACGCGTATTCGGATGAGCGTTTTATCTCTTTCTTGTCCGCACCTAGACAAGAAATGTTGCGTCAGGTAAGTCCCTGTCGTCGCATTATTACTTAGCGATCACATATCATAGAATGGCTTTTTGCTATGCCCGCCGACCGTAATATGGATTTTACGAGTCATCCATTGTATAATTGAACGAACGTATAATTTACGAACACTCGTGTGAAAGCTACGAGTTAAACGGACATGGTCGAGCGGTCAAGTTCAAGCGGAGGATTTGTAAGTCAGTGGGTGTTCCTCAATCAAACGCATAAACATACTACTTAATCATTTGGAACGTACAACAAGAGGTAACAGCAGCAATAAGCAACTTTTACTAAAGCATCAAAACAGATTACATGATCAAAACGAACACCAAGCATCAATTTTGATCATGTGGTCTATTTTTACGTTAAAAATAAAGCGTCGAGCATGAAATCGTATCTTTTTCTATGCAATTTTGTAGCAGCAAATAAAATTTATGCTATTTACAAAAAGAGTGTGAAAGTAGCGTAGGTTTGTTCGATTCAAGCGTGGAGATTTCAATATCGAAGGCCGGTATTCATAGTCCATTCTTACATTTAAGACTGTTTTAAGTAATGTCTTCAGACTAATACCGCTCTGTGATATTGACTTATGGTATCTTAAAACTGGATTTAAAACGGTCTTAAATATAAGAATCGATTTTGAATATCTGCAGCCACAGAGTCACAGAGTATTAGCATCTTAAGACATTACTTAAGATCAGTTTTGAAATAAGAACAGACTTTCGGCTGTTAATAACGATAAAATAAAGTTTTAACCGAATAAAATAATAAAATTAATCACGAGATGGTAGAAGGTAGTCGAAAAAAAAAACAGCCGAAATCCCTGCGAACTTTTCGAACAATCTAATAGATTGTAGAAAAACTTAACAGACTAATAAAATTATAAGTAAATTAAAAATCCAATAAATTTTATGAATAAAAAATTTAAAAATTCATAAAAAGACAATTTATTTTCTGCAACAACTGTGAGACAAAAAAAATCTGATGAAAGAGTATATATTCAATATTAAATAATAAGTAAATTTCATAAATTAAAATTTCGTAAATTAAATAAATAATAAGTCAATTTTTCTTATATTGCGATTATTAATATATGATGAATCGTAATACACAACTTTTCAATCTCATGCCAATTTCTGTTGAATTATATTAGAGTTTCACATTACTACTATATCACTTCTCATATAACTTGATTACTAATCTTTAAATAGTGTCATATCAGGCTTATCGGGCTTACTACTTCAAGATTAATTGACACGAATACAAGTCGTACTTGAAGAAATGCAAGTTTAAAATCGAGAAAATGTGCTTCATGAAAAATCTAATGGCGATACATAACGATCACATCTAATTCGAAAGCGCAGATCTATATAAGAAATATCTAAGAAAAAAGTTAGAGAAAGACTCAGGAGAAATGCGTGAATCAGGTGAACTGTCGGGTTTCCTCCGCGAATAATCGTCACTTCCTGTATTTACTTTCAACGTCCATTAACCATGTGTGCAGGATCAAGTAATATCTGCATGAAATATGCCGCTATTTTGCGTTACTATGAAATTGACAGCGATCTCTAAATTGCAACATTTCTCCTGACGCATTATTTGCTAGAAAGTAGCTAACTGCTGAATTGGCTATGCAAACAAAACAACATAAGTTAAAATATCAAATCAAAATAATAATTTTGATTAAACAGTTAAAAACAATAATGAAATTACGTTAAAACAATTTTGATTTTACTAAATCTTAGACGTGTATATTCAGTTTAAAAACATAATCTTCGAAATCTTAAAAATTGAATTCTTGAATTCGCTATATTAATCATAATGCAAAATTACATTTCGGATAACTCAGATGTTATCTTAATTGAATCTTATCTTACTTTTTAAATAAATCTTGAAAAAATTTCCATTCTCTGAAACATGTCGGGTTCACAAATTTGTCCTTGATTATAAAATTTTATATGAGTATTGTTTAGTGAATTTATGGCCTCTTGTACGGCGAATTATGCATGAAGGAATGAATGTGCACAGATTTTATTTGTCGTTTGTACGATCAATAAAATTGTATTATCAAAGACGTCGGAACTGGTAGCGCCAATCGATTATCGAGTATATCACACGGATAAAACAAATCTGAGATACAGAAAGGGATTTTTAAGATATCGTAGCTGTTTAAAAAAAAATTATTCCGATATACGTGGTATCAAGCTAGATTTTTCGACGACTTAATTGAAAACAACAATCTCAGAAAATTTTTTTCTCGGACTAACTGTATTAATTATACCATTTTGTACCATAAAAAACTATTTGAATTTTTTAAAAATATATTCCTAATTTTTAAATAATATGCAAATACGTATAATATTTATAAAGATTAGGTGCATATTTTTATAAAATAATTATTAATCCAAAATATAATTTTGTGTTATAATTAATATAGTGAACTCAATTCAATTTTTAAGATTGCTTTTGAACTGAATAGACTTTTTAAAATAGAATTCATGATTTAAAATTGAAAAAATTTAAATTACTTTTTTTAAATTAATCAATAATATAATTAATTATATTTATTCATACAAACATGTCATATAAAGTTTAATTACACATGTGCGACATGCATTAATGAGTATGAATGTTTATAAAATTAATAATTACACTTATCGATAATTGATATTGGATGCCATCTGTAACGAGATGGCATCTTTGATTGATGAAAGCACGCTGTAATTAGAAGTCATAAAAAATCGTATCTATAAAATATTTATTAAAAAATTTTTACATTTACAATACTTTCTTTACTTTTCTTTATGGCAAATCAATTATATCTTAGTATTTTACAATGTTTCGGAAAAGAGAATGTGATCGTGTGCACGCGGCGATAAAATGAAACTAATCACGCGCAAATAATGTCGACAAGGTTAACGCGCGGCTCTCCACTCGAAAGAATCATATTTTCGAATTGTTTAATCATTTCACAATTCAATCTCTACTTGCGTGACAAACGGATTTCAGTGTGATTGTTGTAGCTTAAAAGTCACCATATAATGGAACGTTCGTAACAATGAAACAGGAAGATCTCTTAGATCTTTAGGTAATTTTGCACTTTGTAAGCAGTAATATGTGATTGACATATTATCTTTCAATTTTTGAATTTACCTTTGAAGACGATCGAAGTTATATGTGTTAATTGAAACGTCAATATTCTTACAGTCAAAGGTTTATTATTTTTTACTTTTAATTTCAATTTAATTATATATGTTTTACGCAACACATAGTCAAGGCCGGCTTCTATTGTTGTACTTGATGTTTTCCCCTTTTTATCTTTTAAATCTCTATTTCTAAAAGATTCTTATAAAGATTCTTTTTTTTTCTTTCAAAGTTAAATTCTAGAGCAAAATATCCTTTGATGTTTCAAGTTAGACAACGCATATAAATTAATATAATTAAATTATCTACAATCTCTTATGACAAGTAATACATAAAAATTTGTAATGTTTCGCATATACAAATTAGTACTTTTTACATATTGTAGCAATGCATTTTAATGAGTTAAAAGACTTAAAAGAAACGTAGAGTAATTGTAGGATTATTCTAGGATACGCCTAATCCTTGAAGTTATATGATAACTCGAGGTCTCGATAGCGAGGAAGCATTATCGAGTCTAAACGTCCCTGGATCTATTATCTATTATCGGAATCATTGCGACGTCCGAGTCTTTTAGATAATCGGTGAGTTATCGGCTACTGCCTACTTTTGCAACCATCACAATGAACTGTCGATATAATACACGTGTGGCCGCGGAGACAAGTGTTAGTCCACCTCCGTGATGTGCGCGCGTTGTGCAAATTCGGGCTCCTCTCCGAGAAGACCTCCGGCGCGAAAATTCGTAGGGAGTAATACGGAATGTCAATAACACAATAATTGCGTTCCTCTCTTCCCAAGAGTGCTGATATTCTCACAGATATCTTCTACAATTTACTGAGCAGTTCAGAGGTCAGTACAACTTGTCATTATACCATAGCGATAAAGTGCCTCTTCGAGAATACGATATTTTCACAAGAAATATTCTTTCTCCATTAAAAGAATAATACATATTATATATATGTACGCTCGTATACATACGTATCCACGCAGTTCGCACTCTATACGCAGATCACGAATTATTCGCGATGAATTACACGTGGCAGTTTGCCTTACATTCGACGTAAAAAAATAGAACACTGGTGGAATTTGAGAACGTATTAAACGACAATGCGTTAAATAAAAGCGTCGCTATCGCTGCTACTGTGTTGTTATTACTATTATTATTATTATTTGAATGAGTCTTCCGATAAGATAGCAACAACCATGGCGCAATGTTTTTGAGAATCTTGTGCTTCGCCTGACTGGGAGAGTCGGGAAAGATCCAGCGCGTAGGATCGATGGATCGCTCGGACGTAACTATCTGCCGACGCGTAACCGTCCCCTGGTAGTTTTGTCGCGCTTTTACGGTATCAATGTATCTCGCGTTGATCGTCCGAGATGACGTCGATTGTAGGAGCGGGAATTTCGTTGTTCAAAGCCCATTACTGCGCCCGGATGTTCGCAACTAACGCTTTGACGGGTCTCCCCCCTTGTCAGATCTAACACAGAGACGCCGGACACGGTGTATGTGTGACACGCCGCGAAATTGCACTCGTTCGTGTCGACGTGTATGCATGTGTCATCATGACGACGATGTGTGTACGCTCGAGAAACCTGCATGCTCAATCTAAATCGACGTCGAAACATGCCGCCACGCCGCGCCGATACGTTCCCCGTTTCTCGCAGTCGGATACGAACGTTTTCGACTGAATATTATAAATTAGAATCTTAATTAGAATTAATATTTTACGATTTTTAACGAAAATACGTCGGCTGTACCGCGATTATATAAGGCAACAGATACTCGTATCTATTAGATTACATTCTAGGTAAATGTAAACATTTCGAAATGCATTGGGATGCAAACCTTTTATTGAGTGTTATAAGTAATAAACGGCTGAATCAATTGAGAATTAATATTTTACAATGCAATACGCCTTTTAACGAAGCTATAGTAGTTGTACCGCAGTTGTAGACAATAGTATACCGATTCCTGAATTTAGGAGAATGTAAATTCGAAGTTCATTCCCAAAGCAAGTAGTCTAGTAGACCAGAACGACGTCACTGTGTCGCCTTTTTAATGTCATTCTGCTACTTGAGCTGCGATTACAATGTGCTTTAAAGCACATCGCACACATTCTCATTTCCAATTTTGATTTAACGACGAAATTGGTTGTTTAACTTCGTGTACGCGACGCGGTCGGGTACCAAGTGTCTCTCCTACCACCCCGATTCGCGAAATTCGCTGCACGCGGCGATGTAACGGCAACGATTAAACGGATGCACGGACAGTTAACTATAAATTGTCTTGTCGAAGGTCGGCGCCGCGCGGAAACGATCTTGCGTCGTCTTCTTCATCGCGTTAACGTCCGGCGTGGGCGGGAGTCCTCGTCTCGCAGTGCTCTCGGACGAGGTAGACACTGACGTCGCGAGATCGGAGAACGAACTTTTTAGAGGCGACCAGAAGGAAAAAAATACGATTCGTCGGCTTAACAAGCCTATCCCGGCAAACAATCGTGCGGTCAAACAATAGGTTTATCGCGCTTTCAGATACACGGATTAAAGATCAAGATTAAGATCGAGATTAATCGATACGTGCGCGCGCGCGCGCGCGCATGCACACGAAATGTAGATTATCTGGCGAAGTGACAGTGAGAGTGGTATAGTCGCGCGACTACGTAGATCATTTTCGTGGACGATTCGTTACGGATAAATATCGCGTCCTCGGTCTAAGGAACGAAAAAGCCTCGTGAGCGGGCGCACAACTGACAGAGGACGGAGGACGATCCGACTCATCGGGTTCAACGGCTAGACAACCGCGGACATCTAACCGCTCTGTGCTCCAATATCGTTTTGTCCGCACGGCGACTGTCTCGTTCAGTCGGGCGCCCGCTTTTTATCGATCTACCTGCGGGTATCTTCCATTATGATCGAGAAGCGTCGCTTAATCGGCGAGGAACGCGAAATCGGCCACTCGTAAAAGCAGTGTTTTCTTTCTCTTCGTCGCCGTGCAGTGCAGTGAAATTCTAAGTCCTGCTAAGGAGCGATCTTGACTTCTCGCAGTGCCTATATAAGGATTGTAAAGGGTACGTTTGGATACTTTAGAGAATTCTTTGCTAAATACAGAGACTTTCCTAAGTTTTCACGATCAAACTGTTTTAGCATTTTCGGATAAAAACAACAAAAATATTTTATTTAAACACATCTATAAATTTATAAAGCTTTTATTAAAAAATTATAAAAAAAATATTTAAAGTGAGAGTGATTTACACTTAAAGTAAATTTAAAGTTAAATTTACTTATTAAATTTCAAAATCTCGCTGCTTGTAAATGTCATAGACATATATATAATAAGTATCTTATTTGTGACAATGCGCATTTATGTGAAATATATATGTACATGCCATATAGGCATGAGTGTACTCAGAATTTCAGCCGGGGGAACGAGGAGAGGAATACAAATTTATCTTTGCACTTATTACAACACCTAGTATATAATTGCGGAACGTCCTTCAGAAAATCACAATGATATTGATCAAATGCACTTCATAATCTTACCGTGGTTAATAAGCGTTTAACTTTCGTAAAAATAATTTTCATAACTTATTTATTTTATCAATATTTGGGAACTAAGCACCCTTCTTTGAGTATGCTTTCTATATTTATAAGTAAATATTCAATAAATGGCAATTTTAAATTAGATTGTTATATCATTAAATCGGTACATATATAATAATTAATAAGACAACGTAAGATTTATATATATATATATATCAATTATATGCCGCGTTTGTAAAGTAGCTCATAAACAGTAATCTCCCCTTACTGTATTCATTTATCCCGCGTCTGCTAAATATTTCACAAACAGTAATCTCCCCTTACCGTACTCATTTCTTTATCTACATGTCATTATTAAAGAAGCATTGTAACTATTTAACTTCTCTATAACCTTGATGAAAGCGTTTGAACAGAACAATTTCACTTATTCAATTGAATTCAATTTTCTTCGTATATAAATTGGTCTTTACAGTTTACAAACGCACAACAAATTGTGACTTAAATTTGATAGTTCAATATATGTATGTATATTCTGCAAATTTAAATTAATCCTATTTTTTATGAGTGGAATAGTAATCGCGTTTCCCACGTACATATAACTCTATTTCTAACATAAATCAACGTGCTTCGAAAATTTTCAGAAAAAGTGAAATCAATCCGTATAGTAAATCAATAAGTTTTATAATGACAAAAATTACGATCTCGTTCAAACTCGAAGAACAATCAAAGATGTACCTCCACAAATTGTCGTCGATAAGTTTATGAAATTAAATACAGTTATACAAGATAATATGAAGCGATAATATCTAGTTGCGCGATAATACCGTGTGACCGTAGAACAAAGTGATCCCCATGTACGACGCGATATCGCTGTATATAGAGAGTAGAAATGCTCACGTGACTTTGCGGGCAGGGTCATGGCTGTGAAAGAGTGGTTCAGGAGGCTACAGCCGGTGCAACTGTACCTGGTGCTGTTCTTCACCACGGCTTTCTTCCTGGTCGAGATCGTCGCCAGTCACATTACGCACTCGTTGACCCTGCTCCTCAACGCTTACCACATGCTTTGCAACATTGTGGCACTCGTCGGCTGCATCGCCTCGATCAAGGTAAGCGCGAAAGAATCCGCGAAAGCCACGTTCATCACTCTCGCTCACGATGTCATATTAATCTTTCGAGCCAGTCGCTATTCATCACGCGATTTTATAGTGCGTCACGCAGATTTACCTCGTATATAAATAACCACTATATAGTTTCTATATATGTGATATTCACCGAAGCTGCACAAATAGCCACTATAAATAGTAACCGATAAATATAAATAAAATGTATATAATAAATGTCATGTAATTATAAAAAATGTAAAAAAAAAACTTGTTTTTAGATATTTGAATTTTCAATATCATCATTCTTTTTACATTGCTTTCAAATAATTTAAATGAAAAAATCAAATATTGTAATACGACGAGGCAACAGACTTATTGTTAGATTCTATTCCCGCGCTTCGCCCTCTCATACAGAAACAGCGCAGTAGCGATTTATTTCGTCGTAACAAAAGGGTTAAGTACAACTAATTACTAAGTACTGCTAATTACATCTGTTTTATATATATATATATATATATATATCTTCGTTCGCCACGATTTAGCAAAAACGGACATAAGCCTCGCGCGAGAGCGATGTTACTTTTCATATTGATATATTCTTGAAGAAAATCGCGGGGAAATCTGAAACGAACTAAAAAAATTGCATTAAGACTTGCATTGGCACTTCAATAAGTGAGCCAGATTCATAACAACACGTCCGAACTTACAACTTGTTAGTGAAACGCAATGTGCACGCGACTTGCAAGTGGTTAGTAAAGAGCCTTAGACTTTGTATTATCAGAATTTCTAGATTCTATCTAATGACATTTTCTCCGAGATGCAAATTTATAATTACGCGTAATTACGCATTGCTTGCAGTACAGCTATCGGGAAAGATACAGCAATAGCAATTGCAGTTCACTGGGAAACTCGTCCATCTGCATTAACGGCGAGGAACAGGGTTCCGTCACGTCCTTATCAACGAAGACGAAGGTATAGTGCATTCAATGACACTAAAAAAGAAACAGATATAAAAGACAAGATATTTTCTCAATATGTTTGATTGTAATGAAAATAAAACTGAAGTCGTGAAAAAATTATATTATATCAAAAAAGTATAGTTGTTATTTATTGAAAATAAATATTCTTATATTTTTATAATATAAAATGCTTCCTTCGGAAAAAATCTAACTAAAAATTTAAAACGCATTACCTAATGATTCCCTTTTATATAACTTTAAAATATAAATTTCAATTAATTTTCAAAAAAACTTTTTTTATTAAATAAAATTTAAAAAAAATGCTTTATTTTCAATGAAATCCTTATAAAATTTAAAAAAGTTAATTTAAACAGAAACTGCTATATTTATAAGACTGCTATAGATAATCTCCAAAAATAAAATCTTTGTTTGGAAGGATATTAATAGCTACTCCTTATTAATTCTACCAACCGATCTGAACGACCGGCATAAAAATGGAAATCTCGTTTTACAGGAATCATGGTCGGACAGAAGAATGAAAAACACCTTTGGATGGGCTCGTATCGACATAGTTACGATGCTCGTCTGCTGCGTCTTCCTCGCATCTTTTTGTATCTCTTTGATCATGGAGGCACTGCAGACACTAGTCCACATCGATCACCTGGATGAGATGCATCACCCATTGCCGGTGCTGTGCATCGGCGTTTCCGGGATACTTCTGAATGCCTTCTGCTACATTTTAATTGGAGGATTTACGTTCAATCAGGGCATTTTCTTGCACGTCACGAAAAGTGGTGACGTAATATTACGCAGGTGATTTTTTAAATAAGTTTTTTACTCGAATTACAACAAATCAGTCAAGATATACATAATTTGTTTAAACACTTTATATGTAGTTCATATTGATTATAAAATTTCTATGTCAGTTTTCACAATACTGCTAAAATGTGTAATCTATACATATATATTTTATATTAGTTTCTTAAAGTTTATCTCTCTCTCTCGCTATCTCTGTTTCCTTTTACACATAAACAATAAAAATTCTAAAATTCTATTCCATTATGCATATTTTTACCAATGAAAAGAAGTTTGAAGAACAAAATTTTCATAGAAATTGGTTCATGCATATAAATTTTGTTTACTATAACGTGACACTTGACATTTCAGAAATGTGAGTTCGCTAGAGACAAAGGATGGTGAGCAACGATTATCAGCACAGACCAGGCGCAGTCCGCTGGCGACACCAAAAAGTGAAGGCTTGAGAGAAATATGTCGAGACATTCTCGGATGTGTTATCGTCATATTAGTGTCAATCTTAGTCTATTTTACGGATTCGGATGTAGCCAAATACATTGACCCGATCTTCGCCATTATTTCATCAATTTCGCTATTCGTTCTTTGTTATCCATACAGTGAGTATAAATATACATATATAAATAAAACTAATAAATATAACTATTCGTAAGATAATAGTTAAAATGTTAATTTATGAAATATTATTCTGTGGGATATTATTTGTAGAATAATTTAATTTTTGAGAATACTTTAATTCGCTTGTTTTATCTTATTACTTTTATTTTATTGTTTTATTATTTTTCATTACAGTGAAAGAATCGGGACTAATATTACTGCAAACAATTCCAAATCACATTAACATTGATTCTCTTAAAAAAAAATTGTTGGAAGCCTTTCCGGGTATCGTAAACGTCCATGACTTACACGTATGGCAATTAGCAAAGCATCAAGCTATTTGTACGGTCCATATTGTGTTTTTGAACCCAATGGTACACAATTTCTTTTAATTTAAATTTATTTATAAAATAATTTATACATTTAATACATTTTTTTTTAAAGAAAGTTTCATTCGATATTTTTTAATTAAAAATATAAATTTTCTTTATTTTTTTAGGTTTATGCTAGCATCACAGAACATGTTACTGCCTTTTTCGTCGAAATGGGTATTACGCAGGTCACTATACAGCCAGAGTTTCACAAGGTACGAGAGAAACTCATTAGTACATCATTTTATCTTTGAAATCGCTTCATTGAATAATCACCTAATCTGTATCACAGATGAAGCCGAATACGGAGAAGACTGATTGCCTGATTCGTTGTCACGGGGAACATTGCAGTTCTTCCCAATGTTGCTCGCGTGAAAACTTCTTGGACGACACGTGTAAATCAACGAGAGATGCGCATACCATCAGCAGGAAGTACGATAAAAAGGAGATAATACCAGCTGTGTGTGCGATTAGTTTAGAAAAGTTTACTGTTTACAAGGAGGAAATCCCAGAGCGGACTGTGAGCGATCCGACGAGAGCAGAAAGTTCTACGCATAATCTGACAAACGAAAATCCATGTCACTCAAACGATAAGCAAACACAAAGCACTGTAAGTGTTAATTCTGAAACTGTTCCCTGTGCGATAAGTTCAGCCGATCGGATATCTTATATAAATGTCGACGCCAATCGAACATCTGCAACTGCCGATAACAATCTGAACCACAGTGTATCTTTATAACACAGCGTAATTCTCTACTTACCGTTCAGGTAAATAATAGTTTTATTCGATCCTTTCAATCATAGCACTCTGTCTTGCTTGAAAGAGATTATACGTGATGTTCACACAATAGACACCGCGATAGTCAAGTCACTTTCATGTTACAAACAAAGTTGTAGATAAAAATTTATCACTTTTTTTCATAATTACAAATTACAATAATCAAACATTTGAAGTCAAGTTAGTATTAAGAAAGAGCAGTAACTCTTTTAACAAAAGTCATATTTCCTTTTTTTATTAATATCATAATGATTCTGTTGGAAAAGAGATAGTTTACTTCAAAAAGTATTACTAAAATTCAAACACTTAAAAAAAATTGCAGAAATTGAAGTTGCATTCTATTTTTTGCGGCATAAAATTTTTTTTGTAACAGAATTTAATGATTTAAAAAGGAAAGATACAGCATTGGAAAAAAATCACTTGATAATATGTCTAAAAAAAATCATTAACGCATGAGCCGTGATATACATAAGGACATTTAACGAGAAGACTGCAAGCTAGTATTAAATATTTCTGTGCCTATAGACATATAACATAAGTCGTCGCAATAAAGTTTAGTAACAGTCTTGCAGACATTCGGATAGCTTACGTGTGCTAGTTATTAAACGAATTAGAGGAATACTGATTCTAATTAATTGGACAAGAGTTTATGGTCTCTTCAGTGCGGTAAAACATTCCCCAAATAAACGTGAATAGAGCAATGTTCAATTGATCAATGAGCAATATTATTATACTTACTTGCTAATAGATAAGTATTTTCTTATTATCAATGATCAATTATTAAATGACGTTTTTCGTATGAACGACGAAAATTGGATAATTTACAGAAAATATTACAACATTTTGTGCTAATCATTTATCCTATCAATTTTTAAATAAATATAAAATTTGCCAACTTAGAAGTACATATCAGGTACTTTTATAATAATTTTTTAAATTAGACAAAGATATTTAAAATGTCTATTAAAATTTTTCATTCTTATTATTGCAACTTAATTATTTTATATTATGTATATGCAACATATTTTATTCAAAAAAGTAATTTTTAAATTATTTTGCATTATATTCCAAAAATACATTTAATAAATTTATATTAAATTTAAATAGACCATTAATCTGCGTTAATCGTAATGCATGTATGATATAGAAACTGTAAAACACATTCGTTAAGTTTCTAACGACCAATGATCATAAGTACTTGCCCAGTTATGCTTTTTCAAATATCATTATATCAAAATAAAAATTCTGAAAAACATCTTTTCTCTTAAGGTAGAGAGAAAGAGATCAATAAATAAATATAACGATGTGATTTACATTCAAATCTTAAAATTACTTTCGAAAAAAGTAAAATTAATGGGTGCGCAACTGCGCAAGTACTTATAAACAGTATAGTATCCAAAATGTTCCAGATTTCACGTGACAATAGTTAAATTTTTTTAGATTATTTCGAGACAAAAATCCTAATATCAAAACGTTGAGGCTATACAATATAGTTTTTCAATAAGAAAGGTAAAAAATTCCCAAATAGAGCAAGGTGACGTCAAATGACTCTTAAAAATGATATATTAAAACGTTATTTGACGTCACCTTGCTACTTGAGTTAACCAATAAAACTGTTCGAAATTCGTGCGTTCAGACATGGTACAGAATTTTCGTCTCAAAATGATTTCAAGAATCTGCAATTCTGTTCACGCCAAATCTAGGACACCTACAGCTAGATACACTCGTATTTCAATAAGAAACAATAGTTCAGTAAGTGCAACGCAAGTATTAAAAAGCTTGATATGTTCCTTTATTTTGCAAACACCTATAAAATTAGCATAATACTATTATTTGACGAATAATTTTAATATTTTCCATACGAGAGAGGGAGAGAGAGAGAGAGAGAGCTGACTGTTATGCTGATTTTATTAAATAAAGGATTACTTTATCACACTTTAATTAGAGATTATAATACTACTTATTATGTACAAGATATCGAGATATACTACAATTTTCTTCCTTGCATATATCTGATATATCAGTATCTTATGTTATAGTGATTTTGTATCTAGATTTCGTACTGCTCTGCAACATAGCGTCATCAAAGAAGGCTAAATAAGAAAGAGAAATCGTATATATAATTAATTTTAAAAAGAATTGTTATTCGTAAAAAAAGAATTAGCATAATTATTGAGTTATTTGACTACAGCAGAAACTCTCACATCTCATAAACAAGAAAATAAAGAGATAACGATAACGATATCATGTCGACTGTAGGTTGCTGATATCGGAAATCTGATGATAACAGAGACCAACTTTCTATCTTCAACCTTTTTAGGGTTACTATATATATATATATATATATATATATATATATATATATAAACTGTACATAAATTACATTTTACATTTTAAGTCGGATATTTTTTAAAATTAAGCATTTACTATATGTCTAAATGTGGAATAGTTAAAAAAAACTTTAAATAATTGAAAAGGTTATTTACTCCAGAATGTTAGTTACGTTTTTTCATGTTTTTGATTCCGAGATATCAATTCTTTTATTTTTTCAAAAATCTTAATTTTTTTAAAATAAGCATTCAACAAATTTTTGCAAAAAAAGAGAGATATATGCTTTATATAATATATTGCAACAATCCTATTTATGACAGCATTAAATTGCACAAAGAAATAATATATGTATAAAACGCTGAATGACTATAATATTTATAAATATAAACACATTAACGGAAACTGCGGTTTGAATAACTCGCGCTTTTATTATCATGTCCAAAGAAATTATTATAAACTATGGTATGAGATATGAGAAATAGCACCTTAAATACTTGTAATAAGGAAGTTATCATATAAATACTGCTATGTCAGACATAAACATTTATATTTAAAAATAGATAAGAAAAAAGCATCAAATTCGAATGAGATTAGATCTTGGTGTCCAACATGCATTTTATCTACTTTGCTACTATAATTAATATTTGCATTAAATTTTAAATAAGTACAAGATAAAATTGTTTTCAATTGCTAAACGTAATAATATTTTTATTTCATATATCATTTACTGATACTGTATATAATGCCATTATTATGTAAATTCTGTAACTAACATTGCAATTACCTACAATCTTTGATAATGATGTGTTATAATATTTTCAATCTTATATTAATAGCTTACCAAATAATGCAGACGATTAAACATTAACAATATTTCTTTAGTGTTAAATAAAACAATATATAAAAATATATAATTATTGCTTCTTATTATATAATTAAAAGAAAGTTACAGGATGCGAAAAAATTGCTCTTAAGAAACAAAGACGCGTTAATTATGCCAATTCTTTCTGCTAACTAGTTTAATAACCGCCAGTTTTCACAATTAGCTCATGCTAATTTAAAGTTCTCGATAACATGGGGTCACGTTGAAAGAGGGACAGCAAAGTACAAAATTTTAATACAAAGAATTACCACGTAAATATTTGTTAGCAAGCAAAATTGACAACCGTCTAAATACAAGAAAGCGACATTACTTGTAAAATTATTAAAAATTCCTGTTTATCAACAGATATCTCACGCCCAAAATAACAAACTATATAAACTCAGTCTAGCATCGTGCAGTATATGATTGTAAACATTTACGTCTTTATTTATAGCACTTCCTGTGATTCCTTTCTGAAATAATCTTGATAAATTGAAATGTATGTGTGCGTGCGGGCATGTGTATATGTGAATGAATACATTCACAGTCAAGAATTATTATTATTATATTATCCAATATTTTTGCATTAATTAATCTTTAAAGTTTTTAAAACTTCAAATCCGTTTTGATTTTACAATACAATGAAAGTTATAACGCAAAAAGTATCAATTGATAATTTGCATTGAATTGCATTTCAATTTTTAATTAATACCTAATACATATTTCATATTCATTGATTGTTTTCATTATTGTGATAAGTGTAAAGCCCATGACATATAGAAAAATGTGAAGCAGTAAAACGTAAGCAGTAAGCAAATCGGCCAATCACAGTAGAAAACGCAAAGTAATAATTTTACGTTCTGTACTGTGATTGGCCAATTCGCTTACTGCTGACGTTTTATTGCTTTACGTTTTTGTACGTACTATAGACTTTACACGTGATTAACATGTATTAATAATAATGTGAGACGTAGAGCACGAAATTTTATTTGATTTTATCCAAACGTGACTTATCACTCTTAAAAGAGTTTCGAAGACGATTCATACTATAACGTAATCGTATCTAATTTCTCCGATACGATACGAGCGAGTTCTTTTCAGAATCGGAGCAATATAGTTCACATATCAGATCTACAGTGTAATTTACGATAAAAAACGGAAAGGATTGCCGGCCGGCGCGGCTAGGAATAGTTGGAATCAGTCCGATGTAGGTGCCTCTTGATAGCAGAAGGCGAATGAGATGTCGAGAGCGATGACGTCGTCGTCGGTAAACTGCATGTCCGGGGAACCGCCAGCCGGGTGGGGCCTGTTGAATCGCGCCAGCGGCGAGTTTCAGTATGAAAGTCTCCGGAGTAAGAGAGTGACTGGGCCCGCGTGGAGAGACTCCCGGAACCTGTTTCTCCGGGACGCATACGCGTCCGATCTGTTCGTCGTGCTGTTCACCAGTGTGCAAGATTCGATTGCCGCATCGATGCGCGAAAATGTGAGAAACCGGTAATGTAAGGTGCACGTGAGAAATGAAAATGTTGTCGCAACGCGCACGACTCCGCGTTCAGGCGCTCATCGTCTTAGCGCTCTGCCAAGGTAATTAATGCGACACACACCTGTTGCCCATCGTCCGTGTGCAAGGAGATCCTTCACTGAAGCGTTACACACCGCAGTCACGTGGTTGCCATTGAGTCACATTTGTCGGCGTCGCGATCGGATTTTATTCGATTTATACGACGTAGAAGCATATTCAGCAAATACCAATCGGTTGATCGGTTTAAAACAGCGTCTCACTTATTAAATTAACCCAAAGAACCTCGATTAACGTTAATGTCTCGGTACACGCGTGTGCTACTTATTATTGAATAAAATAAATTTTATCTCCTTATTAAAAAAAAACTGATAACTTCTGCAAGAGTACCCATAAAAATTTTACTAATTATTTCTAATTATAATTTTGTAAAATGGAAATTTTAATATACATGGTCTGTCCCAAAAGTAACGAGACTATTTTTGGCGGCCTCATCAGAATTGTCGGAAGGTGAATCTATTGGACGGGGCCTTTGGTACGGAATGTCAGGTATACAGTCTGACCCTTTTCAGTTGCTTCCCAATCTTTCTAGCAGTCGATACTGTCAGCAAAGTGCATTGTAATTTATTTTTGTGTCTTATCACGGACGAATGAAATGCAGGATAGTCTTGAGCAGCGTTACGCGAACAAATTCTGAAGACAAAACATCGTCCTCATAAGCTGTTCTTAACATTTCCAACGTTTCGAAACCAGATTTTCCCAGTTTCAGAATTTGATGGCTGCAATCGAACCGTGCTGAATTTTCACCCGCGACAAGACACAAAAGTTACAACGCACTTTGCTAACGGTATCGACTTCTAGAAAGGTTCGGAAGCAACTGAGAAGAGTCAGATTGTATACCTGACATCCAAAAAGCCCCGTCCAATAAATCCATCCTCTGACAATTCTGACTGGGCCACCAAAAATAGTCTCATTACTTTTGGAACAGATCATGTATAACAAATAGAACTTAAATGTAAAATCCCGTAGTTAATATTTTTTCTTCACAATGGAATCAGATTTACTCGAGAGTTTTCAATGTTCTTTATCATTGTATTTTGTTTATAATAGTCAAGATTTCACAATTTAGTGAAAAAATTTTGCAGTGATTTCTCAGTGAATGCCGCTTGAACGCGACTAAAACATTCACTGGAAACGCTTTTATAGATAATCATGTAAAGTGGTGGAGTTAATGGAACGACTGATACAGGTACTATGATATTGGGAAACACACGTAGAATGAATGCCATGTGACTCATGCCTTGACCCAGAGAGCACACGGTGAATTTCTCTCACCTGTATATAAACCGATGAAGCATTCTCTGTAAGAAGACTATTAAGCACATATGTTCATAAAAAGACGATAAACTTTCAACAGAATCAGAGCTTATGATATAGAAACGTATCAATAAATATTAAATCATAATCTTACATTAGTTTAATTATTTAAAATTTTTTAAAAATATTAGACAACGCACTTTGTAACTTTCCAATATACATCGCCGTGCCATAAATTCTGTGCTCAAGAAAATAAAAAAATAAATTTATTTCTTAATTAAAATAAAAAACGATATAAAATATACACTCTTATATATATATTTTTTTAATTGACTAATTACAATATAAAAGTAATCATAACTATTAATAATATCCACTTTTGCTTTCACCAATTTCTTCAAACGATCTAGCTTTAAAAAATCTTTTTGTCTCAATTTTAAAAAAAAGAACTTGTTATAAGCCTCACCGAGAAATCGAGACTTTGAAAGATAATTTAGTGAAGATATCATCGATAGTCATTAAGGTTGTGTATGCTGCAACAGATGAATAGCCTAACCAAATTAAAGAAATTTATAAAGACAAAATATAGATATTTTTTATAGTTATGATTCTTTTTCTGATCGTTTTTTTCTGCCTTCGATTTTCTCTAATAAAAGAAGTAAATTTCCTTAGTAGATATAGTGGATATAGTACTCATCAGTAATCATTTCCAAAAATAACATTCTTTCTTCATTAAAACAAATAAAATACAATAAGATAATAAAAAATAAATATTAGTTATAATAAAAATAAAAAAAAAACAATTTGATTCCAAACACATCTATTTATTTTATTTCATTGCGCTTACTATATCAAAAAGAAAACTGATTTTTTCGACTAAAACATGTCAAACTTTTATTAAAAATAACATGTTTTTTGCTCGAATATTATATTTTGTTTTCAATCTTTCAAAGTATACATCTTGTATTTTATTAAATATACTAAAAATATAAAATAAATTATATATTAAATTATATATTAAATGTAAAATTGTATTTTTTATTAGCTTATTTGAGTCAATTTACGTAATAATTAATTGTTGTCAAATTGTATTAGTAAATTGGAATAACACAATTAATGCTGATCAAATAAGATATGTAATATTTCACAAGATGTATTTACTTTCACGTATTTCTCATAGTCGGTTATCTCTCAGCGGTACATCACTGATGAAATTTTATTGAACTCGGTTTCGTGCGGCGTCCTAACAAATAACAATGATTTTATTAGGACGTCTAGTAATATGATCAATTAATACAACCAAGGTCTACTCGTAATGTAGCACCTAAGGATGTTCCGTAAAGACTACAATGGGCAAGAGCAGAGTCATCTGAGATGTGTACATCGCTAAAAAAAAATATCGATGATATTAACGGCATTTGGAACGAATAACACTTGGTTGCATTAGTCATTTTGTTCGTACATGTTCTGTTCCATGACAACATATGCAGAGTAGTCCAACCATAAACGCACATTATTAAGAATAACATTATTATGTCATAATCGCTTTTTTTGTTCCCTCATTAACCGTTAATCCGGTTAATCATTGATAAAATTTATATCTTTTAAATTTATTTCTGTAGCATTTTTAATTGCTTTCGATGGAATAATTCTTTCCATATAGTAGTTTTATTATTTAATCTTAGATTTTTATAAAATACTGCAAAAGTTATTCGCAAAGATTATTACTACCGTATTTTTGTATAACACAAAGATATAAAAAAAATCACAGTTTTGCTATAATTAAAGAATGCATTAAATATACAATAATCGAGTATTTTCTAATGATTTATATCTCCATTTTTCTTATTCTTTGATTTGAATGAATAGCCACTTCATTCCCACTAATTCTCAAAATACATTCTTCTCGTTTGTGATTTTTTAATTATAAAAAACTGATTTTGATAAGAATGGAATTAAACTAATTGTTTTTAATTCATTGAATGTATTATATATATATATATATATATATATATATATAATAAATAACATAAATAAAATATTATATGTATAAGATACACTTAATAAAAAACATTTTTTTAAATATTGTCTAAATATCTCGAGAGAATATTCAATTTTAAAAAGTTTTATAATTCAAATTTTTTCAAATTTGATTAATAAATCTCTTTGTTTTTATATTGTTCCGTCATGTCTCGCAATATCATCTTTAAAGACTTTGAGTTCTGATAATACGAAGACATTTTTAATAATGTGATAGCTTTTGCACATTATGATAGATGCTATTTACAAGATTCGTATCATATTTACGTACATGACTGTGCAAAGATTAGTATATAAACTTCTCGTCATAAATTCACAAATATGCAACTCTACCATATGTGAATCAGTTTAAAATCATCTGTATATATTTGCAAATCCCAGTTGCTCGCGTTTCTACATGTTTCCTACGGCTTCTGCAACAAACACACTGGCTGATAATACAAGCACATTATCAAGGAAGGAAAAAAATGACTTCCTTCCTAGCCACGGTCGCATTTGCGCAGAACCAGGACGGCACGTGCGTCCTTTTTATACCGAAGAGAGAAACGAGGAGAGCCAGATAAAGCCAATCATCCGCAGGACATTGCGGCTAACATGACGACATTTTCTCTCGAAACTGTTAACCAAATTCCTGCCTTTTGCGCGGTATTAACTACTATCGTATTTCGACAGAAATGCATTTCGCATTATTGCACGCGATAAATCGCAAAAATAACTACGTTACTGATAGTCAATAGATCTTGGAATATGTAATATTGGAATAAATAATATTTTTCTGTTAAAATTGTAAGAAAAATTATGAATTACCTGACAAATTTTAGCAATATATTGAGGAGCACTGATCGTAATTAAATTATATAAATTAATAATTTTGTTTTTTTCTTTTAGTAACGACAAGTAAAAGACCAATTATCTCGCCAAACCAAGGGCAAATCGTAATAAACGAAGGAGAACCTTTAGAGATTACGTGCACTGGCGTCACACCAATTAAGTTTGTTTATCCCGATACCTCTGGAGAATCGGTATGCACTATAAATTTCATTAAGGCCAAATTTCATTCGACATGCCTATCTATTGGCTATCTATTGCTTGATTAGTTATACATATGAATATATCTTACATTACATTTCACAAACATTTCACACACACATTTGCAAACTATTCTTACATCGCAAATTTTATCAGAACTTGTTAATTTCAAATCTCTTATTCTGGTAGGTTAATACTTCAATCCCGAAAACGAAGGAGGAAAACGATGAAACAAATGGCATTTACAAATATTTTTTCCAAAGACCAAATACCACTTTCGGTGATACAGGTTACTACGGATGCGCCGATAGTAATGCTGAAATTATTCCAAATTCCTATGACCATGCCGAGGTGAACTGGTTGTACGTTTATGTGAAATGTAAGATCGAATCGCGTGTTTTTCAGTAACGTGCGGATTAACGAGGAAATATTTATGCTTGCGTCTTGCTCGCCATATTCGCATCTTCACATTGCATTCAACATTCTTCGCACTGTTACAGCCAATACGAATTTATTTGTGGAAGAAGATACTTATACCCATCTGAGTGCAGTTGCTGGCGGCAACATTGTGATTCCATGCAGACCGACATCGCCAGATTTAATACCAATTTTATCCGACAATAGCGTGAGATATATTAGTTAACAACCTATCAGAAGATAATTTGTAATTTAAGAATAAACTAAATAAAATTATTCGATTTCAAACAGCTAACATTTAAATTCATTTCAAAAGCTTAAGAATTTTCAATGCTAAGAGATATAAGCCCCTGTTTAGATTGGTAAAACTTGCGGTTACGATACGACATATTAAGTGACTACGAGAGGGAAAAGGAATTCTATAGAATTAGCTTATCTTTACTTCTAGATTTGGTTAGATTTTCAATAGAAGAGTTTTAAATCCTTTAAAATATAATGTTAAAATTAAAGTTTAACAATTGTAACGTAGCAATTAAGAACATTTTAACACATTTGCTCTTCGAATTTTTTATTTCTAATATTATACATTAATATTATAAATATCACGAAAAATAACTAATTTATTAAATTATTATTCATTGCAAAACACTTCTCAAATCTCTCAATTTTAATGCAGGAAGACGAATTGAAGGAGGCGTCATTTGATCCGAGAAGTGGTTTCACAATTAGAAACTTGCTGGTGAAGGATAGCAATTATTACAAGTGCTTGATAGAGAAGGACGGCGAGGAGCACACGGTCAACTACATATTAGCCGTGCATCGTAAGTGCGGTCTCGGCTCGAGATATTAATTCAGTCACATATGTACATATATATATGACATTCGAAAATACTGGGTCACACAATCTTGATCGTTCGAAATTCATGGTAAAACGATATCAACGCACTGATCGTTCCATTTAATAATAATCAAATTGTTTGTGCAGTAAAACAAACCTTACCAGAACCAAAAATTCAAGACGAGAGTTTGCTACACGTTACACGCGGACAAGATCTTTACGTGAATTGTTCCGTTGAAGTTGATTTATCCATGAGATACGTATTCGATTGGAACACGCCGCAACAGGTAAATGCACTATCTTTGTGTAGTAAAAAATAAAATTAGAATAAATAAACCTTCATTAAGAGCGGGTCCTAATCTTCAATTGGTAACGTGGAAAAAAAACCGCGGCGCATTTAGTAACGACAAGAGTCTCTTCATCCCATAGATCAGCCTACTTTTTTATACCTATTTTAACCAATTTCTCACAGATATAATGTTAAATATTTTTGCCTCTAAAGTACCTAGAAAAATGGAATAAAAAAGGTAAGAAGAAAAGATTTTTTTAACACTGAATTTGATATCTCTAATTATTTATTCGTCAAACAAGAATCAAGAGAGACAAAACTCTGAGGATCTAAGAGACCCCCCACTTTTCTGTCTGAAAGGTGGAAATTCACAGCTTAATGACGTACAAGCGATAAAAGTTTCCTGAACAGATCTCGATTATCTATCTAGACTATATTATCTATCACTTGCACGCTTATATACGTAACCTTGTTTCTTTCATTTATAGAATAGCAATAGAATAAGCACACAGCAATTCAGAAAACAGCTCGACGAGAATTCTGTCCTAGTTACGTGTCAGTTGACGATACTTAACGTAACGGACGAGGACGCGGGGGAATACGAGTGCGTCATAAGATCGATTCACGACATCAAGAGCATAAGAAAGAATATCACGATACACGGTTAGTTTCATTAAGTTATCATTAACTTAAATGCATACAATGAAAGAATTTGCACTTACATTTGTGACGAAACTACATGTCCCAATGGAATAGCTGTACACAGTAAATCTCAACTGGCTGATCATACATGAGCATTGTAAAACAAATATACGTATTAAAAGAAAGTCACACAACGCCGAATTACAATGTAAAATTAACGCAAATGGTAGATTTTTGCGTTAATTATACATTTTATGATGTGTAGATATTTTGCGCTACTGTAAAACGAATCGAGATATTTTTAATTTCAGATCCTCAGATGAAATATATTAATCTTATACCTCAACACACTGATAAATATTATCAAGCACACAGCGGTAGTTATATTCAATGGGTCGTTTACATTGATGGATATCCGAAACCGCATTTACAGTGGTAAAGTATTATAATATATTAAAAGTCAATTCTTTTAAAAATCAAAGAGTTAATTATGTTAACACATATTATTTGCATATAACCGATAATAAATCACATTTAATCGTTTGTGTTTTTTTTGTATTCGCTCGTAATATATGTATGTTAAATATATGCTTTATTATAGGTTTAAGCCGAATAACGAAGAAATTATAGAAAACCCAAAGTATTTCGTGAATACAAGCGCAACAGCTACCATTTTGAAAATAATGTCATTAAACGTATTAGACACAGGAAATTACACGCTTGAAGCAAAAAATGACTATATAATCGAAAAAGTGAACTTTACATTGGATGTCATAGGTATCGGAATTAAATTTTCTTTTAGTATTAATTAAAAATTAATTAACATAATATTGTCGAAATTATTTTTTAGTATCAAATAAAAAGATTTCAGTAAATGCACTACCGCAATCTTTCACTGCAAACATAATAGAGCACATAACTAAATATATTATTTATCTGTAACTCTTGTCGTATTACTATTGATTTCAGCTAAACCGGTTTCTATATTGACGCGTATTGACTCTTACTATCCGCCTAACGAAAGTTCGGAATTTCATTGCGAGGTAATATCAAATCCGTCTCCGAATATAACATGGAGTTTTCTGAAGTGTCCTAATTATCCATCGCTTGAGAATTCCACAAATGTATACCCGACGGTAAACACAACTCTATGTTAATCTGATTTTCTCAGACACGTCTCAATTCGTACCTGTTTTTATGTAATTTTACGTAACGAGAAAACTCTATGGAATTTTAACAGGACGCAACACAAAACGCAGCTTACAGCGCTAGCTACAGATTCGAATCGACATTGAAAATGCCTATCGAGCTATCGGGAAAAATAACATGTAAGGCCTGTAACGTCTTTGGCTGTGACACAGTGACTGAAAATATTCTTGTATCTGGTAAGAATACTTTAGGTCTAGCTGTTATAACTTGTAATCACTCGGCATCTTTCTATACATTCCGAATGTGTATCAACTGGAAAGTTAAATCTTGAAAATAAAAATCTCTGTTTATTCTGATTATAAAATTGATTCGCATTATTCTGCAAAGTATGTACATTTGGTTCATTCCTTAAGCGTCATTGCAAATATGCAAAATGTTAAATAATTTTTATTTATCATTTTTATTTTGCTTATAAAATTGCGCAACTATTATCTTACACAAACACGTAATAGATTAATAAAAAAGTAGTGACGTGAAATTTTTGATCAAATAAATATTTTTAAATTAATATGTCAAAAATCAATAATAATCTTCCCTATCTTTAAATTTCAATTAGATGGATTAGGCGCGTTTGGTATTATTGGACCAAAAGAGCCTGTGGCAAAAGGTGATGATGTGGAATTGGTTTGTGCCGCATCTGTTTATAATTATACAAATGAATTAACGTGGATCATATCGGCAAATGAAATTGAAAAGCCAATTAATGAAACAGGTAATTAATTATTTTAAGAAAATTGAAATCAATTTTAAAAAATAATTAATTTTATATATCGGAGATAACATAAATTATAAAATTCTTTAAAAAAAAATAAATTCTGAAAATTAAAGCTTTTACGAAAAAGATAAATAAAATTTATATGTTAACCATAATAATTTAATATTTGTAATACAATTTTTCTAATTATTACTTCTCTTTTATTAAATCATATTATTTATTTATATTAAATAATATTTCAATATTTAATTATATTTTTATATTATTGCGTCCAAAAACTATTTAATATAAAATTTCTTTTCATATCCTGATTTTTTACGTTACTAATGCAACATAATACAGTACATGAAATATTAAATATGCTAGTAAACACAAATGATTTAATGTAAATATTGATTACATTTTTTTGCTATTTTTTAGAAAGATTACAGATTTTGCAACATAAAACTCCGTTTACTTATCGATCAACATTGAAGCTCAATGATGTCCAGGAAACAGATGCCCAAGTTTACACCTGTACTGGACAAATCATAAATGCATTAAATCACGAGGTCTCAGATGCGCTTTCTGACTATACATACCGCGAATTAGTTATTCATGATCCAGTGCCACCGTATTTCGTTAAAACCAATATGAATAAAACTGAAATAAGAAATGTCGATGTGATCGCTGACGGCCACAAGACGGTGATCTTACAATGTTTTGCAGAAGGAATGCCAAAACCAGCAGTTACCTGGTATAAGGTATGTTTTACATGTGCGTTTATTTTCGTTTAATAAAATTGAGCGTGATATATACTATAATCTATGTTTAATAATTTTTAGGACAATATATTGTTGAAGGAAAATGATCAATTTTACTTTAAATATAACTATCAAGAACTTAATATAAGATATTTGAAGCAACATGACAGTGGAAAATATTCCTGTCGGGCTGTTAGTCGACTGGGCACCAAGGAGACTTACCAGCAAATAACGGTGAAAAATACAAAATGTGAGCCTTATAAACAATTAATATTGTATTTTAAATAATTTGCAGTGCTTATTATAAAAGCGTAAGGTTTTTAAGACGCAGCCAGTTAGAATGCACTCAGAAATATTCTCTCAACGTTTAGTTACGTATAAAATAATATTAAGCAGATTAAAAATTTTAAAATTTTTTCAGGGCAAAAACTTGACATAATATTAGCTGCATCAATAGCAATACTAGGTTTTGTACTAGTGATTTTAGCGATCTTTTTCACAATTAAAGTTCGTCGTGAAAAGGTAAATTATATATTCTATAATCGGTATAATTTATATAGAAACATATATGAAATATAATTCAATATAACGTTGTAAAAAAATGTTTTATAAAAAAAAAATGCGGTCTAATTAAATTAAAATTCATTACGTAGAAAATGAGGAAGGAATTGATGGAAGCTGGTCTTATGCACTTTGAAGAAGGTGCTTTAGAATGTTTAAATCCAGATTTGACGGTTGACGATCAAGCGGAACTACTTCCTTACGATAAGAAGTGGGAATTTCCACGCGAACGATTAAAGCTCGGTAAGTGCGATTTGCATAATGTAGCAATCAAGGAATCCGAATTAATAAATCATTTCGATTAATTGTTTTTTTAGGGAAACAATTAGGCAGTGGTGAATTCGGGGTAGTAATGAAGGCGGAAGCGCAAGGAATATGCGAAAACGAAACTGTCACTACGGTTGCTGTGAAGATGGTTCGTCGAACAACTAATCCAACTTACGTTCGTGCACTTGCGAGCGAATTGAAAATTATGGTGCACCTTGGCAAGCATCTAAACGTCGTCAATCTTCTTGGTGCTTGCACTAAAAATATATCAAAACGTATGTTAAAAAAAGAACAAAAGATTACAAAGTGATTAAATACTCTATTAAGATATCGCACTCTTTTAAAAAAGTATACGTGAATTGCGAGCAACAATGGAACGGATAAAATCAACTAGTTATCGAGGTGTTGATAATTAAAATTATTATATTACAATAGGCGAATTGCTGGTCATTGTCGAATATTGCCGCTTTGGGAATTTGCATAATTACCTTTTACGGCATAGAAACGATTTTATCAACCAAATCGAACCCAAGACTGGGAAACTCGATCTTACTATCGGTATGGATATACTGACGAGAACTGTCAGCATCAGTAGCAATAACAGGTTTGTCTATCACACAGTCATATATCACACAATCTGTTATTACCATAATTGTCACACTTATCTTATTTTCTTAATAAACGTAACTAAACATTGAGAGAATATTTCTGAGTGCATTCTAACTGGCTGCGTATTAAAAACCTCACGCTTTTATAATAAGCACTGCAAATTATTTAAAAAGATGAATATTTTTTGTTCGTGTAATAAAAATATCTTAGAGAGAATATTAATCAAACTAAATTGAAGAATAATTTTATATTTTTCAGTTTTAATTAAATGTGCTTTTAACAAAATCAATTTCTATACTAACATCAAAGAATCTCGCACTAATAAGTTAATCTACATAAGAAATTTCACAGAAGCTTTAATTCTTGATTAATCATACATATTTGTGTTTATAAGGGTTTATAAAGTGTATGCTGCTAAATAAAAATACATTAAGTAAAACACGCACAAACTGGTGCATGCAAAGGGTTGCGGTTTAACAAGGTTCTTGTTTTCTCTTCTGCCCACGCGACAGGATAAAATATGCGGCATTGTCCTTTTCTCGCAGTCTTAGCGCGAATTCAGACGCCGACATGGTGGTGCACTATTGTCCGGGAACGAATCCGGATTCCCCAGAGATTAACTTCTCGCCAGACGTCTCTCTCTGTGTCAACAGTAATTCGTCTCAACCAGGATGGAGATCAAATTACTGCGGTGACTACAAAGACCAAAATCTCAAACCGATCTGCACTCAAGATCTGTTGTCTTGGGCGTTTCAAGTGGCACGTGGAATGGAATATCTCAGTCAGAGAAAGGTAAGTCTTAACAGAGTTGTGAAATTCCAAAAGAAATCAAAACAAGCTTAAATATTATGTTTTAATTTTAATATTATTAATGAATAAATGGGAGTATAAATGCAATAAATTAGAATTGCGTAATTTCAAGCAACGTAAAGAATTAAATCTTTAAAATTGATATACAAAATAAAAAATTCAACTGTCTAGAATATTCAAATATATCTGATATCTTATGATATGTTACGTCAAACACATCTTTTAAAGATGCTTTCATGAATTAAATTAATATTTCTTTAGGTGTTGCATGGTGACTTGGCGGCAAGAAATATTTTGCTTGCCGACGATAATATAGTAAAGATTTGTGACTTTGGTCTAGCAAAGACCATGTACAAAGATGGCAATTACAAGAAAAAAGGTGATGGCCCGGTGCCAATTAAATGGATGGCTATCGAATCGATCAGAGACCGAGTCTTCTCGACGCAATCCGACGTATGGAGCTTTGGCATAGTTCTCTGGGAATTTTTCACCTTGGCTGAGACGCCTTACCCGGGGATGGAGGCAGAGAAACAGTATCAAAAATTGATAGAGGGCTATAGAATGGAGCAACCAGATTACGCCATTCGCGAGGTGTATGACATTATGTTGCAATGCTGGAAGGCCAAACCGACGCTACGTCCAAGCTTTACGGATCTTGTGGAGGGCATTGGAAATTTAATGGAAGAAAGTGTGAAAATGGTGAGTTATTTTTTCATCTTCGTTTTATAATGATAATGACACGAGTGGAAAGAAATGGAGCACAATATATACGGAAAATAGTTCTTCAAAAAAGAAGTACAAATAATATCAAAAATAATTTTCATTAGAAATAAGTAATTAAGTATAAAATTATAGATCAGTGATTATAATTATTATATTAGTTAATATCAATGATTTCATTTTCTCTCGAAAATTTAATTTACAAAAATACATATATATATTCCGAGGCATTGTATACGAAATTTTTAGGAATAATATCTTTTATATATTAATATATTGTATTAATTTATCTAATAATGTTAATTAATTCATATATTAATATATATATATATATATATATAAATTTTAAAGAAAACACAGCGCATAACAAAAGCGTCTTTTATCTCTGTCTCAGCACTACATTAGTCTAAATACACCGTACATGGACATGAACACGATGAACCTGGAGGGCGGCAAAAACGACTATCTGACGATGATGTCCGCGCCGGATCATGCAGTTTTATCATCGCCGACCCACGATTACGTGAACGCGCCGTTCTCGAAAGGCGCGCTGGATCCGTCATACTTATGCATGAGTCCCGGCTGCCCGACGGACGAGTCCGGGATATTTAGCCCACGACCGCATCAGGAGCACTCACACTTTGAGTTCCCATCGCCCGCGTCGGACTCCGAGTCGGAAACGGTCGAGCTGTCACCCATGCTGAAGCGTGAGGACGATCCCTATCTGAAGCCGATCAACGTTCACGAGCGAAGAGCGGAATTCGCGCGGCAGAGGCAAGCGATGAAGAACAGCCAGACGGTCGAGAGACCGATTGATCGAGATTCCGGTTATTGCAACGCGCCGCGGAATCTTCACCTGATAGATCTGAACAACACGAGAACGAACGAGAACAATGCACAAACGGACACGACGGACTCGAGAAAGGGAGATTATGCGCCGTCCATCATTAGCACGCACAACAATTACGTAAATATGCCGAAACAGAAGAACGATCTGAGAAAGGGTATGCCGGACAGTTTCAGCAATCCGAGTTACGTGATGATCAGTAATCGCGAGATGGATCAGAGAGCTGGAGCTTAATGCGTTTGGAAATTTTAGCAATGTGCTCTTGTCAATATCGAATTTTAAAAGCAAGATTCAATGCGGTTTAGTAATTCACTTGTAATTTTGCACCGCAATATAACGACGTTTTGTACCATCATAACTGCAATTGTACCTACGTCATAACACGCGAGATAATATCGAATTTAATATTTTGCAAAATATCTTTCAGTGTGCCATGGCGATCAATAGCATATCGAAGATGCATCAGTACAAATAGAAATAAAGAGGATACTTTCTCATTGGATATATTGGCGAGAGAGCGAAACGCAATATATTCATGTGCAAATATTTTAATTTTATTTTTTCTTATACCGGCAATTTACAATTTATATGCTACAAGCTTTTAGCTTACAAAACACATTTACACGTGTTCTTTCTCATGTCTGAGAATGATTTTTTACTAATAAGTACGAAAAAGTGCCACTTCTCCTAACTTTAAGAATTAACATTCACATATTGTGACGCATTTTATTTGGGAAATGTAAGAATTCAAAGCGCTTTTTTATTAAGTTACAAATTCTTTGAGATTATTTTCAAGTAAATAATTGATCAGCTTGTTGCAACAGTGAGTTAACTCACATTTTATAATATTTTATAAAAACCGAGAAAATAAACTCTAAAATTCATCGCTTTACTTTAAAATTTATTTTCTCCATTGTTACAAACTGTTGGCAGCAAGTACTTCAATTTCTTTGACAAATTGTACATGCATTATTCATTTATTTGCTTATGCAATGTATTATAAAATAATTAGATTGTGCACATTTACTTGTTCTCTAAAAAATTTGAAATTTAAATACTTAATTAAATATATATATATATATATATATACATATAGAAAATAAGAAAAAATGCGTTATAAATTTTCTATTTGATTACTAATATGTTCTGTTCTTATCACAACTTATTCAATGTTTATACAATAATTAATTTTTTTATTTTTATCTCTTTACTCTATGGCAAAGACATAGTCATGACACAGAGCCTTCTTTCATTAATTGTTATATTAATTGTTATACAATTATATAGAAGCTGTGCAAACTCATAAAAGTGCTTAATTTTTATATATGAATGTGCTAACACGTGCGCGCGTGCGTGTGTGCGTTTCTGTGTATGTGTGTGTGTATGTGTGTGTGTATTTCTGCGTAATAATAAGAGATGTAAATAAAGATCTCGTTAATTTGTACTTAACATTCATTTGCACATCACTTTATTAGGACTGAATCATTTAATTAAGTAAAAAAGAAATTTTGTACAAGTGAAATATACATAAAGCATGTGAGATAAATGATAATTCTAGTGTTTTATTTTTATAAAAAAAATTAAATAATTCAAATAATTGTATCTAAAAGACAAAGTCATTTAAGCAAATCTCATACATTTATATGTATACAGGATAAAAAGAGCCTGATAAAATTATTCTGCAGGATATGATGGTTGATCAAAAATAAAGTTTATTTCTGGCATATTAAGATAATAAATCTTATAAATTTCAACAAGTTATATAATTTTTATTTTTGTTAAAAAAGCAATTCACTTAATAATTCATTGCTAAAATAGAGTTATATTTATGAATTGTTATTTTATTTCACGGCCATTTTAGTCTTATTTAATAGGACAGATCTCAATTTCAAACAATATGTATAAATACATAAAAATATAGATATAAAGAAAGGAAAAATGTATGATTAAGCGTTCTAAGAAATAAAATATAAATAACAAAATATGAAATACATGCTGCTATATCAGACATCCGGTATTTCTATCTCACAAAGACATAAAACAGCGAGAATTCTTCATGTAATATTCAACATAAATATTTTTCTCAATTTATTAGAGATTTGAAATCCAATTAGAATCTTATAATGCTTAAAATATAAAGTGTGAAAATTCACGCTATTATTCTTTTTTTATCTATTAATATATCGATTGTTATTTTTAACAACAGAGATTCCGTAATAGAAATAGAGTCCGTAATAAAAATTTTCTATTCTATCCTAAAGGTAATTAGACATAAAAAAATTTTACAAGTCGTAAATCATAGGCCATAAAACCTAAAGCATATCTATCAATCAGAATTGAGCATTCTAGACCATTAATTGTGATTGATCGATGTGCTTATAGCATCATGGTTACGAATAAAATTTTTTTACATGTGTTAGCCTCAATCAATGGTCACCTAGCTGGAAGATATTAATATAAATGCTCATAATTGTCTGGTTTTCTCTCAAATTTTTTGAATGCGAGAAATTTCGTGATAAAATCGTATATATATGTACGCTTTGTCCACAGAGAACTTTTCAAACAGTCTCAATACAGCTAGTATTAATCAATTTTTAAATTACTGATTACCAAATCCTAATTCTTTATTTCTATTTTTAATGCAAATGTTTCGTTGAATACCTCTACAAGTTTTTTTTATTTCGTGCCTCTATATAGCCATTTTGATGCTAATCATCACACACACACATATCGCCGCTCGTCAATTATCGATTAGCAAATACTGGAAACAATATTGATTCGTTACGCTAGTAATAATCATGACTAATGAAATATTTATTAAAATTATTTAAAATCCATTAGATAAAGATTATTATGCAGCGTTATTTCCTTTAATGCTCTTTAATCGTGCAGTGACTATATGCTCAAAATACGTTATCTATTTAGATTGTATTCTGAACTTTGCATCAAATTTGTCTCGCGAGGTCAAACGGTCAATTTAAAAGATAAACTGATTTACTCGGCATATTGGCGGACGATGTCTTATATCAATATTTTTCTGTTTTCGTCTTACATGAATACCTGATAATGAATGCGACGGCGTTGCATCAGCTATCAGATAATGCGCGTGATCTACGACTCATGCGCAATACGCAATCCGGAAGAGGTGACTATTTTGGTCGCGTCAACGACACGCACTTCGATGAAGATTAACTACTTATATCAAAATGTGGACGCGATAACGATAAGTCTTCGCAGACAGTTATCTCCGCGGAGTGTATAAGGTCCGCGCGTTGGACCAGCTTACTTGCAGTATCGACGAGCACATCAAGCGATCGAGATGCAAGTTGTACATTTGTATTCGTCGCAGTAAGATTTTTCAGTGTCGTTATTCGATATCGGTTTTCGACGGTATACGGAGGTATCAAGAAATTAAATTTCTCTGAAAAAAACGAAAAAAACGTCATGTCAGAAATAAAAGTGCTGGACGGTGGTTTCTCCACGCAACTGTCCACCCACGTGGGTGATCAGATCGACGGTGACCCTCTGTGGACCGCACGTTTTCTCATAACGGAACCGAAGGCCGTCTTCGCTACTCACTTGGACTTCTTGCGTGCCGGTGCCGATATCATAGAGACGAACACGTATCAAGCAACCGTCGACGGTTTTGAGAAATATCAGGGCATCACCGAGGAGAAGAGTCTCGAGATTATCCGTAAAGCCGTCGATTACGCTAAAGACGCCGTGGACGTTTACCGTAAGGAGATAGAGGACGACGAGAACGCGACGAACCGAAAGCCACTAATCGCCGGATCTTGCGGCCCTTACGGCGCCTGCTTGCACGACGGCTCGGAGTACACCGGTACGTACTGTGCTAACGTGTCGCGAAAATTTCTGATCGACTGGCACAGGCCTCGCATACGCGCCTTGTTGGAGAAAGGTGTTGACTTATTGGCGATAGAGACGATACCTTGCGTCCGCGAGGCGGAGGCCATAGTCGAGCTACTCAAGGAATTTCCGGATACGCGGGCATGGCTGTCGTTCTCCTGCAGAGACGACGGCAAGAGCCTGGCGGACGGCAGTAGCTTTCAAGAGATTGCCGTGAGATGTTACAAGAACGCGCTGCCTGGACAAATATTAGCGATCGGCGTCAATTGTATCGCACCGCAGTGCGTCACCACCCTGCTGCGAGACATCAACAAGGGCAAGCCGAACGAGCTTGTACCGTTGGTGGTATATCCTAACAGCGGAGAGAAGTACACGGTGTCCGAGGGATGGAAGAAGGAAGGAGAAGCCCCCTCTTTGCACGATTTCATCGACGAATGGCTGGATCTTGGCGTTCGCTATATCGGTGGATGTTGTAGAACATACGCTACAGATGTTAAACGAATAAGAGCTAGAGTGGACCAACGTCGGACGTAGACATGTATGAATTTAATGGTCATTGAGAGAATGACTTCGCATTTGATTTTTGTAATCAATCAATTTATATTAAATGCTTGCGTACAAAATGCAACACGAAATATACATAAAACATTATATATATGAATACTACATCAAAACTTTATTTCTCTCTAAAATAAATATATGTCTCCTAATATATTATACTATATTAGTTTTATTATTTAAAATAATTGGATTAATAGAAACGCGACGCGAGAAGTAATTATAATTTTGGATCTATTTCGTCAGTGATTCTGATGGAATACGGTACGTCGTGTATCGTTGTATTACTACGAAAATGACCACGTCGATTAATAACATCTTTAACTAAATTCTGCTTGTACGTCATCCATCTGAAATAAAAGCCAGAGGGAATAGTGCAAGAGTTTCTATAAATCGATGAAGCCAATCGATTATTAGAATCTAAGAAAATTATAACTAATTATGTTTGATATAATTTATCATACTTTCGATTTAGGAGAAACTTTTCAAATAACTGTTTCCTAGTTGGATATTTTAAGTCCATGAACAGTTTCACACGTCCCCAGATATTGGCGCGGTTGTGCTCGAGCAACCAATATCGCGGGACAAGAAAACATCGTACTGGCGTAATCGCTACAATTCTCCGATGAAGCATTTTCTCTCCTAATTAGATATTGATTTATTACAACGCATTTTTAGGTAGAGGACAAAACAAAATTTTTAACTAATATGCATTTCTCACCTATACCGAAACACGCACCCCGGGAGAAAGTGCATATTTGCATGAATATGGTGCGAACATCACTCGGATAATTTAATTCAGACGTAACAGACGGTTCTCGCATTAATATCGCCGCAATATCAGTAATTTCGTGCCACCCTTTAACCTTGATTTTGTAATATTGATTAATACACGCAAATCAATCAATCAATTGTCCTAAATTATAAGGACAAATAAAATCGAATTTATCAGAACGTGTAATCGTTCCGACAATAATAAGTCTGACTGACGAACTTTAATAATTTCTAGCTAGAACTCAGCTAGTTATTTAGACTATTAATTCAGAGCGCAATAAATCTTTTCGTGGTAACATAATTCAACATAATTTTATTGGTAATAAATTAGTAAAAAGGAGAATAACGAACTGTGAATACTCACGACATCGAAAAGTGTGGTGGTAACGATGCTTACTCGATCAACCTCGTCTTCTGGCTCAACAGATTTCTGCAATAAAAGTAAGATCGGTAAACATACAAATTCTCTCTACTGTATCAATTTTCGATACAATCAGACAGCATAAAGTAACAAATATCTTTGCAATATAACGATTAAAAGAATTGATTTACAATTATGACAAGCAATATAATTCAATCCACAAACAAGTGACTTAATGAGTGAGTTAATAAATAAAATCTTTTGTGCATTTTTATGCGATAAGTGCAATAATGACTAAAAAGATTGTTTTGAGTTACAATTATTGACGAGCAATAATTCAATCCACAAACAAACGACCGTTATAAATAAAATCTTTTGTGCATTTTTATAAGCATTACTGATTGCAAACTGTTTGCCGTATTAAAATTAACGTAGTTATTTAAAACATTTTTTTATAATATTGAAATTAAACACGTGATGCGTGTGATACGAATGCAACAAAACAAGTGCAAGCGTAGAAAAAAAGTGCACGAAGAAAGAGCGTAAATTTTTACTAAAATATCAAACGAACTGTATAGAAAAGGATAAAGCTTTTTTTTAAATTCATACTGAAATGGATTTGTCAAGTTGATTCGATTCAAGCATGTCAGATTTCACAATCTTTCTCGATGCTCTTCCTGGTTGTTTTTGTGGCCCATAAGTTTCGGAATCGTACAATTGATATTGCATTCCATCATAAGGACGCTCGCGAACGAGCATATGCTCAATAAGGCGACATTTACCATTTAAAATAAAATACACGTAATTCACCATGCCTCTTCCATCACCTAACAAAACCTTTTAAATTAATTTATTAGTATTTTACTCTTTTCTATATATGATATATTTTATTGTCAGATTTGTGTCTAATTTCTTAAGAGACCCTCGATCGACAATAATCGAATTAATAAAATAATTATCGCATTGTCAAATTATTATTTACCTCATTAGGCTTAAAGTCTTTCAATTTGCTCAAAATACAACACTCTCGTACCGTCTCTTCGTCCCATAATTTGAAATAATTGAAATGAACTAACGCATCACGGAGAACATCCCACTTCTTTGTCAAACTACCGCGCAAGACATTATCAAAATCATTCTGAGAAATCAGAAGCAAATCGACCGGCGCTAAATAGTTTTCATTAAAAAGAGGTAGTATAAATTCCGATGAAAGACATTAGCATATTATTCGTTTTCGTTTCTACTAACTGTTAGTGACTATCGTTGCCGTTCTGGGTATCCTGTGCAATAACGCAATTTCGCCAAACATATCGCCTGGCTGCATGGTCCCCATATCTACAACTTTTTCCTCTCCTAGCAGAAAATAAGTCTTCACATTAAGCTACATAATTTTTCCCTCGGAAAATAATCCTCTTCCTTTTGGAAATAATCCTCTTTCAAATTGTATTAAAAAGTACATTTGTTAAAAAATGATGACGTAATCAGTCAAGTTAATGAGAACAAATCAATACAATATTCATCACTCAACAATTATTACAATACTAAATGGAAAACGCTAAATACTTGTATTATCTTATGTAGAGCGAATCGTTCTTCGCACAATATTCAAAATAAAAAAAAATTCTTCCCAATTTGTTAGAGATTCTCGATAGAATCTCTTTGTGTTGAAGATTCTATGAAAATTTGTGCCACTATTTTTCCTCACCTGTTAATTCGTCAATCGCTACCTTTGACAGACTGACCTCGCCATTCATAATAAAATAAAGATTTTCCGCTTTACGACCTTGACGAACAATCCCCCGCCCAGCCGATAAGTATTGATAAAAGCACACAGCTGCCAGATTTTTTCTCAACTGCTCCGGATGCTTCATGAATCCGCGAAACTTCGTGATAAGATCGTATATGTATGCTTTGTCCTCGGAAGATCTTTCAATCGGTTTCACTAACAATATCGATCGATCCTTTAATCAGCGATATATTTTACACGTTAAACTCTGATTCTTTAGTTCTAATTATCTATAGTTTTTGACACAAGTTATATATTTTTTAACGCAAGTATTGCACATATGCCTCGTCGAATACCTTTAATGTAAGCAACTTCTTTTCTACTTTTCTCTCTTGAGTCATTCTAATATTAATCGTCACATCGTCGCTAATTTCCTCGACTATCGGTTTCTCCGTTATCCATTCCATATATTCCAAAACGCGCCGCACGGCCGACCGAAATAAATAACGACCTTTTAATTTATCGGGCTAAATAAAAATTATTACATTTCCATCGTGTCTCTCAATTTCACCGTCTTTAATTAATTATAATATATAATTATGAATGATTTTAAATCTCATAAATAAGAATAAGTATTTCTTTATTGTATAGACTATGACAATCACAGAACTATCGAATTATAAACTAAATTATAATCGCGATACCATTTTTCACAGTTAATCAGAATTATCTGCATTTTGCTTAAAGAAACAAGCAAAGTATTTGTAAATATAAATTTATTGTTGTATATTATGAATAATTCTCCTGCATACAATTAAAAGATCTACAATATATTGATTAAATAAATCTTTTAATTCTTTGCAATAAAGAAATTCAAATTTGTATTGTTTCATAGTGTGTACATTTAAAGAAAAATGATATAAAATCATCTTTCGAAACGTCGTCGCAATGACTATTTTTCTTACGCTAATCAGAGTCTTCCTCGGTATTATTTTAAATGCGAGCGATTGACGTAAAGAACTTCTTCTTGCTTTGTACAGGGACATCTCGATAGAAAAATAAGAAATTTATCGTCTACAAATTTGTAATACTAAGCCCTTATTTTTGTAAGTACGAGAGGTATTGGAAACTGTCGCAAACTGACGTTAGGTGAGTGAATTGTTTGGTCGATCGCTGGTATCGAAGAAATAATCGTAAAATTATGGCGCCAACATGGTCGCCAATATAAATCTGATGCATTCAGAAATTTATAAAAGTACTAAAAATCTATTATTAATTCATGTTATATATATATATAAAGTTTTAGTGCTGTCGATACATTTCGCAACGTATCACTGTTGTATGAAAATTTGTATCATAAATATACTACAAAATATCTGTATTCGCTCCACGACAATGAATAAAATTTTTTAATCTATGGTTCATATGCACATAATAATATAATATAATATAATATAAATACTTCATAAAAAGTAAAATAAGATTAATTAATTATATAATATTTATCAAACAGCTGTTTTACAATATCCATAAAAAGTGAAATAAGATTAAATTAATATTCATCAAATAGCTGTTATAATATATTACAATTATCTAATTATACTACATAATTATGTATAGTATATTAATTATTAAAATTTTTTTATCTGTTTTTCATATATATCGTTTAACATATTTGTCTATATCGAATCGAATAATAGCGGAGAAGAAGAATAATAATAATAACCTAAAACCGAAACAGAATTATATATCTAAGAACGTAGCAAATTGTTTTTTATTGACCTGTAACATTCTCGATTAACTCGATACTGGCGAACGTATAAGCAAAACAAGATGATACACATATTTATACAGAAATATCACGCGACATGCAAATATAAGCATGTGCGTATGTACAATGTGTATCATTTTCGCAGACAAGCGATCCCGATTCTCCGAAAGTATCCGCGAGAAATAATAATTATTGAATAACAGACACGGTTGTCAAATAACAAAACGAATCATATCCATATATAATCCTACCTTAAATTGTCACAATTAGACGTTAATTCCTATAAGGCGCGTTCAGGTAGCACAGGTAGCATCACTAGCATCAAGCGTGAGAGCGGCCACGCCGGCTCTTTGGATGGGGACCGGCGATCTCCTTCACTACACTAGCGCCCCACGTTTTCAAAAAAGGAACTACGTACCACATCTATCTTATAACATTGTCGATCAAATCATAGCACGAGAACGTGGTTCGTGTCCGTGCTACACCCCACTCTTCGAGATCGACTGCTGGGGCTTTATTCTCGAAAAATTGCGCAAGTTTCGTTGAGATTTGATGAGTTCACGAACGCCGTGACACGACGAGATTCGGAGATTCTTAACCTAACCTAACCTGTTTCTAAATTCTACATTACACTTTCGTCAATTACCAACGCGTCGTCGTTCCCGAGTCGTTTTGACGCGCTTTCTTGTCTTGTGTGATTCCCGTTGTGATATCAAGGCGACAAAATGGTAATAATCGACGGTATTCTTTTCGACGACATATCGCACGCACTTGCGCTATCAATTTTAAGACAATCTCGTACGAGATTCATTACACATGGATAGGTTATGTTAACAATGACAGTCGATTTTGACTGTCTATAGTTTACTAATGATTTTTCTTGTATAATAGATTGTTAATGTCAGTTAATAATCGTACAATAATCTTAAAAAATAATAACTTGTACTTGTGTTTTGCGAAAGTAATTGTATGCAGCTTTCAAGCTAATTCTTATTTATCACTGCTTGGTGCAAAACAGTGATAGAAAACTGAACTTGACACACAATGTTTCATCTCCATTGCAATTGTTACAATTTTAGAGTTTTGGTTTGCCGTCAATCATCCCCAAGCCTGCTGTACCCGAGCAATTTGACATTAAGAATGGAACCAACTACGGCGTACCCAATCCGATGGTGTCGGGGTATGAAAATTTAATTAAACTCGAAAAACTTAAGTCACAAAAATTAGCTAACATAGCATTAGAATAATTAATTTAGTATGAGAGAATTTGCTTTCGCCATTGTATAAATCTTTAAGATTATATGGTTCAATTTCTTTTAATACAATTTTTAATTCTTGTTTATTTAGCCTGTCAGCAACCCGACAGAGCGTTGGTTACGCACATCCCTTGGAAGCATCAGAGAGAAATGTAAGATTTATTGTGTATTCTAATAAAGACAAACAGTTTTAAAACAGTAAATTTAAAACAGTGATTGCATTTGTTTCAGTATCAAAAAAATCAAGATCGCATGGATATGATATTGCTTAGAAATACGCAAGGGTTGCATGCACCATTGCGCCTAGCGATGGAATTGAAGGCCACTGAGAAGGTTGGAAGACTTCCATTTTTATCATCGTCTAATGTGATGCGAGAAGTTTTGCTTGGGCGAGACCAAGATATAGGGTATTTATAACGATTATCACTGACAGATCGACCTAATTCTAATATATATTCGACAATTTTTATATATTTGTCTCTATATTGTTATTTACAGATTTGAAGATATTTTCAATACATCCGAATTCAGAGAACAGATGGGACAGCCACATGCCGTCACAGAAAATCACCTTGGAATATTGTAAAGTATAAGCTTGCAAAAATTTCGTCTTAATAAAAATAAAAAATTTATATAGACTTATTAAATATTAATAAATTAATTCTGTAAAATTTTTATAAGTTAAATATATTATAGTTTTTCTTTCAAGCGATATTTCAGTAACCGAGATTCAAATATCAAGGGTAAAAAAATTTAATTTAATATTCTGCACCCGATAAAGATAGTATCGCTATATTTAATTAAGAAAAGCAATTTCTCGTAAATATAAAAATGTTACAAAAGTTTTTTCCACGTATATATTTTATTATTGGCTACTGCCAACCTTCAGTTAACAAAGGATTGAAGGAGTATGTGTCTTGGTTCTCGGTACTTGTAACAATTTGATATCTTTTACTCAAGTTATTAACTCTGATTTAGCGTATAGTATCATTGTAGCAGTATCTCTATCTTCTTTTTTATCACTTACAATCCTCTAGACTGGCACTGATTCAGCTAGTATAATCAATCATCGAATTTAGAATAAATACAAATCGTGTATGTTTGCTCAGAAAACATTTAAATGTGAGTAAAAAAATCGATAGTTTCATCAGAAATTATTGATTTCAAAAACATACAATTTATAGCGGTCTCCCGACTACTCTTGTATGCAACCAATTGCTTTATCAATATTTGGTTATACAATTTTAAACTTAATAATATTTATATTATAATAACATTTCACTTATTTAAAGCTTTTCAAAACTTATACTTTTTTGCTAAATATTTTTATTTAATTTTTAATTGTGTTTTGCTTGCATAAAAAATTTTAGCAGCAGTCAAGGGTTTTCTTTTTGTAAAAAGAAATACTCTTGTAATGCATTCTTGGAATCATTTCATACAATTGTTATTTATCAAACCTACAACCTACCTTCGAGTATATATTGATAAACTTAAAACAAATATTCGTAAAGAAATTGCTGCATCGTAGTTGAAGAAATCATTGCAATCATCATGTTGCAAGATCTCGTGAGTGACTCAAGAGAGAGGGATTGCAAAAGTGCATGCACTCAGGAGAGTCATTTGAAGAATGTTATTTTCGAGACATAGATAACGGTTATCAAGCGACGCGACAGCGTTATAACGTCGAGTACATAAAAAAAGGGTAAAGTAATTTACAAATGGCATATTATATTTTTATAGTTTGACGTAATTAATTGAATGAAGTTTCTAAGTTTTTAGTTTATCCTTTTAAACTTTTTCGGTTCTTTGGCACATCGTGTACCGTTTTATTTCGAATATAACGAATGTACACTACCTATGTTTAGCCACAAAGATCGGTCATGATGTATCATTTTATCCTTGTTATTTACTGAATGTTAAATAATAAAATGATATACGTTATGCGCATCATGTATAAAACAGAATGCACCCATAGACTACGTTCGAGCGCGTTATCTGCTGTTGTGTCACTATATCTTTATCGTTCGTTGACGTAAAACAAGGGGTGCATGTTCCGTTTTACATATGAAGCTCATGCATCATTTATCTTTGTTTTTAACATTCGGTGAACAACAATAATAAATATGATGCAACATATGCGTCATGCATGAAACGTAATACATCCAAGGATATAAGTGGGTAGTCTTATGGGTCTGCGGGTTGTGGTTGCAATAGCACTATCGAGGCAATAATAAGGCTGCGTGCGTCGGAGCTTTATTAATTATTGCCTTCCACGCCGGTATCCAAGATGGCCGCAACGAAGAAGCAGAAGAATTAACGTTCGATTCGATTTAAAATAATATCCTTCGTGCCTTCATATTGTTTATTCGCGAGTGACAAATCTTAATAATTTGTTGTTCTTTCTGAGCAAGTCAAATACTTTCTGTGACACAAGAGGCAAGAAAAAACAATTCGCTCTGCCAAGGTTAGTGCTAAGAAACCCCACTGTATGTACATGCGATTTTGATGATCGGTCGAAATTAATCAGAGAGAATTTCAAAGTGGAACAAATCCTCCGCAGGACGAGAATGAAAGAAGCCTCCTTCTAAAATCGTGCAAATCCAATCCAAGTGACACGTGTGGATATCAAGTGGATCTGTGACGTCCGTTCGCTACTCTTAATACTCCGTATCAACAATCATGCTGGTAGAACATCGGCAGAACGTCCCGAAGGTCCTGGACGGCGGCTTCTCCGGGCAACTGTCGCGGCACGTGAGCACGAAGATCGACAACGATCCGCTGTGGACGGCGCGGTTCCTCCAGACTAACGCCGCCGCCGTATACGACACGCACATGGACTTCCTGCGCGCCGGTGCCGACATCATCGAGACTAACACCTACCAAGCGTCCGTGCCCGGTATGATGAAGTATCTGAATGTAAGCGAACGCGAGAGCTTGGACTTGTTCGACAAGTCCGTACGCCTGGCGAGGGGAGCCGTGGACGACCACGTCCGGGAGAAGCGCATCCCCGTCGAGTCGAGACCCATGGTCGCCGGATCGTGCGGTCCTTACGGCGCTTACCTGCACGACGCGTCCGAATACACCGGTTTCTACGGGAAGAGCATGTCCCGGCGAGAGCTGATCGACTGGCACAGACCGCGCGTCAAGGCGCTGCTGGACGCCGGTGTCGATCTGCTGGCCTTCGAGACCATACCCTGCGTCGAGGAAGCGGAGGCCTTTCTGGAGCTGCTGAAGGAGTACCCGCACGCCCGTGCCTGGCTCTCGTTTTCGTGCCGGGACAATCAGTCGATATCGGACGGCGGCGTGTTTCAGAGCACGGCCGTGCGCTGCTACCGCGCCTTGCCGTCGCAGATCGTCGCGGTCGGCGTGAACTGCATCGACCCGAAGCACGTGACTCCTCTGTTGAAGGGTATCAACGTCGAGGGCGCGTCGTCGGGGCAGGATTTCATTCCCCTGGTGGTGTATCCCAACAGAGGTGGCAGCTTGTCTGCGAGCGGCGAGTGGATCGCGGTCCAGGATGATCATTCCCTGAATCTGCCCATATCGGAATGGTTGAACCTGGGGGTTCGTTATATCGGCGGCTGCTGCAAGATCTTCGCGGAGGACATTGAGCTGATTCGAGCAGAAGTAAATCGGCATATCACGCCAGAGATTCTGGGAAAATAATTCTACTTACGGCGTCTATAAATGCCAGCGATCTGCGAAAATTTTACAGATATCAACACTTATGCGCTGTGATTAAAATTATTAAAGATAAACTACTAATTTTTATTTTTTATCTTGTCAATTAATTGTTCAAGATAAATACTTTTATTGCTGAAGGAGTACTCGCATGCCCGTGCCTAGCTCTCGTTTTCGTGCCAAGACGATCAGTTTAAATGATTTGAACAAAATGATTTGAGGAGTGATTACTGCAATATATACGACCTATAGATAACGACACATTTGTCAGTAATTGTTCATAAAATTGCGCAAGTTAATATTGTTCGAGATCAGTATATTATTTTTTGAAAGATTTATTAATTTTTATATTAGAATTTTCACAACGTATTTCTATTAAATGATAAAAAGCAATAAAAAAAATAAAATATTTTTATGTCGTGTATTATACAAAATGCGTATATTCTTTATCTATTCCCAGAAATGTATGTTTGTATTTATATAACACATCTCTTTTAATTAGAACAAAACAAATATTTAAAGTCTTGATACGCGAGCAAGATCGATAACAATTTTTTACAGCAGTATATAATGTTTATTTAAGAATTTTAAAACATAGACATTAAATACTCGGGAAAATAACTTAAAATATCAACTAAATAGAAATAGTGACATGTGCATAAATAAAATTATGAACTTGGAGTTAGAAGACTTCTCACCTAAGTATTTAAGAATTAAAGAGATAAATCATATTCTTAATAAACGCTGACATTTGCTGTTTTATGAAATATAATCTCTAAATTTCTTAATATTTTTAAAAATTATTTTATACTTATTTAATAGTAGTAAAATATTTCATCGCTTGGATCAAATCGACTGTTTATTTTTCCAGAGATTTATCGATATATATTAAATATTTCCCTATTGGATACGTGCAATCTGCAATGCTGACTTCGACGCTTTCTGTTTCTGTATTTACATTAAATACAGAATCTGATGGAATCTCAATTTTTCCATTTAAAATGTTTCTTGCTACTGGTTTAATTCTAGGTCCCAGATTCGGATCGTCATACCGATATAACACGATTGAAGCAGGATCTGAACAAAATGTATATTAATAGATTCTGCATTATAAACTAGTTCACTAATTGTACAGAATTTTTTAAATACCTTTTATGTGTGCACGATTCTGTTTTACGACATGGGACGCAATATCTGCAGCTGTTACGGTTGAAATTTTCATAGGCAGTTCAAGTAAATTGCTACAACATTGCGGATTAACAAGACATATTGAAACTACGGGCTTTGAAGAAAAGTTCATGTAGGGAGCACCTGGACAGCATTCTTCTTTCGTCTTTTCTGGAGCTTCGTCCGTATATTTAATGATAATATCATCAAGCTGGGTAATAAATAAAAATATGGTAGATATACGTTGATACATAGATAAGACGAAAATTAATATAATTTTTGCTTACGCCTAATGTACTTTGGAGATACTCTTTGTTGTTCTCGAGTACATCGAATTCGTTAAAATCAAGAGTCAAATTCAGCGCACTGAGACCAACAGTCTCCACCTTCTCCTTCACAAGCTGCACGAAAGGCATTACTCTTTTCATATATTTTTTCAACTCTGCTTTGCCGGCGAACGTTGTGGAGAGTGCTTTATTGTCTGGTAACTTATTTCCATTTTTCTATAGAGTAGTAAAAATATTAACACACGAGAAATATTATGTTACACATACATAAATTATCGCTATGACTTACAGAGTACATTTCTCTCATCGTCGTAAGAATGACACTTTGCCAAGGAGGATAAGTCTTAGCTACCCAGATAATCCCTTGCCTAGGTTTCTCTACACTGGCAGTGTCGTCCTTTGCCTTAGACTTTTTCGGTGTCATGTAATTTTTTAGAAGAATTCTGAATGTATGAGCAGCATCCATTAGATACTGAGATGATTTTATTAAAATTTCGTTTATTTCTCCTACCGCAGGCCATCTTGCATTTGATATACTGCCATGCTAATAAACCACATTGATGAATTAAAAAAGATAATCTAATAATGTACAAACATTATGCTTCAGTGCGTAAAACTTACCTTCTTAAGTAAATCTCCCCATATATATTCGCAAATATGTGGACAAATGGGAGCTAAAAGAATCACTTGAATCTCTATGTACTTCTTAATTAGATTCAAATTAATCATTGGACTTAATTGCAAATATTTATCTCTAGCAGTTTGAAGTTCGTAAAATCCCGTCCTCAATGCTTCCTTGTAAAGCATCTTCGAATAATTTTCGCCAGTTTCTCGTATTTTCAAATTTATTTCGCTGCATCAAATAAATATTATTTCAGTTCTATAGTAATGATTTTAAAAAATAAAAAAAGTAGAAGTACCTTTGAAAGACATTATCGTGAAAGTCTTGCAGCTTATTGTAACGATACTGATATTTCGTATTCAGTACATCTTTGACCCATTCTATAAAGGTATACAGTCTAAGAATTCCCGCGTCGGCTGAGCTTTCAATGAAATTAGCGTCCTCTATCGAATCACCAGAATCAGCGAGACAGAGACGCGTTCCGTCAGCCGAGAATTTTTCTACAGCTTCGGCAAGCGTTAAGAAGTTGCCCTCTGACTTAGACATCTGTTTGTTGAAACAACAATTAAAATTTTACGTAACAAACATGTTATGCAATTTCGTGCTACCTTTGCCGAGTTGAGAAGCAGATGACCATTTGCTCTTATTCCTCGCGGCCACAATTCAGGTTGGTTTGGCCATATGGCTGTATGATTATAAAGGAAATATGTAAGATGATTTTGTATCAGATCCTTTCCTGATACTCTCAAATCCACAGGATACCAATACTGAAATTCATGCCTCATACTATCTAGAACTGCTCTCTTTATATTTATTTTATGCAAAGGCAGTTTAGCGTCTTTGAAGAAAATATAATCCCATACTTCCGGAGTCATATCACAAGCCCTAATGGAAACGGTTAGATATTAATAATCACCATAGATAAAACAATATAACATCAATTTTAAATATCATCTTAATCTTATTTACTTTATTCCATATGCATTAGGTACATCTCCCTTAAAAGTTCCTCCTTGCAAAAAATGCGCTATTGTATAATAAGCCATGTAAATAGTAGAATCTGACAGAGATTCTATCAACCAACTTTCGTCCCATGGTAATTTAGTGCCTAAAAATATAAGAATTAAGATATTTCCAAGAATAAATATTTCTCTTTCGTATTAATATATTTATTTACCAAGTCCATACGTCCTGGAACATGCGTGCTCATGTAACCAGTCAAAACTGGCCAGGAAATTCTTTCTAACTTCGTCGTGAAAAGTATCGAGATTCTTTAATGCCTCAAGAGTCTCCCTCTTCCAATTTTCTTCACCATAATCCAAATACCATTGATTACATAAAGCCACTACGCATTCATCATTTGATCTTGAAATGATAGTTTTTTCTGGTTCATAATAAATCACTGCTTCGCCGCTGTCAATCATCTCTTTCTGAACTAATTTCTTTATATCTTGTATCTTTTTCCCCTTATATGGACCTATTAATAGTACACCATCGTAAAATCCTTTCAGATATGCTATTTCCTTTGCTTCTGCGAGTTTAACTTTATCATTTTGAGATTGAATCTTCAACTGATCATATAATGTCACTGCTACTAAATTGCCAAGTTCTGGAACTTCGATGATCGGGATCTAATACATTAGAATATGAAAGATTCATGATTCTTACCAATCGCTCATAATTATGTTTTATATATATTATATATATTTTATAGAATCTACCCACTGGATCATATGGCAACACCATCTCATCGGCGATTCTATATTTTTCTCGAAGTGGCTGTTTCTTTTTCAGATCCACCAATGCGGCATAATCGTCGGGAGAATCACTAGGAACGGAAGTTACAATACCAGTGCCCTTATCTTCTTTTATCGTCAACATAGGCAATGCATAAATCACCTTATTAGATGTCAGAGGTGCTTCCAATTCGAGTCCCAACAAGTCCTACAAAAGCGTGTCTTATGTAAAAATCTTGAAAATATAACTAATAATCGGTGATGAGCAAATATATAGTACTTTGCCCGTGAGTCTTTGAATAATGTCTATTTTTCCCTCTTCTTTGAAGAAACCTTGATAAGACATATTTCTGGCCGCACGTTCTGTAGAAATATATACATCCCCGCATGCTAAAGTATACGCTATGTAGTTCATGTCTGGATGAATCCAACAATTTGTTTGACCGTACATTGTCTCCGGTCTCAAAGTTGCAGCTACGAGATAAACTGGTTTATAACCTTTATGAACTTTATTCTTGCAAGGTAGCATCCTGCAATCATATTATTTATTTTACGAATTAGAAAACGTCAATAAATTGTAGAATAATATAATCCAAAAGTCTTACTTTATTTTCTCAGGACATCGAACTTTCATTTTAATCAATGTATATTCCTGTGGTCCAGCACCTTCACCAGTGGATCTATCATGATCCATGCAAGGTTGACCGTCTTTTGGTGAATAAATAGTGTATCTCTTTCCATACTTGATTTTTTTCCGTGATTTCAAATGATAGAATTGCCAGCGTACAAAAGAGTCATAAAACGGATTTGCATCTGTCGTAATAAATGTTCTTCGCCAATCCACCTAAAGTTTTTAAAAATTGGGTATATAAAATTGAGAAGATTACGTAAAAATTTTTATGTTTTACTTACATGAAGACCGATAGATTTTAAGTCTTGTACAGCAAGTGGTGGAAAGTAATCCAACCAATATGCAGCGTCAGTAAAATTCTTGATTTCCTCATCTTGCAAGCCAAGAGATTGCATAATTTGCCACTGATGTTTAGCTGCGCCAGCCTTAGCAACTGCCTTACTCTGAAACATCAATTAACATCAATCAATTTTCGATTTCTTTAAAATATATGTTGTATCATTATAATGAAAATTATTAGAATATTTTTACCTTCTTTCCTTTGCTCTTATCCTTTAGTACATTATCCTCTTTTTCTTCCACTATCTCCATTTCTTCAGGAAACTTAGGTGGATAACCATATGTTGCCATATCTCTTCTTAATTTATCAGCGCATGCTTTAATAGGCATACCCGTGCAGTGAAATCCAAAGGGGAAGAGCACTTTCTTTCCCAAAAGGCGATTGTATCTGGTAGCAAACTGTTACACATATTTGTTAGTTTATTGCATATGTTTAAGATATTTAAGACATATAAGATTGTTAGAAAATGTATACAATTTGAGAAATTTTGGATATATACCTCACACTTTGATAATGAGAACGCATGACCGAGATGAAGACGTCCATTCATGTAAGGATATGGAAAAGTTGCCAAAAACTTTTCATCTGGTGAGCTTTTATCTTGAGATGGTGCATCCACTTCGTGTATCTTTACGGAGTCCCATTTCGCTTGTATGTTTTTCTCAATTTCTTGAAGATACTCAACTTTAAAGGTGCCCTTCCTTTCAGTTGCCTATTACAAAAGATATTTTTTTCATAATAATCGATACGAAATAATATATTTTATAATGATAAATCGATATTGTATAGGCAGACAATATAAGGATAATGTAATTGTTCTAATTGCATTTGCGGCAAATGAAAATTATGATATAGAGTTCGATAAGGTTAAGATGCATGAAGGTCTACATATCCTACTTTATGCTCACATATATGACAAAAACAGCAAAATTCTATATTCAATAAACACATGTACTTACCATCTTAATTGTGTTTATTGCAAGCAGCAATAATCATAAATATTTGTCAATTGTACGAAATGTTACAGCACGTGGAACGATGGAACGTGGTACTGCTACCATGCACACGACATACACAGATACAGACCGCGCTCACACATATACATACAAATCATTTATATGAATGATTACGTATATATGATGATGAAACACAGGTGTTGCAGTTTGACAAACATATGGTCTGTCCTTTTTACCTAATTTGTTACAATTCGTGCACTTAAAATGAGATAATATTATAATAATGCCTTGGAAAGAAGAACAAACGCTCAATGCAGACTCAGAGCTGATTAAAAAAAAAAAACAAGCATATAAATATTTGATTGTTGAAAAGTAAATTACATATACAATCTTTTAAACTGAAGTTTATTGAACGTTTAATTCACAAATTTATTTTAATTTTGTGTAGGTTATAATAACGAAAAACTTATTAATTTTTCAAGTTTTCTATAAAGATAAATAATAAATCTAGAAACGTCGTCTAAAAGAAAGAAATCTATTCTTTTTAGTATTATAATCCTTTTTTATTAAATTAGATTTCATTAGATTTCGATACTACAAATCTCCTTCTCTTATATTTTATACTTTTTTTATATTTTATTATTAAAAGTATGGTATGTTTTTATTTTTGTCCTATTACATTTGTGCAACGGGTTTTAAGCCCAATAAGCTGAAGCATTTCTCTAACACAAGAGCAGTAGCCTCCGCGAGCAACAGACGTCCCATATTTATTTTCACAATTTCACCAGCTTCATTCTTCTCCACGCAGTAACATTTATCGTAAAATTCCGTGAATGCGCATGAAACCTCGTAACAAAATTCGCACAACGGATGCACGTATAGGTCCTCGTTAACGCCAAGAATTACATCGGGAAACTTCAACAGTACTTTGGCCAGTTTCCATTCTTTCTCGTGCTCCAGTGAGATCGGAGTTTCGTGCAAGCGCTGCCGCAACTCGTCCTTCGTGACATTCGCCGTTCTGGCGATAGAACGAATTCGCGTTAAAGCGTACAATAAGTAAACGGCTGTGTTGCCCTTATCCTCCAGCATTTTATCAAACGAAAATACATATTCGTGATTTCTATTGTGTGACAAATCGGCATATTTTATGCAACCGTACGCCACGGATTCTTGGGCTGCCTTTAGCTCTTCTTCCGACAACACCTTGTCGCGTCCTTTCTCTTTCAGTTTCTGCAGCGCTCTCTTCAAGCCTAAACGTAAGCAATACGTGATAATTAAAGTTTTAGAAATCAGGTGAAAGATATAACAGTGTCAAACCAACAGTCAAAAATCGTTTCCTTTACCTTCGTCTAACAACTCGCTAAGTCTCACGGTGTCACCAGATCTTGTTTTAAATTTCTTCTTGTCTTCACCCAAGACAACGCCAAAACCAACATGGTCCATCTTGTGGAAGCTCTTCAAAATACCTGCCCTTTTGGCGCAACTTTCCAACATTTGAAAGTGCAGAGACTGGCCAGCATCTGTCACGTATATCAGCTGCAAAATTACAGAGATTTACAAGGTTACTTATAGAGAATAGGAATAGATTATAGTGTGTGCTTATAGTGTGTGCGACACATAATACTTGCCCATTCTCCCCTTTCGTTTTCGACACGATGCTTAATACAAGCCATGTCTGATGTGTCATATGTAAAACCCCCGTCAGATTTTACTATAGTTAACGGTATCCCGCTACCATGTTTCTCTCCCCACATCACCTTTCGCCCATTATCTTCTTCCAGCATATTTTTTGATTCCAGTTCTGGAACTATCAACTCCATGTACTTCTGATAGAATGATTCACCTCTTTCTGTTAATTTGATATCCAGTCGAGTATACAGTTTCTCGAACTCTGCATCAAACACAAGAATAATTGTTAAAATACGTTTTCTCCCTGGATAAATAATTATACACAGCTAATTGTTGTACACTCACCTTGTCTAGATATATCGCATATCATTTTCCATGCTTTTGTTATATTAGGCTCAAAAGCTTGCAATTTAACGACACATTCGTACGCACGCTTCTTGAATTCCTCGTCATTGTCAAATCTAGTCTTGGACTCTTTATAGAAGGTCTGCATGTGTACACAAATATAAATAATCAGTGTGTTTATTTACGGCAAAAAATAAAAATAATTATGACAATTGTCATTAAATGTTACATAACATGATTACGCAGTCACCTGAAGATCCTGAATTGGTGGAGCAGTCGTCGAATAGTTGGGAAACTTGTCTTGAAGGTGAGCTATCAACATACCAAACTGCGTGCCCCAGTCGCCTATGTGATTGAGTCTCAACACGTCGTGTCCCAGGTATTCCAACAGCCTGGAGATACTGTCTCCGATTATCGTGGACCTCAAGTGGCCCACGTGCATCTCCTTGGCAATGTTGGGACTAGAAAAGTCTACAATCACTCTCTTCTTCTTAACGTACGGGGGGAGAACTTCACCGGCCGACAACCAGTTGCGCAAAATAGTCTGCCCGAATTCATGTTTTAGGTACACATTTATGAATCCTGCGCCAGCTATTTCGTACTTCTCGATGACAGGGGATACTTTCAGCTTGGAGATAATCTCCTTAGCAACATCACGTGGAGATATTTTTGTACCTATAATAATAATAAACACAAGTAACATCGAATACAAATTTTGTTACAAGCCAGTTTGAATACACGTCGAGTTTTGTTAACAAAACGCGCTACTTAATATTGCACTAAACAATATATACAATGGAAAATCATACAACTTTTATGGCATTAAATAGAAGAATCTTCCGATTTTATTTTTTGCACTATATATCTCTCTTAACTCGTATCAGCAGTTTCAAGTTTAAATAAAATACTAAGAGGAAGTAGCCAATTTTTACCGGCGCCACTCAGTTGCTGCGCCAGGGGCATCGCGCTGTTACACTGATAATCCCCAAATTTCGGATTAGAGCTGGTAGTCACTATCACTGGCGGATCCGCTACGTCGGGATAAGCGGCACCGATGGCACTGCGAAAGACCGCGACGAGATTGTCTCTTATGCTGATTGTATCCGCAGGTGCCAACGACTCCATCCTGTTGTCCAGTTTATCCCTTTGCATTTCCACGGTCTACGAAGAATTATTAGAAATTAGTCTGCGAGGAACGAACACACGCGTCAGAGAGAGAGAGAGAGAGAGAGACGAAATCGTCAAGTGGAAATGATAACGTGAAATTTCTGTTGCAATGATAACGTGAAATTTCTACACTCAAAAATCTACCCTCTTGAGTATCGCTATCCTGTGGGTCAACTTGACGTTCTCCTGTTGCAATCTCTCGAACTCCTCCTTGGTTATATCACTCGGGATGTCAGTCGCGATGCTCCGTCGCAGCGATTCGAGCTGCAGCTTCAAACCGAGTATCTCTCTCTCCTGCAATATTGGACGGGCATGGTGAGTCGGCTAACCTCGCACGGCCATCCGGACCACCGGATAACCGTGATTACTCTAACACTACGGCACAGACGTTGGAAATTAATGGATAAAGAGATTTACCGCCACGGCAGCTCGTTCGTTAAATAAGTCTATATCCCTTTTCGACATTATCTCAACGTTCCTTCACTTTTCAAGGGCCCTCGTTAAAACAACGTGGTCAGCTTGAGAGAGCCACCGCCGATAAGATAGGCGGTTCGCGTGATTAATCGCAATAGTAAATATTACTTAATATTGTGCTGGACAATATATACAACGGAAAATCGGATATAATTTGTGGCATTAAACGGAAGAATATCTCCCGATTTTTTGCGTTATATATTTTTCTTAACTCATGTGCAGTTTCAAGGTTAGGTTAAAATTGTCGAAGAATTTTTTAAATCTGTTGCGGGAGCAGTCGATAAACGACGGTCATATTTTTGGATGTTGCAGATATAATGTATCTCTGCGTTTAATTCGTACATTTATTTATTATTTGTAAATTTTATCTGTATATCCGTTGAGTGTATTAATAGCGAGTGTTTTAAAAAACGCGGTTAAGTTATTATTTTTCTGTTCAAGGAGTGGAAAGTGTAGCTGTACGTCACTCGATTTTTCTCTGGCGCGAGCTATAAAACTTTACCATTTTCAATTCGTTAATTATCGTAGTTTTCTCGCATTAATTAATACAATGTGGCGAGTGTGCCGTAAAAAGCAAATATACAACTTCCTTTTGTCTCAATAACGTAAACTTTGGATTGATTAAAGACATTTCTGGAAGAATAGATGTGTAAATATATTATTTTAATGTGTGATATTTCTGCATAAATGTTAAATGTAATATTTATATAAGATGCGTTATAGACGATAGCTTTATAAAACTATTTAATTTTGTGAGAAAAACATTGTCTAAAATATATCCAGGAGAGAATGATAGAAGTAAAGGTGCCGAATAAAAACGCAGTCCCTTTTTTATATCAATCATTTATTTTCTCCATACAAATTATAAACATGTTTTTCAAATACTGTACATATACTGAGTTCTATATTATATTTTTAAACCTCTAATTTAATGATATATCATTTTATTTTATTTTATTTTTTTTTCATTTACTCGTTAAAACAACTACTTTGATCCTCATTTCGTTTCATTTATGATAATAATATACAGGTAGATCCTTTTTGTTTTCTCTTTTCTCTGATCATTATTTTTTAGTAAGTTTTTTTTTACAATCAAGCTCAATTCTTTGATATGGCAGTTCCAGGATATGAATAAATAGAATTTTTAAGAGATCCAAAATTTCGAGAGTTTGTCGAATTAGCCGGCCGATTAGCGCGCAGTCAATACTTTCATAGAGATAAGACTGAATTTAATTGAATTAAAGATGAATAGATGTTTTAAAGCATAATTAAGGACACTCTGCTTTATAAAGATATTTTAATTACTCATCTGTGTATCTAATTCATTATAAATACAAAGAGTAAATAAAACATACTGAATGATTCATAAGTGTTTCGTAATTTTTGTCAGTAAATACATATATTTATAGGCGGTACAGCTGTTCAGCAATATAATTACTAACTTAGATAAAACGAAAATGAAGTAGATTAAATAAAAATTAGACGTCTACTCCTGTATAAAAGTATACTGCATATAGAAGAAACTAATAGGTCTCTATGAAAATATTAAGAATTTTTTTGCATACTACAATTTCGAAATGTGGAACTGGATTCATATAACGAGCTGCAAGCAAAACAGTTTCTCTCTTCTCACGGGAGTACTTATTACAAAAATGTAGCTGCTGGAACTTGAACAATTTCTCATGGTCTTCATGTAAATATATACAAAGATATTTAACAAATCTGAGTCACAATCGATCGATCGTATCGTATGTTATTGTGTACAGTGCGAGATGTCTCTTTCTTTTTTTTTTCTTTTCCTTAGTCTACTTCTGCATTTTGTATCTTTTATCGGGCCTCGATTTTTTTTTCAATATCATCAATATAGAGTGAGAGAGTACTATTTTCTATCTTCACAGAAGACATAGATAAATATATATTTTTATAATCTTTCCTTATAAATGTAATTCGCTTACTTTAAAATCATTACGCGTAAATGTCAATAATATTAGTGTCGGTGCTCCTTCTTCTCAATTTTCATACTCGTTCCACCTTTGTTTTCAAATTTCCTTAGAAAATAAAACAAATCTACGCGACCGAACCGAATTCCTGTGAGTATCTTTCAAAAATATTGCGTAATTTTTTTTTTAGAAACAATGCGTTATTAAACAATTCGATATGTAACCACGAGACGTTGTCTTGTTTATTATAAATGTAATTCTAATCACATATATTGTGAGAATATTACATGTTATATTTGCTGAAATTACTGCAAATGCAAAGTAAAGAATTTCTGATTTTGATAGTTATAATAAATATTGCAAAAAAACTTATCCATATGTAGCACAGTCGTGGTTACAATTTCAATTTGTGCAAACGTTTTTGCTAAATCACAATTCACATATTGACAAAAGACATATGTAAGTAATAAAAAAAAAAAAACGATATGATGAATTACTACTGGCTGGTATCCATTTGAAAGAAATACTGTCACAAATCACTTTCGAAAGCCGGACTTACACAAATGGACATGTTACTGAGAAATACTACAGGGAATTATTCTCCTATGTATTTTCTTTTATAGTTTTTAACTCCTTTACTTCCAAGAATTACTTTCAAATAGACACCGAGCCTACAAGAAAAAAAAAAAGAAAAACGGTAACAATGAGTAAAACATATAAAAGCTGCCAGTTAAAAAAAAACACATTCACATATCGATTAAACATAAATTTCTTTCTACTCCAGTCAACCATATAGTAAATTCACTTCTCACCCCAAATAAAAAGCGACATATTTCTGACTAAAAGAGATCAAAATACATTGCCACTTGTTCCGTAAAAGTTAATTAAAGTAAGAATACAGTAAATAATATTATCTTATTAAAATATACACGACCTTTTCTTGCTTATGTTAATATTTTACTGCTCGATAGGCAAGTTTCCTGTTCCGGGAACACACAACAGATCGAATTAAAAAATAAGTAAAAACTTGCTGTGCAATTATACACATTGATAATGTATATGAGAGATGCGATTAAATAAAGTCAACTGCAAGATATGGTCCTCTACTCGTTTAAACAATTGCCACTAAGTTTATGATGAAAAATCTCTGTATGTAAGTTCTCTATGGTCCATGTATGTGTAACATGTAAATTATATTATTAAGTACGAAACGTTTTTTTTTCTTTTCAACGGGCTATTATTGTATCCTCTTGTATCAGTGCTTTGAAAAATACCTTTAGCTTACAGAGATTTGGAGAGCGATATTGAAATCAGATCGATGTACCGTAATCTGAATATCGACGCTCCATGCCACTATGAAATCGCCGCGACATGTGTCTTATTATTATTTTTCAAGATCGATTTCAATACACTCTTGATAAAAAAAATGCCAAGATCGGATTTTTAGAGTAATCAAAGTCCCTATCACATAGCTACAACTTATGATGGTGGCCTTCCATCTGTACTAATCGATGTACTTAATCGATCTGGTATATCGCTTTGTAAGTGTAGAAAGATAAAAACAAACAAAGTACGCTAAGTAAGAAAAATCATTCATCAGTAAGAACTATAGAAAAATGATCTTAGAATACGAAGTAAAGTGTATTATAAGAAATACAAACACATCCCTTTAACCTAAGTGTCGCTGCCTAATCAGAGTGGGTTTGCACATTAGCAAATGCGTTTTAAAAGACTGAATTTCAAAAATATATAAAAATCATAATACGTAATCGTTCTTTTGCCGAAGGTAACTCGCAGATTAACCGCTGCAGCATAGATTCTCACAGTGATAAGAATTTTTGCGTGACGCGAAAGAGCAGTTTCTGTGACAAAGCTTAAGGAAACGCATGTTAATGTACGATACTTGATTTTTTTTTCTTGTGTTTCTGACTTAATTCTCATGATTAAAAGCAATATATAATTGTATTTCGTATTATATAAAAAAAAATCATAATGGCATATCTCTCGGTCAAACCTCCGTTTCTTTTAAAACTTAGAAATCACTTAGATAACTTTATACATGCTCATTTATAACAATGTAAATCGTAATTCATTGCATTAATATTTAACATATATACTCTTATACGTAATATATGTATATCTGTGTGTGGATGTTTTTTTTTGTCTCGAGTCTCTATAATATATATATCGTCTAATTTAATAATAAAACTATAATACTAAATCAAATGTCGGGGTACCATGCCTTTCCGAGATCAGAGTCTGTTTCTTTGTTCTCTTTTTTTTTGGTTTTGTTGCATGCTTATATCTCTTTATGCAGTTTTATACCAAAATTTATTGTCAATTTTAAATTAATTTATTACAATATGTTCTCTTTATTAAAATCGAGCCTCTTTAAGATTAATCGACGAAGTTTATTAAAGACGTCGATTAAATGAGACGATGATTATGATCATAAAATATATATATGATAAACTTTTTTTAATCCCTATTTTACTATATAAAATTTACAATTGTGTGATATCTTAAAGGTAAATTGTCCAATACAGTGCAAAAATTTTTTTTATTACAGGATGTCAAATACTTATACAATTATATCAAGTCAATAAAGTGTAATTAAGTCAATTAAGTTACTGAAAGTATAAACTTTGAATCAAACTCAAGCTCGGGCTGGCCAGTACTCTATTATATATGTATGTGTACATATGTGTGTAGAGTCCTTGTTGAGGAGTTTCACGGAAAACGTTCGCAACACATATTCCCATTTCTTTTTGTTTTACGTGACAAAACACTCGAGTTTGATGATTAAAAATTAGATTTTTGAAAAATTAGAGACTTTTTGTGGGATATTTATAATATTTATTATACAATACTTAGAATTTTTCATCTTTAATTTAATCCCTTAGCATGCACAGCCGGTTCGTAATCAGTTGAAATGTCGCGACTTTTTTCTCTTTTAATTCTCTAATATTTCTCTACAACTAATTTCTTCAAAATGGGAAAACAAATTCTTTTCATAAAATTCAAATTTATAAAATTAGCAAGTTATACATATGATTTACGTACAAAAATTTAAATATTTGAATATAATAAATGAAAAGAAAGAACATATGCAATATTTTAATCTACCCGGATTGTACATAGAGAACGTTTTATTATGACATTTATTATTTATTCAGTATTTACATCTGTTCATAGATTAATTTTCATCATGTCATCCGGTGACCGAATATTTTCCATCGAAACTCACCTATGGACGCGAAAATATTTCTGTATAAGTGTAAGCATGTTTACACCCACATATTCTCACGCATTATCGCGTAATCAAATTCCTCTATTCTAAGTTTTCCTCTAATCAAAAATCAGCTGATTTCCTCTAAACTAAATTTCTCTTTTTACATTATTGTTTATTGTTTCTTCATTATTGATACTTGTCATATGACGTCATATTCGACATGATAATGTGAATACGATAATGAAAAATGAATAAAGGAAGATAGAGCGCGCAATAATATTTCCAATCTGTTCGTGTCCTTTGGCATAAGGATAAGAACGTGAAGGGAAGATTAGAGGAAGTGCTCGATATCCCAATAAGTTTAGAATAGAGGAACTCGGCTGTATGTGTATATATTGTATTTTCACAATATAATCGTGTGTATATACGTGTATGGATGATCTTTATGTGATAGGCACTGATGGGGGTGGATGGCTGCATGGCGAGCAGGTTCAAGCAGGCTAGTCTTGGACCAATCTGTATATGTGATGCTGAGCACCGTGTTCAGATGTCGATACCTCGAACACATATGCCGTACACAATAATGTTTCCTGCGTATCCCTGTTCGTGACAACCTGAAAAAGAGAAGAAAAAAATCAAAGGTATATTTCTCCGTAACACATTCATAACACAAATTATTTTACAACTAATTTTCTGTGCACACACAAAGAAATACAATTACAATAATATCAATATTCCAATAAAATATTGCAATATAATCGTAAAAATAGACAAATAAATTTAAATAAATTTATATATTTTAATAGGATAAATCCAAAATATAATTGAAATAAATTTTTAAGAGGGCCTGATATTTGAAACTTCTTAAGTCTTTATTATAAAATTAATATAAAGGAGATTACATGTACATATAAAATATTACAAGAAATATGCATCATATGACATCAACGCACCTGGAGGATGGTGAAATTTTCGAGAACGCTGTTCATCATGTACTTCTCTGGCAGGTGCTTCAGTTTGTGGATGAAATTAATCATATATTCGCACATAGGTGAACGGCTAATACGATAAACGAACCTGCCATTCTCAAACCTGGCGTACTCCGTCTCCACCTTTTCTACTACCTGCTTTCCGAAAGAGCATACTTTTGTCGAACACGTTATCGTCATGTTCTCGTTGCTCTCATACCTGTTAGTGTACACAGAGTATAAATATTATGCCAAACTAGAATCGAGTAATCGAGAGGTACGTTTTACTCACTGGCTCGTGACGCCATAGAATACCCCACTTTCTTCTTGGATGTTGCTATTGAGATCAGCCCAAAACTTAACGAGGAAGAAAGCCGCTTGCGGTCCTTTATCATAAAGTTCTTTGAGACCGCCCTTCTTTTCCGGGAATTTGTCGTATATCTGTTTAACGTCGACCGCTTCCAATAGCGGATCGGCGTAGGTCACGGAACCTCCTATATGGACGAACAAGTGTTTGTGGTACTAAAAAAAAAAAACAAATAAATTCACATATATGAACAAACATTTGTGAATCGTGAAAATAAATCTTTAGCAGATATCCTATCGACTTTTCCGTTCCTTGCTGTCGACAAAATCACCTGGTTATTCAGACATTTATAAAATTATTTTTGACGTGTTAAAATTTTTCGCGATTATCAAGTTATATCAATTTAATTATAATAATAATTATGTCAATAGTCATCAATGCGATAATTTTTAATTTCTCTTATTTCAGATTAACAATGATTTTTCTTTAAGAAAACCGATATAAAATCATTATCTATAATAATTCTTTATTTTAGTTATATTATGTACGCTTAAGATATATTTAATTATTTTTGAGAATTAATTTCTTACAGTTTCTCAATGCATTTATTGCCAATAAAATATGAACATATACCGTATTTTAGAATTAAAAAAACTTTCTCAAAAATATGTCTACGAGATATAAGATTTTGCAGTATTTTATGTAAAGGTCTGCACTTGGGTCATCTCGAAAAGTAAATAAAGTTAATAAAGTTAATAAAGTTTTATGATGCTACTTACAATCTCCTGTTCTCTTTGCTGCTCCATGTAGGCCGAAAACTCGACAAGCCTGAGTTTGTGGGTCGCGATGGCGCGTCCTTCCCATGGTGGTGCAGGCTGCGCTTGGACCAAATCGCCGCTCGAGACCGCTGTCGCCGGTTTCCCGGTGTAGGCAGGCTGAGGGAAGGGCTTGACATCCTGGGACGTTCCTGGTTGCAGGCCTGGCTGCCAAAATTGCTGAAAATACATCGCGAATTTATATCTTTATTGCGGTGGTACGCAAATATTGACGATTAATGATTAACTAATTTCCACGCGTCTAATGTTTATTAATAATGGCTAGTTTATTGCTATTTAATGAATAATCGATGCTTCTGTTATTGAACATAATAATCAGATTGCAAAACAATACGATTGTTACTGTAATCGCATTGCTCAGGCAAATAACAAAAGAAATAAATTGAAAATTGAGTTAAGCAAAGAAATTGAATCCGTTTTTCTCTTGAATCATAGAAAAAAAATTTAACTTGCATTTTCGAAATCTTTTCGGACAATTGGATACATTGCGTAAATCTTTATGAATTTTTTTCGGTAAAAAAAAAGTTTACAAAATTTTCCGTAAAAAGCCATCGAGCCGTCGGGCGAGGAACGAGCGATCGAAAAACGAAAATGAATGAACACAGGTAAAAGAGAACGACAACGAGAATAACAACAAAAGGCTAATGATTGTATTATTACGTAAAAGAGAAAGAAAGAGAGAGAGACAGATTGGTAAGCCACAACGAACGAACATTTTTCATTATGCAGATACGTCAAATGTAACGCATACATACATAATCCTGTATGTATGCATGTCGTATGTAGGTATGTGATGCCCAGGTGATACGTATGTACAAGATTAGAGCGATGGACAAATTCAACAATACACAACAAGGGCCCCCAGGGGCAGCGCAGCAGCAGAGAGCCAGGGGGGATGTCACTTTTGCAAGGGATGGTTAGTTTTTCGACGCAAAAAAGCTTTCGCGCCATGAAGAGAAGAAAGTACATGATTGATCATACGGAAACAGCTTTTTTTTCCCCCACTATTTTTCCTCGTTCTTGTTTTTTTTTCGTAATCAGATGCGAAAAAAAGAGCGCAAAGGAACAAAACATGATAGCGAAAAAAGCGGGAAACCTAATTAAAGAAAACAAAGGGAACTGCCTCTAATCAGTTAATATTATTCCCCTCCCCCCTCCTTTTCTTCTTTGTGCAAGACACAGAAGCAACACAGAGTGTTAAAGATACGAAAGCAAATTCTTTTCAGTTTTAAACAAGTAACTGTCGTTGTATCGCGAATGTATCGCTATCGCTTTAAATATATCTTCGATGTATTTAACAGTGCTCACAAACATTTAAATTATAATACACTTATTATACAAGTGCAGAAGCTAATATGCTGAACACTTTCACCGAGATTTATATCAAACATCTTATTAAGATAACTTTAACAACTTAACTCAACTGCGAGTGCAAACGTTGTTTTCTAAGTGCAATGCTGTTAAGTCAGTGATATCACTCGTAATATCTCTGGCGTGACGTTTTAATTACTCGGTATTATCTCTCAAACTCACGTGAGATACAAAAAATAAAATTTATATAGGTGAGTCGACAAACCACACGGCATCGATTTCCCTCGACAGGCGGATTAGCGGTTATCGAGCGAAGCGGTTAGGAACAGTCACGAACTTCAAAAGAAGAGGCCAAATCGGCAATACTGATAGTAAAATTCGTATCCTCAAAGACGACGAGACATTTTATGTCTTTCCTGCGAAGCTTTCACTCTACAGATATATGAATGACATCGTATAAATTGAGATATATTGGAAATATACGATTATTGCGTTTTAAAACTACATCATGTAACAGTCACTAATGTCACAAAAATTGTGTTTCTTCTTTTACATTTAAACAACCGATATTTTTCACATTTGCATAAATCCTTTCACTGCTAAATTCGATTCTATAAATTTTTTTTCACTAAAAGAATCCGTTAATAAATTTTGAAAAGAAAATATCCCAAAATTGTCTTCAAAATTTTCCTGAAAAGTTTCACCAAGAATTTGTATGAAATCGAATAATACGCGGGTTCAGCACTTGATATGTAAAAATCAATCGAAGAAAATTCACAATTAAAGAGTCGGTGCAATGATTAATAAAAGCGGTAGAGATTGAGGCCGCTTGTTTTACTTAAAAGCGATTCATCATGCGAAACCACCAGTGCAGTGATCAACTTAATTAATCCGCATTTTATAGAGTCTCGTCGTCTCACCCTAAAGCTCGTGGCTCCTTTCAAGAGAAAAGCTGATTAAAAAAAGTAATAAAAAAAAAATAAAAAAATTGTCTCTCAAGGGGTTCTCCGACATCAGGACTTACCGCTCCGGGATAGGAGACAGGGGTGGAAGCATGAAGGGCAAGGGGCCCCACGAGAGCGGGGGGCATCTTGTTGTGTATCGCGCTTCCAGCTGATACTATTTGGGCGCTTGACATGCTCGACATTGTCTGGAGTGCCTTCTCCTTGGCGGCATGATCCTGACAAATTTCCAGACCGATTATACCACGCAATGCCAGACGACATAGTATCATATTATCGACGTGTGATCCTCTTTCTCAATTCTAAGCACAATGACGAGAAATCGTCGAGACATTTTTCAGAGTGGTACGTTAATTACAGGTGCATTAACACGTGTCCCAGGAGACTTGTCAAAACGATCTTTAAACAAAAGTCCTTTAGAACAGAATTCTTTTATCAAAAATTTATTTTTCGACAAAAACCAAATTTATTAATATTCATATTTATATACATCTTAAACTACGAATACACACGTGTTAAAATTCTAAGAAAGCAGAATTTATTCGAATTAAATTTATCGAAGTGTTTAAATTGTTTGTGAAAAACGTTGTTGATACCTTGTACAAATCGTGATTAAGAAAACAGACTCCGGAATTCTATATAAAAAAAAAAAAAAATTATTCAATTTTTTAAAAATATCGTGCAATTAATGATGCGCGTTTTTTAAATAAAAATATAAAATGCTGAATATAATGAAACATGTATTTTTTAAAATTGTGGATATGATTAACACGAAAATTCACACATAGATCAATCTTTCAGTATTTTTTATGAATTGCGGTACATATTTTTTTTTAATTATAATTATTCACTTCGTGGAAGGACAAACGCAATGTGGCTCGAAAAATCGGAAAATTCGAGACATCCGGGACTCGCGATATCAATCAACAGTCGGCAGATAAATTCGTAACATTCTCAATGATGCGAATCAATTTACCGCTCCCGGACGCGCGATTACCAGCGTCCCTTTTTTCTCCCTGTTCCACCTTCCCCGCTTCTCCTCCCGATATTTTTTTTCCCCCGTTCCCTCGTTCATCGCGCGTCGCACCGCATGCGATGAAATCGATCGCGATCGCGCAGCGCAGTTGATTGCAGAAACAACGGCAGCGGCGGCGAGTCCGGTTGCAACAGAAATTCGCGGGAATTCGGCGCGCTTTTATCGGAAAGCCGTCGTTTTAATCAGCGCCCGACCGAAAATCGCTGACGAGGCGAACGAGAGGTGGTTCGTTGCCGTGACGTTCGGAAAATTGCCATGCCCACCACCGCCGCCACCATCCAAGTCCCGCCAATTCACCCCCGCGTCCATTCGTCTCGCACTCTCTCTCTCTCTCTCTCTCTCTCCTTCTCATCCCGTCCCCACGAGAGCACGGGGATTTTCAATTTCGTTCATAAATCCGTAATGGAGGAGTCACTACGAGTGCCGGTCGACCGGAATGAAGCGCCGCCCGCGTAACGATGCGAGCAATAAAGAATTTAGCCGACGGTGCGACCGAAAATCACGGGTTACATTTTGCTCTCGACGTTGTTTACGCCCCTCGCGTGTTCGCTACGAAATACACGGGGGCAGGAGGGGGAGAGGTGAGAGTATCCCGGAGAGCCGCCGCCGCTGTTTCTATTACCTACGGATTTTTCGATCAATTTGCAGGCGAATTTTGTTTAATGAAATTGTCGATGTGTATATATCGATAGTGTATTCCTAACTTGGAAACAGTTGAAAATGGAGAGCTCGCCCCGGGCTTGCGTGTGGGAACCTGCGTGCAACTACAAATAGATAATAAAAATGTTAATCCTCAGTTTGTTTTACACGTAAGCTTTGCTCTAATAAATTTTTAATTTAAAACTTGCGACGTTTGAAAGTTAAAGTTATCAAGCAAGGCACATTTTGTATCTTTAACGTAAAGATTAAAATAATGATTACGGTTTGACGGTAAATAAATAAATAACCAATGAATTGAAAACAAATCTACAAAAATTTCAGTAAAAAAATTCAACGTTTCAAATGAATAAAATAAATGAATTTAATTACCATGAATTTCATTTTACTGCACGAGTTGTTCGCAATGACGGCTCAAATAAATTACAGAATAAGTATGAGATAGAAAAATTAGTAAAGCACAAAGTATAATCGTTTGTTCATATAAGCAATTAATTTACAATTTTAATACACAAATAACTTTTCTGCATTTGAATATTTTTTAATGCCAATAAAACTTATTACGTATAACAAGACAATTAATAGACAAATCTGTGGCTGGATGTTGTAAAAAAACTATTACACACTCACATCCGTGTTAGCTCTCATAGGTCTTTATTGTAATATGTTTAAATCTGATAAAGTTTTTTACAACGAGATATTAGACCAGGTAACGGTATAATGTAAATAGAAATATGCGGTAAAACGGCATTAAAATTTCTCTGTACTTTCACTGGTAATTCGCTTATTAAAATGAAACGACCTCTCAATTTTCGCGAGGCGAGGTTAGAACGGATTTGGGGAATGTGTGGCCAAGTTATAATGCATATTCATTACGCAATTTTCGCGCGCGGATCCTGCACCATCATTTTCGCGATACATGTATTTCTCATTCTTTTTATTTCTAACAAACTCATAATCCCTCGGAAATAAAATATTTGGATTATCTACAGAACTCGTTTCAAAACTACCAGGATCTTCTTCTAATTGAAGATTACTTAGCTTTTACCGGAATACCTTTGCAACGCAATCGATGGAACATCAGGACCGGCAGATGCCAGAGTATGGCAGATTAACCGGTGCGTAAAGTCGATTTGCAAAACGGCCGTGCGCGAATTTCGCCGGGTAGAATGTAATTTTTTATGAATGTTGGATGACATCGATTACCCGCGAAAAGTCCATTTCGCTGTGCGGGCCGTTGTTCACGTTTGTGCGGGGCGCGCGCTCTGAATTTGCAGCGGAAAATCAATTCGGTTAATTGAGAGGGTGCAGTCCGTGTCGTTTTTTTTTTTAATTTCCACCCTCCGTCCCACATGTCGCCTCTCTCTGTCTCTCTTCCTCTTCCTCCCCATATTCTCTCTCTCTCTCTCTCTCTCGCTCGCTCGCTCTCTGTCCACGTCTCTCTCGCCCTTCATCTCTCGAATACACGCCAGGAATGCAGAGGATTGGGCGGGTAACGGGGTTGGACATGTTTATCGACATTCTGAAACGCTGCTCGCCCGTTTTTGGGCACCCTCCTGCAACCCCCTCCTACCACTATAACCCCCGCCCCCGTTATCGGGAGTACGTTTACACCGCAACAATTAATTACGCCGTAATGCCTGGTGCAATTATTTCCAAAATAGATAAAACGGCGGACGATCTCGATAGACCGTGATAGTTGGTAATATCGCGTTTGATACGCCGTACGCGAGCGTGTAAAATGTGCAAGCACAAAAGCTAAATCGGGTCCACGTGAAACGTAATATGCATCATTAATATAAAAGAAAATGATAAATGTGCCGGTAAAAAAGGTAATAAAATTAAAACTGAAAACTGCAGAATTAAATAATCGGAAAATTTAATTTTCATCGTGAAATTAACTTTAAAATTAAAAAAATAATAATTCAAGTTACTCTTAAATTCTTTTGCTTATTTATCTATAGTGAAAAATGTGTAAATAATATATTATCAGATAAATTTTAAAATTTGCAAGAAATCATAAAATTTAAACAAGAAACGTCTATTCTATTTTTATTTCAAATTCATAATAAATATCTATTATTAAAAGCAAATATTCCATATAATTCATACTTTCTGTTAGAAAAAAGGCCAACAAGACTTGCAGAGATGTGCTTGCCGGATTCTTATTTATTTTATTTCACAATTACGTTTCAATGAGATAATAAAATTTCCTTGAAATTAATGCCACCTTGTTAAAATATACAGAATACGAAAGCAAGGGGCACGATTTACGTAAGACAGTGCCGGTGCGTGGGAAACACGAAAGCCGCTCGCGAAATTCTTTCCCTTGCCTGGCCGAATAAATCGCGCGGTTCGTGGCCGCAGGGGGGGGGGGAGGAGAGGTAGCAACCCCTTCTGAGCAACAAGCAAAAGTCGCAGCGCGGCATTCACCCTACCTGAAACGCGAAAACCAGAAAATTACGTCACGGTGGACCGTACAACCACCCTCCCACGCCTGCTACTTTCCTGAATAATGTTCGCGGTATGCGGCCACACTGCAGTTGCAGTCGCTGCAGCTGCGGCTGACCGTGCTTAAAAACGGAAACCCGTGCAAGTATTTCATAAATGGCATCGTGGCACGGAACCGCGCGCGCGGAAACAGACGACATCTTATTACGCGAAAGTCGTGCGCGCGCGCACGAGCGTAATTAAAATTGCTCGAGAAACGCCGGCGTTTTCCTGAACTCTTTCGGACTTCCATGCAAGAATCGAGACGCAATGCAATATAAAAAAAATATATATATGACAACGTGGAAAAATAAAAATGTAACATCATACGCAAAATTACTCGAGCAAGAGAGTATCACGTATAAAATATTAAAGGACATTTAAGATAATATTACGAAAGAATACTGATAAGCATTCGTCATATTGCAATCAATTGTCTATACACTTTTAATCATATGTCGCCTAATACTTCCAAATTCAAAGCACTAATTTCTATAAGGTAAATCTAGACATAAAACTCGATTGAAATTTACTTGAAATTCAATAAAACGTGAAATTTCGTAATTTTTCTTTACCTCTATCCTTAAAACACAATTTATGAAAACTCTTAGTTTTAGATAATCGCTCATACAAGAGTTTAGAAACAATTTTTCAATTCGACGTACTAATTTCTATAAACTAAATCTAGACATAAAACTCGATTAAAGTTTACTTGAAATTCAATAAAACGTGAAGTTTCGTAATCTTTCTTTACATCTACCCTTAAAACATAATTCGTGAAAACTTTCAGTTTTAATCGCTCATACGTTTAGAAACGATTAATGCCTCGATATATTATTCCATCTGTCTTGAAAAGCGCTATCTCTGAAAAGCGATTTTGATCATATTACAACAGCTTCAAATCGCAGAATCCTTCATTGAATTTCGCTAATTATATCAGTATCGGAGAACCGAGTAATACTTTTACACGATAATTAATTAATTATATCTATCGATTAACCGTCTCTTGGGGGGATAGTGGAAGAAGGCGGGTATAAATGTTCTATTGGCAAATTATATTTCGCGATTCCGACTATTTGGTAATAACATCTAGATTGCGCGGAATATCCGAAAAAATTTTCGGTTTATCGTCGTCGATTAAATGGCAGTTTTTTTCTTCGGACGAGTTTTGCCGGAGTGCTGCATGCAATCGCACGGTTAATTTACACGCTCCGCTTGTTTTTCCACTCTTTTCTATTCCGAATATTGACCGATCCAGTATAAACAATACTCTATTTCTCTTTCTCTCTCTCTCTTTTCCTCCATCCCTTCTCCCCTCCCCCCTCCCTTTCGTCTGTCTTTCTCTCGCTCTTTCGTGTCTTCTGTCTCCCGTTATTTCACCGCCCATCGGCGAAATGGAGGCACCACCGATTGTACCGCCCTGCTTTGATTTATTAACCGGCGCGCAATTGTTCGCGAATCGCTTTAATAATTCAGCTGTTGATTAAACGGGCTGGGTTCATTTTTACGCGTGATTTATCCCGCGGCAATGCTCCTCTCGATATGTGTGTCCCTCGATATATATGTATTTCTCCCTCTCGTTGAAAATGATTCCGCAACAGCCATCGCCCGCTAATGCTCGCACATCGCCAATCGCGATTTAATATCATCGCTACTACTCTCCGAGGCAGCATTGTGCGGAACGCGAAATACAACAGAATTCTGATTATCCGAACGCTGAACTGAATGTTTCGATCGAGCATTCGATTATTTGTAAAAGATGTTGTTTAGCGAAGAAACCTTTTATTATGCAGAATTGCATTTTCGCGTCGAATCCATTTTGTATTATGTTAAAACAAAAAGAAAATAATGTACAGAAAAAAATATTTATTTATAAAATATTTCTTTAAAAACATTTCTTTATAATATTAAAACCATTATATGAAATTAATTATATCAAATTAGATTTCTCCTATACACATACATCTTTCTTCTTTTTTCTATCTTTAAGATTTTTAAAGGAATAAGAAAAAAATTTAAAAAAAAAAGCAATCTGTTAATCATCTTTCTTTAATAGAATTCTTTGTTCCATTTCATTAAGAAAATATCACTTAATAAATAATACAAAAATTATATTTAAAAAAATTATACATTATTATATAATAAATAATAATGTAAAAAGTAATGTTTAAAAAAACGTACAATTTTTCGATTATGCTGCAACTATCGTATTCGCTAACCAATTCGGCTAATCGAATTTTCAGTATATCAGCTGCACAATTCGGAGAGAAATAAAAATCCACCGCATATGAGATTCAAATATCAATTCCACGTGCCAAGTATCGCGTTTATACGACACGTGCAATATTTTATTCAATATATTATCAAATGACACGACGTGTCATCAAGTATTGCAATATTGTTAAATGAATAATCGTACAATCGCGTTTATTTCGCATTTCATTATTATAATAATGTGTCACGTTAAACCGCTGCTGTTGTGCAGTTTATTTTGGTAGTCACAACACGTACGTGGCGTTTACACAAATAAACAAAATTTATACCGTTTCGAGTGAATTTGTTGGTTGTCCGTCCACGAAAGAGGCGAGAAACGCGATCGAGACGCACAACGTCGATAGGCGGGCTCGATGTATAAGCGATTGAAAAGTGTTTAAAAAAAATAAAAATAAAACGACGATAGATGTAACAATGAGCGCGCGATTGGGAGACGTGTAAACGAGGATATACTCACCACTTTGAGTTTTGCCTGTATTTCCCGAAGTTTTCTTCTCGCGAGGACCTGTATATGCGAGGATACTTGCTTTCGCGTTCTCGTCTTACCGGTCCTCAATTTGATATAACGGGCGATCAGCTCGTTGCGACCTGCAACACGGCGAATTATGTGCATAAGGATTAGCATTCAATGGACCGTCAATAAATGTCGTTAATAAAACAAATCACGAAACCAGATGCACAATCAGACACGTTTAAGTCAGGTGCGATATTCATCTCATTATAATACCTAATAATCCAATCACTCGCCAATTATTAGATTGAGGATAAACGCGATTTCACGCATATATTTATATTGTTTTAAAGGTTCAGATAAACGTCTCGAGATATATTTAATACAATCTCTCTGATGATTAACAGCAATTAAGGACTTGTAGAATTGAATGATAGCCTTCGCGGAACGGCTATCCGCCTCTTCAAGCTCTCCTTTAAACTCGTCTTGCACTCTACCGCCGTATGCTTTTCATTCTTCCAAGTAGTTTCAGGAAAAAAATCTGGACACTTCACGTAAATTCTGATTTCCTTGCCGAGAATGGAAACAAACAATCGCGATATCCGCAGAAGCGTCAGGATCGGTCATGGGGAAATGAAAGTTCCGCGATGAAGATTGCATTCTCGCGAGCCTCGAATACGAGAATTCCTTCTAGAATTGACGAGAAGCAGACCGGATGGATTCAAACAAACCCTCGAGCAAACCGCTCGAGATAGGTTTTGAGAGCTGCCTCGCAGAAGCGCCAGATAAAATGCGCTTTAGCGATAGAGCCAACCGTCGGCGTATTTAATTCAAGCGATTGCATTTTAAACTAGCCTGAGGGACGCGATTTATCTTGTCAGGTCCAATGCACGATTCTTCTTCGATTTTATTATCATATCTAAAAATATAATATCGATATTTAATGGCTACTGCTATCTCTGCATACATTACAATCAGTCAATAGTCTGTCAGAGCAGATAATGCAAAATTATCACTCTGGTTAGAGTAATTTATGTGTACACATACTGATGTCTAGTTTGACTTTTATTTACATTTACATATACAATAATATCTCTTTAACTTTCCACAGAATATTGTTATAATAAAGCAAATAATATTAATACAATAATAAAAAGTGATGATTTAAGATGATCAGAAACAAGTCTATACGTAAACATTTATGTAAATACTGATTTTTAAATCACTGGGAATAATTATGAGTAATAATACAAAGTGAATATTTAAACAGTAATTAATCCACACACTTGATTCACCAATGTGGCAGATAACGCGGATTATCTCGATATCGTGGACGGCGCTAAATGGCGAGCGATTTACTGTAATCGCGCGAAAAAGCGCAGTTTCAGTGCCGCGCGCGCGGAAACGATTTTCGCGCAAAACTCGCGGCTAAATTTAGCGGGTGATAAAGTGCACTCGTCATAAATTCTAATTAGCGCGAGCGCGCACGTGGAAGCGAATACGGGAACGGCGCGGCGCATCGTTCCGAAGCGTCGCTTGGCGACTCAATCCAACGGACATCCGCGCGAAATTACGCGGACGCGTAACTCGCGACTCGCGACGATAACGAGCATAATAAATCGTAATGAGCCGAAGCGAGCGGGAAGCGAAACGAGAAAGAGGCGGGAGAGAACGTCCCGTGAGACGAGACGAGACGAGACGAGACGAGACGAGACGGGAGAAAGAGAATGCTTTCACTCGATTCGCGCAGTTACACGCGAATATAAACCGCTCGAAACTGCCGATAACGAGAGGCGACCGATTTCGAAATGGTGAAAAGAACCGAGAATCGATTCGAATGCGCGGGGACGTATTCAAGTTTCATCGCGTACGATGAAAATCCAACGGCCTCCGGATTTAACAACACGAATATTCCATTTGCGTGCTCCATTCTATTTTTTTTTTTTATACAACAATGTACCGCGTGCACACACCGTGTGCGTAAGGTAAAATCGGAGAAAAATAGGGGGAGAGGGGGAGACAGGCGGGGAAGTGAAATGTTTTGTTTTTCTGTGGATCGCGCAGTCGGGGGGGGGGGGGGGGCAATGAAAAATATAGCATCAAACTGCGGCGATCAAAATCTCAACGTGGAATATGAGGGAATAATTTCCAAACGTGCGACTCTCGTTGTGCGCCAAGCGTGATGTAAAAGTATAAAGGAAAAGAGAAAAGATGATCCCGAATTCTGAATTCTTCGAGGGAGCACGTTGTTAAAACTTGATAAATTGTTGCGTCTACATTCAGTTCAATTCTTTTTTATTTATATACTCGTCGGAAAAAGCGATATCGAAAGATTTTTCGTGTCCATTTATTGCTTTCTGAATTTATACAATACCTCGAATTCCGATAGTTTTGCATTTTTACGTGCATCATCCGTGAAGAAAAAAAAATTATAAATATTACGTTATCAAAATTATTTAATCTCCTTGGCTATTCTCGTAAAATGCGATGTTTTATAGCAGAATCTCTTCGCTAACAAACAAAAGCCGGAAGATCTTCCTCCAAGCCATTCTTCTCAGCCGCGCGCCGCGGAGAATTGCCATTATGTTAACCGCTACCGCGATACGCGACGCACTACTGAATGGTCGATATACGATGACAAATGCAAACCGTTCAAATGTAACCGTTCGACGAAACAAAGGAGTTGTCGTTGTAGTCGGGGCGCGGGGGAGTTCTCTTCGATGAATTGATTTCCGGCCGATTGGACTGTGTAAACGGCGTTTCTGCGCGCCACCTTATCGCCGCTTAGATTTCACAGCCGTTAAGGTTTTACGGTCGCCGGTGACCGTAAAACCGGCGCCAGACGACATCAAACGTGTCGTAATTGAAATAACATTTAACCGTACGGTAAGCAGAATCACGCCAGGGCACTTCGATCCCCGATAGAGTAAAACTCGCGGCGGCGGCGGCGGCGGCGGCGGGCGGATGCCCGAACGTCTAGAATTCTAACGACAGCGTGGGAAGTTTGTAACTTTGTGAACATCGCGCACTGCGGTGGACGATAATCGAATTCAACTTTCCTCAAATCAGATATATAACTTTCGATCAACAATTACGCGCGTTTTACGTCAATGATATTTTAAATGTCGAGATGTAGCCCGTCGGGTCGTATGAAGGTTTGAAATCGCACATTAATTAGGTAGATATTAGAACGAATATTTGCATCATTTCGGGGATTACCAGGAATGTTTAAATCAAATATTTCTCTTTTAAGCGCGCACGCCGCTGACATCGCGGGATTAATTGCAGATTCATATTGACTATCAAAGAGCACTTTGGCGGACGGGTGGTGCTGCAGAGAGGGATGAAAATCGCGACGTCCCGGCACGACGCGACACAACCGCCCGCCCCCGCCCGTTCTTGCGCCGCGCCGTGGAGGGCAAATAAATTATTTCCCCGATAAATCTCCAAGTTTCGCGGAAAGTTTCGGGGAGAGATTACCGCCTTGCTTCCGACGGAAAGACTCGATTAAGAGTCGGGTAGTGGCGAAACACGGGCTAAATGATTCATCGTTACCCGAGCGAGCGGGGAAGCGACGCAATATGTCGAGGATAAACACGAACGTCGAGGTAGGCGAAATGAAACGACAACGCCGAATCTCCGTCCGCCACTCTTTTCTGCATTGCAAATCGCAACTCGTAAATTACGGGCATTCGTCTTCGTCCCGGGCTCGCCAAGAATCGCGCTCGCGACGAATATTGTTCCCGCGGAAATTCCCGCTCCGAGGATGCAGACGTTGTCCGCAATATAAATGTGCAATCAATGTCGTCTTACTTATGTCGCTGACGACAGTGGATCGTGACCGTAATGATTCCTGCGAGGCTAAAAATACGAAATGCAGACTGCGCGGTGACGTACATTCTCCACACAGTCCACTTTGTAACGGACGAACAATAATCAATGCGCCATTTCTGCCACACTGGCTCTCGCTCGAATTACTAACTATACTGATTTGAGATTTTACGAAGAATTATAGATTAAAAAAAGCGAGTGTCCCTCTTCTTTAGATATAAACAACAATTCATGTACATAAATCAAAATGCATTTCAATTAAGTTTTTATAATATTTTATGAATTAAAAATACGTCACGGACATATCATCTTTCTACCCTTTTTCTCGCATCCGCAGAAGTTGCGAGGATTATACGGTACGCCGCGCGGGCGAAAGAATCCGACGCAACGTCTCGCGCGCGCGTCCAAATTTGTGCTTTCTCGGTCACGGAAATGCGAAAATCCGCTCGCGTCCGCCGCGAATCTTCCGCAGGAAGTTGCGAGATCGCGACGACGGAGGATCGTGACGACGTGGATCTATGAGGGTGTGCTGCCTTCGTCGGATAGTAACGTAAGAGGCAGGCGGGCGAGATGTGCAAGAGTCTGCGGTAGGAGGTACGACGAGACGAGAGGGGCAGGGCGGGAGGAGGAAGGGGGGGAGGGAGGGGAGAGGTGGTACGGAGAAGCTGAAGCATCGGGAGGAAAATATTCGAGATTCCAGGGGAACCGCGTGATGACTCAATTTCGCAAAGACCGTTAAATGGCCCGCTATGAACCATGCGCCACCGCCGGCCGCGTTCCTTCTCTGTTTTTGAAGGCCGAACATTCTTCGTAGGGGGTCGATTATGCCGGCTTAGGCATCTCCATAGAACGCAACCGACTACAAAGAAGAGACTCGGTTTATTTGACTTTTCCTGCCTCGCGCACGCCAGGTCGATCGATGGTTCTTACGAATCATTGTGTCAACATTGTTGGTTACACATTGTCCCTTCGACCTTTTACCCGCTAGCTTTAAGTGCTTATTTAACTCCGATCGAGTTGATTTCCCTATCTTGGTAACACATACAGATCAATCCAAGATATACTGTGACAATGGAATATTAATGAGAACACAAGATGTTCGGCATACTGTATACGTTGCGAGATTCAGAAATATATTCTGAAACAAATTTGAAATTTTTACTTGTGGAGATTTGACAGATTGATTAAATTTAATAGGTATCAATCAGTGACAGAGTTTTATTAAGTTTTTTATTTTAATTTCGAAGAAAGTTACATCTATTAACTAATACCCAGTATGATATTTTCGCACGTGATGCGATTTCGA